TCGCCCACCAGCTCAGCAAGACCGTCACCCTCTACCCCCGGCTCTCCCCCGTCTTCTTCCTCCAGCGCCTCACCCGCACCTTCTGGCCCAGCCTGCCACCGCGCTGGCGACAATCCCTCGTCAACCTCGCCCTCGCCCTCATCCACCTCCAACGGGCCTCCCGCCTGGCCAGCCACGCCCGCAACCTCCCCGCCCGCTGGAGCGACCTGCAACGCGAGCTGTCCAACCCCGGCGACCACGCCAACCCGTCGTGGGACCCGCTCGTCTATCCCGAGGGCCTGTTGTTGGAGATCGAGCAGGACATCCTGATCCGTCCGGTGCAGAACGCCGTCGCGGCCGAGATGCGCGCCCCGCCGGACGGGAAGAACGCGGTCATGCAGCTCAACATGGGCGAGGGCAAGTCGTCGGTCATTGTTCCGCTCGTCGCGGCCGCGTTGGCGGACGGGGACAGCGTGGTCCGCGTCGTGGTGGCCAAACCGCAGGCGAGTCAGATGACGCACATGCTTGTGGGAAGATTGGGGGGTTTGGTGAATCGGAGGGTGTTTTATCTGCCGTTTTCGAGATCGGTACAGCCGTCGATGGACGATGTTGAGATTCTTAGGGGGATCATTAAGAAGTGTGGGACGGAGGGCGGGGTGCTGCTTGTTCAGCCAGAACATCTGCTTTCGTTCAAGCTCATGGGGATTGACAAGAGCGGGACGGAAGGGGAGGGGGAGGATTCGTTGGGAAGGCAAATCACGCGGCTGTACAAGGTCTTCGAGTCCGTCTCCCGCGACATTGTCGATGAGAGCGACGAGAACTTCAGCGTCAAGTTCGAGTTGATCTACACCATGGGGTCGCAGGAGGTGGTTGAGATGAGCCCCGACAGGTGGATTCTGATTCAGGACCTTCTCCTCATGACAGAGAATATGGCCCGCAGGTTGATGGCATCAAGCGCGCCGCGATCAGGCGTGTCTCAGGGCCTGCTTCTCGAATACGACGCCGTTCCGGGACGAGTTCCCAAGATCCGCGTGTTGGAAGAGTCTGGGGGCCAGCAACTCATCACGGCCCTTGCGAATGAGGTGTGTAGCATCGGCATCACGGGTCTGCCAGCCCACCACCAGACTGAGGACGTACGGCAAGCAGTTCTGAACTACATCCTGCTCGAACGCCCATCAGAGACCGACATCGAGATGGTTCAGAACACCGAGACGGGCTTCTTCAGCAACTCAACCACCAAATCGGCCCTCTTGCTTCTCCGCGGCCTCCTCGCCAAGGGCGTCCTCCTGTTCGCCCTGGGGCACAAGCGGCACAGGGTCAACTACGGCCTCGCCCCGGGCCGTCGGCCGCCGACCATTCTGGCCGTGCCGTACCGCGCCAAGGACATGCCCTCTACACGATCTGAGTTCAGCCACCCCGATGTCGTTATCGTACTGACGTGCCTGAGCTACTACTACGGCGGTCTGTCTCACGCCGAACTCTATACGTGCCTGGAGCTGCTAGCCAAGTCGGACCGGAGCGAGGAGGAGTATTCAGAATGGGCAGCCAAGTCCCCAACCCTGCCTCCGTCGTTTCGCCACTTTTCCGCAATCAACCTCAAAGATCGGCCCCAGTGTGAGGGCGAGGTCTTTCCTGGGCTGAAATATTCCCGGCCAGTCGTTGACTTCTACCTCCGGAGGGTTGTGTTTCCCAGAGAACTGAAGCAGTTTCCCTCCAAGCTCTCGGCATCGGGCTGGGACTTGGCACGGTGCAAAGAGCAGCCCCTGACGGGGTTCAGCGGCACGAACGACTCCAAAGGCGTTCTTCCGCTGTCGATCCAGGCTCTCGATCTCCAGCCGCACACCAACGCCTCGGTCCTCAGCACCCTGCTGCGTGAGGAGAACATGGTCCTAGAGCTGGGTGACGAAGGAGCGTCGCAGCTCACAGCCTTGACGGAAAAAATGCTTCTCGGTGCGTTGGCCAGTTCAGACCCGGAGATCCGTGTCGTCCTCGATGTTGGGGCCCAGATCATCGAGAGCAGCAACTTCCAGATGGCCAAGAGCCTGCTCGACAACGCTCCCACGAGCAGCACTGACGCGGCCATCTTCTTCAACGACAACGACGAGCTCTCAGTCCTCACCCGCAACGGCGTGGTTGACTCGTTTCTCACATCGCCGTTCGCCGCCCACACGGATCGCTGCCTCGCATTCCTCGACCAAGCACACACCCGCGGCACCGACCTGAAACTGCCTGACAACTACCGCGCCGCCGTAACGCTTGGCCCGGGGGTCACCAAAGACACGCTCGTACAAGCGTGTATGCGGATGCGCAAGCTCGGCCAGGGACAGTCGGTCAGCTTCATTGTGTCCCCCGAGATGCAGAAGCGCATTCGGGGCCTGCGCAACATCACGGACGGTCGGCCGCTCGCTGTTCCAGACGTTCTCGCCTGGGCCATCTCGGAGGCGTGGGACGAAACAGTGCGGAGCGTGCCCCTGTGGGCGACTCAGGGGGTCCGCCACCTCCGCCAAGAGGCCATCTGGAAGGAGACGGACACAACGGGGGGGTTCACTCGCTCCAGCATCAAGGAGTACCTCGAGCCCGACGCCATGTCCCTGGAGCAGCGCTACAGCCCGGGGCCAGCAACAACTCACGACACCATCACCGCCCTGATGGCAAGCCTCAACTTGGACGCCGGGCCCAGCCCAGAGGACACCGAGCTCGCCGCGATTAAGACCAAGCTGCTCGCCTTCAGGCATTCCACCCGCACCTCTTCCTCCGCTTCCCCAACCCTCCAAGAAGAGCAGGAGCGCGAGCTCGCCCCAGAGATTGAACAAGAGCGCCAAGTCTACCGCCCCCCGCCGCGCAAAGCCCGCGCCCACAACCTCCACGCGGACGTCGTCCTCCTCGCGCGCACCGGCACCATCCGCGCCGGCAGCTCCGCCTTCGTCCCGGCCTTCACCACCCTCTCAACCACCAGCGCGGCCGCCCTCTTCGCGGACGACCTCTCCGCTTTCCCCACCGACCTCCTCGCCACGCGCGACTTTGCCCTCACCGTCGAGTTCAGCCAGAAGAGAAACGACAGCGACCCCTACCTCTCCGACGGCCACCAGCGCCCAGTCCAATGGCTCCTCCTAACCCGCCCCTCCACCGACCCCGACCCCGACCACTCCCGAACGATGGTCATCATCATCAGCCCGCACGAAGCCGCCCTCCTCAAGCCCGCGCTCGCGTCCTCCACCTCGCCCGTCGTCTCCCTCCACGCCTACCACCCCCGCCTGACCCTCTCCCACCGCACGATGGAACACCTCGACACCTACGCAGTCCCCGCATGCGCCTCCTCCTCCACCTGGCGGCCCCCCCCGGACCCCCTCATCACGCAGCTCAACCTCTTCGCGGGCCAGCTCTACTTGCGCAGCTACGCCGAGTACGTGCGGACGTGTCGGTACCTGGGTCTGTCGTATACCAAGAACGGCGGGGAGGAGAAGGTGGGACAGGACGGGTTTGTTGGGAAGGGGGTGATGTATCCGGAGTGCGGGTTTGGGACGAGTCCGGTGGGGTTCTTGACGGGGTTGGTTGGGGTGAGGAGGGATTGCGCTGGGGTGGAGAGGACGCATATGGGGAGGGTGTTGGTGGGGGGTGTGTTGGGGGTTGGGGATTTTGAGGAAGGGGAGGGTAAGGAGGGGGAGGAGGTGAAGGGAGAGAAGAAGGAGGAAGTAAAGGGGGAGAAGGAAGAGGAGGTGAAGGAGGAAAAGGGGGAAGAAGAGCAGGAAGGGGAAGGGGAGATTGAGGTCAAGTTGGAAACGGGCTTGGATTGTTCTGTGATTCAGGATGAGGATGTGTGATGTACTCAGGTTCGAATAGCTCGATTTCTGTCAATGTCTAGAATTGTGTATCAAATCACCCTTTCCCTTCTTCATCCCTGTGCCCAAAGTCCAGACGGCCTCCCATCCTCCTGTGTTCCCAGCTCTACTCAATGCAATGCGAACTGCGTCCATGGCATGACCCCTTTCCCAATTAGCCCAAAACACTCAGCCTCCTGAATCAAACCCATATTTTGCTGATGAGAACCATAGCCGACAACCCGCAATGTGGCGACCTCGTCAGCATCGTGGAGAAGACTTGGCTTGGACACGAACATGGTACGGGCACGCACTCGATGTAGGCACAAGATTTAGCCCAGCTAAAATTTCCAAGTCGGGAGGAGTATAAACAGGAATTAGCCCAGCTAAAACCTCGAATCTGTCCTGGCTCTCATGCTCCGATCTCGAATTTAAGTCCCTGAACCGGGGGACGGGATCCTGGCGCCGAAAACAAATGCGCCGGCGCCATCGCGAATGCGCGGGGCGCGTGCTGAAGGGAGGGGTGGGGGACTCAATGGGGGTGAACGAAGTAGAATGGGCGACGGCTTCCGGCCTCCGTCGCCGGCGCCGTTTGGCCGTCGTTACGGAGGCGGCCCCGATCCGGGAACGCGAATGGGTTTGGAGGCGGCAAAACTTCGGGCTAAGGTGGGGCGGGGGGATGCTGAGTCATCAATTGCAAGCAGCTGAACTAAAGTCAAGGTTTTGCGGATGTCTTCCGACGGTTGTGACGTTGACGGTAGCGCCAGGAACATGCCCGTGCTCTGCCGTGGTTCCTGGTCGTAGCTATTAATACGCAGTATCTTGAATGGTCCTCGGCTGCAGGCGGGAGGGAGATTTGCGCGCTCCAAATCCCGATTGGGTTCATGGAGGAAAAACGGCAGAATGGAAGGAAGGAAACACAACCTCACAACACACATCACCTGACAGACAAACGACTTGGTGTTTTCGCACAACCGTGTCCATCCAAGCATGGCGCTGTTGCTTAGTCGCGTCGTTCGGTTACGTACATGCGATCCGCCAGTTCGGCAAGTCCAACAACGCGTGCTCAATCCGACACGTCGACCAGGACTCGGACTTGCGACCATCCACCGCAGCCTTACCACCTCCTCTCCTTCAAGACCAACCATTTCTAGCCCTCACACATCAACCATTCTCGGCCAGGGCCGCAAATCCAAATCTACAATGCCCGAACCCCAACCCGAACGCGCCAGCGCAGTCAGGCACGATGATGACGCGCCTCAGGGGCCCGACCATGCCTCAGACGCAGAGCTCGACTGGGTCTTGGACTTCCAAGTGACAGAAGACATCCGCAACATGACCTTGATGACTCCCCTTTATTTTCTCCAAACCCACTTTCCCGAGGAGGGCGGATTCCAACACGTGAAGGGGCCGTTCGGGCGAGAGTTATGCTACACCGAGACAACCGAGGGCGGCGAGGAGGTGGCGGTGACCATCCCGGAGGACGATACGTGGGTGTTCCAGGCCGCGAAGAGAGGCGACCTCCGGGCCAGAGTTGACGGCATCAGACAGGGCGGTGCCGTGTGCCTCGCCTTGTCCATGCTGCCACCCGAGTATCCCGGCAGTGAGGCCGAGCCTGCAAACACAAGCGACGCTGCCTTCGGCGCCGCGAGGCAGGCGCTGCTGGACATGTTCAAAAAGCTCCAAAACCCGAACTTCGAGGGGTCCAAACCGGTGCCGGACGAGTGGCTGGAGGGTTGCTTGTCCCTGGTGTGTGTAGGGAACAAGATAGGCCTCTATGAGTACTCAAAGGCGGAGGGCTTGTGCGAGCCGCAGGCGAATAAGGGCTGGATGCTGTTGAAGTTGGACGAGGAAATTCGGAGGAAAAGCGGGCTACCCCCGTAACCCCTTCTACGGGACGCCGAGTCCTTGTCCAAATCCACCAACTCCCAATCCAACGCCCATTTCAAGCCAGGGCGCATCGACTCCGGAGAGCGTGAAGTCTTCGCCGACGGCTTCCCCGGCGTTGCCACGCGCGAGGAGTTCCTTCCGAGCTTCGCCGAGCACCAAATCGGAGATAACCAGACTTCTTTTTATAGTCTACGCAAGAGGGCCTTGGAATTACCGCTCGCCGCTTTTCAGTCCGCCTTCCCTAAGGAGGACGGATTTGGGTACTCGGACGCGGGACCCCTTGAGCGAGATCTCCGGCCTCCGTTGCCAACGCCGTTTGGGGTCGTGAACGGAGGCGGCCCGGGTCCGGGAACGCGAACGCGTTCCGGCCCGGCAAAACTTCGGGCGAGCGGTAGCCCGTGCTCGCTGAGTCATCAATTGCTGTGTGCAAAAAGATTGCTTTTGCTTCAAAAAGTGTGGAGCGGATGCGATGGAACGTCAAGAAGCGTTCTCTCGTCATTTCCCATCTCACCCACTTCAAGTTGGAGCCCGACCGTTGACGCCAGTGCTTGGGTTCGGGAAGACACAGTAATTGTTGCGCAAGTCCAGTCCGCCAAGCGAGGAGGAATGGGCACGTTTATGAGTCCCTACCTTAGTGCTAAATGTTAGCGTTTAATGAGGGGAAGGAAACAGGGCAAGTCGCCATCCCCCACCACTTCTGTGGTCTCGTGAGGGTTGGTGGCCAATCAAGCTGATAAAGAGTCGCTGACGTCGTTGCTTATCATCATCCCTTCTTTGGCTAATAAGTCGTATCGTGTGCCGCCTACCCGCGAGCGTAATCGGGCAGTCGCCTCCAGACTTAGGTCGGTTTCTTGGACTGCAGTGTGTGACTGTGTACACCGTGGTTGTGTAGAAGCAATGGCCAACCTCCGCGTGCCTGATTTAAGTCGTTCCAATCAGACGGTGAAACCTAAGTCGCCAACCGGGAATGTTCAGACGCTGGTTGCCCGTTATCTCGTGCCACCACCCTCCTCCGTGTTTGGGCAGGTATCATGACATGCAACTGGGAATCTTGACAAGTCTTATCAGATGGGAACTCCCGTCCGCTCTTTCATTCCGTTTGCTGCACTTTTGATCATAACCTCGCCGTTACCTCCACGTCTCGGGCACCTGACATTCTTGACACTTCAGCGGGATCCTTCTGGCTCTGCTCGACGACGCCAAGTGCCAGTTACACAGTTAACTACGCAGTAACTCGTTGGCGGTTGATGCCTCCCACCCGTTGATACCGAGTCACAATTCTGTCTGCCAACGGCTCCGCCTAACTACCTATCGTTTCTTCATCATCTTGCAGGGCCACTGCGTTAACGAACGCGGTCTCTTACCGCCATTTTTTATTTACTCCTGGGCTTCTGGTCCCAACCTCCCCGCGGCCCGGTTCATTAATATCCCCGTCACCGTCACTTGTCACCTCGCCTGAAGGACAAGCTTCCACTCTCCACTGCAGCATTCGGGTGCTGCGTCTCCATTCAGGGTCCAGCGCGTGCTGGGGTGGGCCCAGGGCCAACATTTTACGTACTCGAATTGTCCTGTGCACGGCACGCGAGACATCGCCTTGACACGCTGTGACTGGCTGCCCTGGCCCGCCTGAGCAACTGGTGGGCAGCCCTGAGGAAGGCCCTGAAGAGCTAACCGGCCATTCCGGGAATGACCCGCCCTGCAGCTCCAGGTTGATCTGCGCCGCTCCATTACGCAGACTGGCTGGGAGCCCTGCACGCTGCAGGCGGCGCCGGTATTTACGCCCAGTTGGCCATGATCTCTCCACGATTCTTTCTCGTCTCGTCCCGACGCAGCCAGGGTCCCTCACACCTTCAGCCACGTCGCCCAGTCGTCGGTTCTCTCTCACATACTTCAACTTTCTCTCCGTCGTCCGACTTTTCCAAAAGATATGAAGACCGTTTTGCTGTCGACACCGATTCCACCGCCATCAACAGCAGCCTCGCCATGTCAGCAGCATTGCAGAGGCCGGGAGAAGATGGATTTGGGTCGCGAACCCCGAGCGCCCCCAGATCAGAGATGATGCCAACACGGTCGGCAACCTCTTCGACTCCGGTACAAATCCCGACAAGACCGAAATCTCGAGACCCGGCGCACTCGGCGCACCCGCAGAAACCGCGCCGCAACCATGGCAGTCGCCGGAATCATTCCATGCCCCGTTCAAGGGATGCGCACTCTCGCGATGCCATCCCGGCCTCCGTGGCGGCCTTGTTGGCCGTCACTAGCATCCCGCCCCCCAAGGCGGCACGGAGCCAGCGTCAGACAAAGGCAGAAAAAAGAATGACCGTGGAGTCCATCATTGAAAGGGCACAAGAGTCAGAGAAGGAGCTAAGCCTAACGCTGAGCAAGAGCCCCTTGGATATTTTGTTGATGGCGCCCGAGGACCTCGAGGCCGACGATACCTCGGTCTGCGATAGCATTCCCGAGTCCGTCCTTTCAACCCGGACCATCTCGATGGAGTCTATGCCGTCGCTGAGCAACTCTTTCACTACCGACAACACGTTTTCCTCGCTCGAGTCGCCTCACACACCGCTTAGGAGGCGTAAGATTCAGCCGACCCGACGCTCCATGGAATTGGTATCTTCCCCGCCCGGCGAACCAGAGAGTCACCCGTTGTCGTCTCCCGGGAACGAAGTTGCGGGCTTGGACTTGGGTGTATTCGGAGAGGAAGAGGAGGCCCCGGACCGGAAGACTTCGCGGCTGCCTTTCAGCCCGCTCAAGTCGGCCTTCAAATCGAATTTGACCGCCTCGTTACGAGCCTTACGCCAGGCTGCGCGCTCCTTTTCCAACCTAAACTTCTCGTCGATCCCGCCCGAGGACTTTCTCACGCGATCCATCCTGACAATCGACCCCCAGGTCCCATATACCGATGAGCGCAGGCCGCCTCCTCTTGAGGAGGAACCGACGGCAGCGCTTCGGCGCTACCTGAACCCCACCACAACAACGCGCATGGAGAAGCCTGCGCCGGTGGTCCCAGCGCTACGAACCTTCACGGCTTCTATTCAGATGCAAACCTACAAGATCCACCGGGCGCGCAGTTCGTCGCCCAACTCGGGCCGTTCGCCTTATCCTTCGATCGGTCCCTCTTCAGCATCGACGGCAGCAGCCTCGCAGCCGCCGCAGCCGAAACCGGTGGTGACGGAGCATCCCATGCCAGGACCACGACAGCGCGAGATGCGCGAGAACCCGGATTTCATCCGCATCGCTGTCATGGAGATGGCCATGCGGAAGAGTGGCAAGCTTGACGACCAGCGACCCGGCCGCGCGCGTTGGGCGCTCCCGCCGAGGAAATCCAGCGCCAGCCCATACGAAATCGGCCCCGACGGGGTGCCCGCTCGATGGGTTGCTGTCACTCACTAAACAACACCGACAGCAGTCGCCACTCGCGCGATCGTCGACCGTGCGATGCCAGATGCGTCGCGAGCCAGTCGTCGCGAATGAGAACCAACTCGACAATCTGCCGACCCGCCTAACGTCGTCATCGGAAGGAATGGGATTACTTGGCAAGCGCACGACAACGTTGTCGGATCTACCGAATCGGGAAGGCCACATTCGCATGCACTCACCACATTCTTCTTTCGCGTTGGCGTCTCTCAAACCCCAGGGCCAGTTAGGCATCCTAGAGATGGCACTCTCGACCTCGGCCAGAGAACTTCCGCCCCAAAGACCATCGGTGCCCGATGGACACTCTCGTTTCAAACGACTCGGTGCGGGGCGTGGGGGGTTCACAACCGGACGAATTGCGTCGCATGGAATTCGGCCGACCCTCAAGCGACTCACAACGTCGAGCATCTGATTTTTTTATTCGCGCATGCATCGCACATGGATATTGGACCCCTAGACGGTCATGGGTGATCCTTCTCGAAGCACCCCCACCACCAACAATATCCGATCGGCTCCGCACGAACGGAGCGAGCATTACCATTTCGACGAGCAATGTCCGGCAGGCAAACCAGCATCGAACATTCCACTTCTGCATCTAGGGTCAGGTGCATCTACTGCTATCTGGGAGGCGTTCAATCATTTATCTGTTTCAATCCTGGGAGCGTCATCATTGACATCCCATAACCGCATCATTCCATCATCATTTCAACACCATCATCATTACCAGGCTGGCTACTTTCACAGGGCGGACTCATTTTCATTTTTTCGGCGTTATGGCGGTCTATGGATGTCAGGTCAATCTGGAGGCAAGCGGGTTCTGATTTATGAATTTCGGAGTCCGTTTGGCGGGAGCGGCCAGTCAAACATGTTACAATCGATACACCTATTTAGTTACTGCAGACAGACATACGCATGCCGCACGTGCGTTGGCAACAACGTTTGGCGGCGTGTTCCATTTAGCTTCATACACCAAGGTCATTTTTTGGTAGTTTCTATGAGTACTTGAACTGAACTGCATTCCCAACGTGAGTGGGTGAGCTGTACCATGCCCGGCGACCCAACCTCACATCACCGCACATGATGCTCCCCTCCTGTCGAGCCGGAGCTGGAGAAGGTGAGTGTGGGGTGTGACCACCACCCGGCTAATGGAGGGCATAACCGTTCTTTGGGGCGAGGTTGTGCACTCCAAGTAGATGTGTACCTGCATTGTGTAACACCACACATGTCCCAGTACCATGAAACCAGCATCACAACATGTCCGATCTGATCTATTCCGTGTAGGGTTAACCGTCCCCAGATACGGCTGCGTCCCGGGGCAAGGCCGATTCCCCGGGCCATGCACATGTCATGTCGTGTTGTGGTGTCATCGCGTGCCGTCGAGTCGTGATGGCGCGGTGTGACCGACCAGGTGCCGAGGAGGGGTAGCGTGCTCGTGACTTGAGTTGGATTCATCCCGATGAGGAGGCACGCCACCCAGCAAGGCAAGGGGGCACCCAAACGATACAATGTCCGAGCAGGCAAAAAAGTCCCCTTCTGACAGTGATAACTTCTTTAGTTAGTTTTGGATATCAAAATCCCAGATACACACAAATGAACCCTCCACCCAACAACAACAACAACAACAACAACAACAACAACAACAACAACAACAACAACAACAACAACAACAACAACAACAACAACAACAACAACAACAACAACAACAAACAACCACCCATCTCTACTCCTCCTCCTCCTCCTCCCCACCCGCCTCCCCATCATCACCACCACCCCTCCCCTTCCCCGCGACCCTCGCCCACTCCACCGCCCTCGCCGAAACCCGCTCCCTGCTCTTCGCATCACCCCTCTCCTCCTCCCACTTCGCCCAGCGGCGGAACCACGCTTTCGCCTGGCGCGGCTTGAGCCCCTTCACCTTGCTGCCGCGATCGAACAGGTCCCTGACGACCGCCACATCGGAATCCTCGGCCGGGACCGACACCTCGAGGTCGAGCAGCTGGTTCCAGAGATCAAACTTGCGCGGGTAGGTGGCGAGCAGGTTCTCGAACAGGGTGCGCCCCTGCTCGCGGTCGCCGTGCGGGGAGCGGAACTCGAGCGCCGCGAACTTGGGCAGCAGCGCGAGGTGTGCTTGGGCTGCGCTGCCGCTGGCGGCCGTGTTGGCCGGGTTGCCGAGGATTTGCGTGGCGCGCTTGGCGAGCGCGCGTCCGCGCTCCGGCTGGCCCGCCGTCGCGTGCAGGAAGTGCGCGTAGTTGATCCAGACGTGTGGGGAGCGCGAGCCGTACTTCTTGAGGATCTTGTCTTCGAAGAGGGCTTCGGCTTCCTGTGGGTGTGGGTTAGTATGGTGGGGTTGTGAAGGGAAAAGGGATGGGGGGGGGGGGACTTGCCTTGTGCTTGCCGGACTGGATGTAGATGCTCGCCAGCCGCTCGTGGACTTCCTGGTCGTCGTTGTAGGTGCAGGCGCGCTTGAAAACCTCCTCGACCGTCTCGTCGGTACCGTAGGCGACTTCCAAGTTGAGGTAAGCGATCCAGACATTCAGCTTCTCAGTTTCCTCCTTGATGTTGATCGTCTTGATGGCCCGCTCGGCCACTTGCCTTGCGCTGGCGAGGTCGTTGATTTGCATCTGCGAGGCCATGTAGGCGATCCAGAGCTCAGACGAATCCGGTTGACCGAGGAGGAGACGCTCGTAATCGCTGGATGTTTGCGGGCCGTTAATATCGAGCTCAGCGGTCTTATCGACGATACCCTGGGGTTCCCGCCTCTTCTTGGGCTTCTTGCTTGGTTCGTCAGCCGCGGGAGCATCGACGTTCTCATCAGCATCCAGAGCATTGGCCGTCCAGTCGAAGCCGCCGGCGTCAAGGCCTGTGAGACCCTCCTCTGCCGCTTCGCCCATTTCGACATCGCTCTCATCTTCCCCGTCCTCGTCATCCTCGTCCTCGTCGTCGGAACCACCGATGAGAATGGCGCCACCAGCATCGCTCATCTCTTCGTCTCCGCTTTCCTCGCCATCCAGAACCGCACCAGCATCCTCGTCCTCGCTATCAACGTCCATGTCGTCCGCCTCGCCGTCCTTAAAGTACGAGGGTTTCAGGCCAAGGTTGATCCGTTTCTTTTCGAGGTCGACCTTCAACACACGGGCCTTTACGCGGTCGCCCTCGTTGTACAGCGTCCTGGCATCCTTGACGTTCCGGTCCGCCATCTCGCTGCGGTGGCACAGACCGGACAGATTCATTGAGCCGTTAATGTCAATGAAAGCACCGAACTCTTCGACCTTCCGCACCTTGCCGGTAATGGTCTGACCCTCCTTGAGGTCCGCGATGGTGGTTAGCGGGACATAGTCCTTGTCCACCACCGACGGCTTCAAGTTCAGCTCAATGCGACCCTCGGCCACGGAGATGATGCGACCCTTGACGAGTTGGTCGACTTGGTAGTGCTCCTTCCAGTCCTTCAGGTACGAGTCGGACAGGTTCTTGATCTTGGCCAGCGCCACGAGGTCGCCGCCGAGCGACACGAAGAGGCCCTTGTCGGAAACGTTTCTGACGAAACCGCGGATGATGTCGCCGACCTCGAGCTTGGTGTTTTTTGTGACCTCCTTGTCCTTCACAGGCAAGGATGAGTTTAGGACCTTGGACGGCCGCATGGACAACCTCACTCTCTTGTTGCTCTTGTCGACCTCGACGACGGCTACCCGCACAATCTCATTCCTAGAATGTGATAGGGGATTCGCCTCGTCGTAATCGTCAGCGAGGTCTGCCAGGTGCACAGGTCCTGCTACCAGTTCGCTCAGCTTGACAATGACTTGGCGGTCGTTGACCTTGGTAACCTTAGCTGGCAGAACTAAACCTTGTTGAATCTTGTCCCAGGAAAGTTGAGCCGCTTCGCCAGAGGTCCGGGCTGAGAGGTCGACCCGCTCCTTCTCCTTGTCTACAGCGAGCACCTTTACTTGGAGCGCAGAACCCACGGGGAAGCTCTTCTCCAGGTTCGCCAGCTTGGCCAAGTCATCGGACGCCTCCATGGCGTTGATTCTCCCACGCACGTTTGGCGATAGATTTACCCACAAGTAGTTGGATGCAACATTGTTGACGAAGGCGATATGGGTGGATCCAACCTCGACTTTATCCAGAGATAGTGATTCGGGGAGTGTGTCGGCCTTCAGGTCGCTAGGTTTTGTTGACAGCTCCAGGACTGAGTGACTGGACCGGTGGGTGATGGGGAGAAAGCGGTGATTGCGGGCATCGTGAACGCCGAGGACTCGAACCTCCAAGATTTCGTTCGGCTTGAACCGCTTGAGTGGCCGCTTCGCGTCCGGAATGTCTTCCCACTTGTCGAAAACCTGTGAGACATCGATCCGCCCCTGAATGTTATCCGCGATCTGGACGTTCAGCTGCGTCTCCTTAGCCGACTTCACCCTAGCCTTCGTGAGCTTGCCAATGGCGAGATCGTCGGCAGAAGAAATCGAATCATCCAAGGAGTTGATCGCCTTCTCCGTGGGCTTGGCAACCTTCTTCACCTCTTCATCTGCAACCGACGGGATCGCAACCACCAAGCGGCCAAGGTCCTTGTCGATGGAGGTGATCTTGACAACAAGGGACTGTGACTTGTGCATCCCGAAGCTGGGTTTGTCCTGGACATCGCGAGGTAGCTTTGACTTGGGGAGGAGAGCAGTCAGCTTCCCCGCAAACTGCACGAAGGCAGCAGTGGCGGTAATATTCCGAACGAAGCCGGCAACTTCGTTTCCCAGCCGGGCATCCTCCACGCTCGCAAGAAGCTTTCCTTCCTTGCTGGCTTGGACGAGACTCGGCTTGTGAGAGAGTGTGATGGAACGACGGGCTTCGTTCTTTTCCAAAACAACCAACTCGGACAGAGTTTGGTTGACGTGGATCTTCTTGAGCGCTGATTGTGTCTTGCTGACTGACTTGTCCGTCAGGTGCGCAACGGGCAGGACAGCCTTCAGTGAGTTGTCGGTGAGCTCAACAAAGATGTCGTCCTCAGTCTTCTGTGTAACCTTCGCCGATACCAGGTCACCAATTTGCAACTTTTTGAGAGCGAGCTGTTTCTCGAGACCGAAGGCTGATGGATCTTTGCAGGAAACGATAAGGCGGCGAGCTTCGGGATCGAAGCTGATGATATAAATGCTGACCGTCTGGCCTACACGGAAGTGCTCCTTGGGGTCGCTGATGTAGGCCTCGCTCATTTCGGAGACCGGGAGGAAACCACGTAGCTGGCCGTAGAACTGAACGATGGCGCCGTGTTGTAGCACACTCACTATCGTGCCGGGAGCCTGCAGACCGACCGCAAGCTCGTCGTACGACTTGATAGGAAGGGCTTCCGAGTTAACCAGCGTCTTCTTCAACGTCAAGCGAAGCTGGTGCCTTGCCGGGTTGGTAGAGAGCACGCGGGCCTTCACCTTCATCCCTTCCCTGAATTTCTTTTCGGGATGCTGTAGGTGAACGTCGGAAAGGTGCATCTCAGGGACCAGGCCAGAAATTCCATCAGCGATATTGACGATGAGACCCCCGAGGCCGTCTTGGTTGATAACGAGCTTCTCGACCACGCCAGGTACTACGGCACCCACGGGGATGTCCTCGATCCTCAAGAACGGCTGTTCTAGGACTTTCTTCTCAAATGAGAGGAGGAACATGCCATCGAAGTTGTTATAACCCACCATACGACCGGGGTGGATAGAGCCGGTTTTATACGGGCCGCTGCTTTCGAACAAGCTGTCGACCTTGCCGTCCCTGACTCTCGAGATGTGGACGAAACCCGGAATGCCTTCAACGCCAACGTCGACATAAAGGCCGATGCCCGGTTCGACTCTCTCCACGGTGCACTCGTCCACAGTCGCCGAGTGAGCAAGAATCCTAGTTGGCAGAATCTCCTGGCCGTCCTTGCTTGCGGTTTTTGGCTTCAATGAGAGCACGTGTGGCAGCACGGAGATACCCAATTTCGGTAGCTTTGCGTTTGGAAATGTGCAGATAATCCTTGCCTTGACGCGTGAGCCTACTTTGTACTTGGCCACAATGTCGACGCCGTCGGGTCCGGCGCCAGAGTGGACAAGGTCTGCAGTCACATCCAAGTGACCCATCACCTTACCAACAACACCGTGTTGAGACACCTCGGACACCAAAACGTCGGCCGCAGTACCGGGTAGGAACGAGCCGATGGTGGTGGCGTCGGAGGGGTTGCTTTTGGGGTTGCCGATACGGTCGGAGAGCGTTGAAAGTTGCACCACCTTGCCGCCAGCGGCCTTGTTCGCCACGATACACAGAAGAACTGATCCCGGCTGGAGGCTCTCCTCAGGGATGCTCTTGTCGAGCTGCTTCCGCGGCAGGAACCCCCTTAACTTCGACTCGGCTATGTTGATATCCATGACGAAGCCGTGATCCTCAACACTGGCCACGGCGGCCATAAGCGTGCAGTTCTCGACCACGTCCTGCTCTGAGATACCAGTATTGGCATGCGCCGGATCAAGAGCAAGATCGATGTGGCGTTTTGTCTTTCCTGGGGCTGACTCGTCCAGTGTTGATGTGACATAAGCGCGGACATATTGGCCGATTTGGAATAAGCTCTTTAGGTCAACGTCGTCAACGCCCTCATCCTCAGGCTCGTCGTCGTCCTCCTTCTCGGCGCTCTCCTCCAGCCGCTGTGTCAGAGGCTCGGAGATGGCGGTTATGGGCACATGGCCAACGAGGTTGTTCGGTAGCGCAATTGCGATGTCGAGCGCGTTGATGGCGCAGACCGTCCCGAGTACTAGCGAACCTTGTACCAGCCGCTGAAGTCCACAAGTTAGTTATTGCACCACCCGGTGCCTTGCCTTTACTATGCCGTACCTTGAAATTTAGCCCCTCCACTTTCACGGCGTCCTCGTCTTTGCTGTCGCCCGTGCCTGCCTCTGCAGCGCGGGACTTGCGCCTCTTCCTCCTGGCAGAGTTGTCCCCCTTCTTGCCCTCGGATTGCTCCTCGAACAAGACATCCTTCTTGGCCTGAATCGAGATCTGTTTTTGCTCGAGGGGGGTCAGGACGCTCCCGCCACCTCTTGGAAACAGAGGTTCCTCCTCCTTCAGTTTCGAAACCACGGCGGTTGCTGCTGGCTTCGCAGGGGACTTTGGCTCCTTTGCGCCCTTCTTGCCGTCGTCTTTGGTCGATTCGCTCGCTTTCGCCCGTTTTGAAGGTCTCGACTCGGTGGCGGGCCGGGTTGGTTTGGAGGCAGAGGCGCCGTTGGGGCCCTCCTTGCGCTTTAAGGAACCCATGGTGACTCTGTGGTGGCTTGTGATGCAGCAATTGAAGAGCAATTTACTAAATTGCCTTCTCTGCACTAAAGCTCTAACAACCAAGAGCACTGCACAATGGAAACCATGCCACTGGAAGCTGCCCACCACAAAAATTTCTGGCGGGTCCTCGTCTCGGCATGCACGATAACGATAAGGCGGGCGGTGAGAGTGGGGTGGGGAATTGGGGACTGGGCACCTGGGACCGGCTCATGGGCAAAAAAGGCGGACCCCAAGAAGATGTCGACCAAACCTCGAATGTACAGATTACATAAAACGAAAACTATCTGGAAGCCCGAAGAAAATGTATTTAATCGATTTACTTACCTTAAGTTTAGTATATTGATTCTTTTCAATTTATCTTGCTCGATTTTAGTTATCTGTTTCTTTTTGCTTGGGCTTGACTTCTTCCTTCCCTTCCGGGCTTTTGAGTTCGGCTTGTTTTGGCCAGAAGGTGGGCCCGCCGTTCCATGCGCCAAGTCTGGTCAAGCTCAGGCCGGCCTCGAGCCGACCCATACAAGGATCTGGCCGCGCTGGTTCGCGCTGCTGATCACCTGGGAACCCCCATGGGTCTTGAATTTGAGTACCCGTGTTCGCCATGAGACGAGCATTTGACTCCGCGAGGCATATTTCGCTCGAAAATGGCGTTGTTGATATTTTGGGATATGGTAGGCCATTGATACGTCAATAATTATTACTTTCCAACCAAGAGTGACTTCCATACTCCAGTGTTTGGCTCCGATCGAAGTGGTTCCTGATACAACCAGTGACCGGATGACGTACAGCCTCGGGAAGCCAACGAGCTCGAGCCAACTGGGGTCGCCGCGTCCCGACCGCCGCCACGTTCAGGCGGACAACACACGGATGGCAAGGCAACGAACAGCAGCATCCCCAGACGCATCTAACTCGCCCATCGCCTGTAACTCCACGAACCTGATAATCCGAGAGGCGCCCCCGTATTTCTCCGCACTCGACGTGCGCCATGGGTTCCCGTAAGCGGGTTAAACCCAACCCTGTCGCTGATTCGAACACTTCCACTCCGATCCCGACCCCGACCCCGACTCCTGCTTCGTCCACGATGCCGTCGCAATCATCCTCCAAGTCGTCCAAGTCAAGCACCTCTACCGCCGATCGGCCCACTCCAACCTCTCCAGCCACTTCAGGAACATCCCGAACTTCGACGCTGAATGGAAGTGGCGGGGGCTCAAAGCAGGCATGTGGACTTGTTAAAGCGCCGCCGTCTCGGCTATCTGGCCTTTTAACTAGACGTTGTACTAACTAATCGCTTGACTAGGCCCACAAAGCCCGAAGCTGGTACGGATCTTGGCCTCGAGTACCTAAATCCGTCGCCTCGACCCAGGTAGCCCGGGAAACGATCCTTGGAGGCACGTCGAAGCCGGCCGGAACAGCGGACTTCAGTCGATTTGAGCAGAAGAAGCCTGTAGACACTATGAGCATACATGATGCTTCAGTGTCTACTGTTTCAAAAATAGAGGAGGATGCGGCTAGTACAGGACAGCAACCGTCGGACCCAACTCCTCCAGTAGCTGAAAGCGTCACGAAACCCGAGGACAAGCCGAAGCCCGAAAGAGCCGACACGGAAATGGCCGACGCCGGTCACGAAGATGGCAGAACAGAGCCACCTGCAGAACAACCTGCAGAACAACCTGCGGATGCGCAAGCCGGAGAAACCGTCACGGATTCGACACCCCCGCGACCCGCTTCAGGGTGGTTCGGATGGCTGGGAAGACCAGGAGCCACGGTGCCTATACCGCCAGTAGATCCCACAACTTCAGACCCTAGCCCCCAAGCGGCGAATGTACCGACCGCGGCTGAGGTTAAGGCCCCTGAGGTTAAGGCCCCTGAGGTTAAGGCCCCTGAGGTTAAGACCCCTGAGGTTAAGGCACCCGAAGTTAAGGCTCCCGAGGTTAAGGCTCCCGATGTTAAGGCTCCCGAAGCAGACAAGGAAGTGCAGGCGGTGCAGGAAGGACCAGTGGTTTCCGGCACAGCTGGCCAGCCCGAGAGCAAGCCTGCAGCAAGCTACGGAAGTTCTTGGCTTTGGTCCTGGTCTGGTAGGACTGCTCCTGCACCTTCACAACCCGAAACTGTGTCACCGACTGTTGAACCGGAGGCGCCGCCCCCAGCGGCGAAGGAACCCGAAGATGTGGTTATGCAAGATGCACCCAATGTGGAGATAGTTCCAGAAGCGCCAACGCCCTCGGCTGCGCCCGCGCCCGCGCCAACACCCAAGGCAGGGTCGACATGGGCATTCTGGTCCCGCGATACGAAGTCGGCAGCCACCAAGAAGCCTGTTCAGCCGCAGAGTGAGCAGGGCCAACTCGCCGTCATGGGGGAGAGTTCCGAAACCCACCCTCAAAAAGCGAATCCGATGGAATTAAAGAACACTCCAGCAAAGGAGCCTCCGCTTAAATCTGGCCGGAAGGAGGAGCCGTCTAAGGCCGCCGTGACACCTTCCCGAGAGTCCTCGTCCAGGAGTAACAAACGCGGGCGTCCGAAGTCAATGGAGGTGGACGATGCGGCGCCGGTCCGTCCGGGCACACCGAAGGTTGACAAGACCAGTAAAGCGTCTGCTCCAAAAACACCAACAAAGATCCAGCCACCAAACCTTCTACTTCCGTCTTTTGATGGCACCTACAAGTTCAAGGAGAACTCGTCCATACTAAAGCAGATTGCTCAGCTACTTCTGAGGACGCAGCAGCCGGCGGGGAAGCATGTATACCTGGCGAAAGAGCCCCCAAAGATAAAAAAGGCCATCGCCATTGGAGTCCATGGCCTCTTTCCCGCGAATTACTTACGCCCCATGATTGGCCAGCCAACCGGGACATCCATCAAGTTTGCGAACCACTGCGCCGAGGCTATTCGAAGGTGGGCTGACAGCCATGGCTGTGAGGATTGCGAAATCGAGAAGGTTGCTCTCGAAGGTGAAGGCAAGATTGGCGAGCGGGTCGAGAACCTGTGGAAGCTGCTGCTGAACTGGATCGATCTCATCCGAAAAGCTGATCTGATTTTGATCGGGTGCCACTCGCAGGGCGTGCCTGTCAGCATAATGCTACTCGCGAAGCTTATTGAGCTGGGGGTCGTGGCATCAGCCAAGGTGGGCGTGTGCGCGATGGGTAAGTTCCATAATACCATGCACTTCTATGCGAGGAAGGGTACTGATATCTTGCATAGCTGGTGTCTCACTAGGCCCTTTCCCTGATTACCGGTCCAGCATGGGCATTCTCATGGGAACGGCCGCTGAACTTTGGGAGTTTGCCGACCCCCAGAGTGAAGTTTCCAAACGGCTCGAGGCGTCCACCACGGCGGTGCTGAATTACGGCGCACGTCTAACATACATCGGCAGCATCGACGACCAGCTTGTGCCATTAGAGGTATGTTTATCTTGCTCCACCCACCACCAGCCCACCATAATACTCACAGCGAAATCTAGTCCGCCATCTACGCGCCCGTCCACCACCCCTACATCTACCGCGCCGTCTTCATCGACGGACGGATCCACGCCCCCGACTTGTACGTCCCACCCCACCCTTTTCCCCCTCTCCAACTCCCCCCCAAACAAAACCAAACCCCAACTCAACTAACAACCCCCTCCTCTTCTCACAGCATCGCCCACCTAGTCGGCTTCGCCCTCAAACTGCGCAACCTCGGCGTGTCCGACCACGGCCTGATCCGCGAGCTCTCCACCCCGCTCGCCGGCAGCCTGTACTCGGGCGAGGGCCACTCGCGCCTATACGACGACGAGCGCGTCTACGACCTCGCCGTGACCCACGCGCTCGAGACCACTGACGTCGATGGTGCGTGTGAGGTCGTACATCACCGCCGCGGTGGGGGTGGGGGTGATGGGAGTGGAAGTGGGAGTGGGGGTAGTGGGAGTGGGAGTGGTGGGGGTGGTGGGAGTGGGAGTGCGGGTTTGTCGAACCCGAATCCGTATCACTTGCCGTGGATCATGCGCGGGTTGTTGGAGGAGGATTTTGTTAAGACGGAGTTGTCGGCGGAGACGGCGGAGCTGGTGAGGCAGTTTGATGACTGGAAACCGGTTACTAAGGCGCTGAAGGATGTCAAGTATCGGTTGGAGGCCGTGAGGTCGAAGTTATGACTGGAGGTTGGTTGATTTGGGGGAGTGGGAGGAGGGGGGGTTGCGGCGGAGTTACTGTGTGAAAGGGGAGCGAGCAAGCATGGACGGGGTTTGGTTGGTATTGGTTGGTCTGGTTGGAATATATCGGATGGGACTGATGGTATGGTGTTTAATGCGCTTACTTACGCAAGGGTGTTTTCCTTCGACGGATCAGCATATGGGGGGATTGGCCGCGGAGTTTGAGATTTGCAAGAGCTGGGGTAGATGCATGATGTAGCACATACATGATACAGGGCTTCGTCAGCCACCAGTTATACTGGTCTAGACATACACTATACTGGTCAATAGAATTAACCCAGACGTATTATTATTGACTGGTCTCTCAAAGTTGAGAAAATTGTCTTGAAGCCCGAACAGGCACACATCATTAACAGAGGATCAAATGCTGGTCTATACACTTCTTAAAGTCATGATATACAATCCACCACTGTCGCTCTACACAGTGCGTCTGATCTTACACCACTACCACACACCCCGTTTTCATCTATGCCTTCCCTAGCCCCCACTGGTGGATTATATCCTGCATTTGTTCCCACGGCAGCGTGGCCGTCGCCACACCCTGTGCCGTCGCCTCCTGAAGCACGACCGTCGGGGCGCCGCTGCCCTTGCCCTTGTTCTCCACCATGCCGCCCACCACCATCTTCGCCACCCTCCTCAAGTCTTTCACGGTCAGCTCGTTAATCTTGCGCGTCATTTCCTTGACGGGGATCTTCCTCCCGTGGACCTGCACCTGCCGCCCGAGATCCTCGAGCTCGACCATGCGGCTCTCGAGGTTCATGAGCAGGCTGCTGCGCAGCTGGTTCTTGGCGCGGGCGACCTCGATGGGGTTGAGGGCCAGGCTCCCGCCCTCGGCGCCCAGGGCCTGCAGCTCGCGGCACATGGTGTGCAGCATGGCGGTGGTGCGGCCCGGGTAGCACGAGGCGGCGATGCCGAACAGGCCCGAGTCGGTGTACGAGTGGTTGAAGGCGACGCACGACTCGACCCAGCCGTGCTGGTTCAGCACGTTGGTGTACAGGCGCGAGTACATGCCCTTGCCGGGCCCACCGGCCGAGAAGGAGCCGCCGCCCCCGAGGAGGGTTTGTAGCGTCGCGAGGGCGTAGATGTCGTCGGAGGAGATGGGCAGGCCCTCGAAGGCGAGCTGGATGTGCGTGAATGTGGGGAGGTGGGGGTTCAGCGGGAGCGGTTGAGGCGGGAGGGAGAGGAAGCCGCCGGTATAGTGGGCTGGGCGGGACAGATCTTCAGAGGAGATGGGAATGATGGGGCCGGGAGAGGAGGCGCCGCTGGACGAGAAGTTCTTGAGGAACGGGATTTTGGAGAGCAGCCCGGAGGATTCTGGGCTAGAGGTTGTAGAGGATGACGAGGCCGAGGGGCTAGATGCGCCGCTGGCTTCTGACCCTGCTGAGTCGAGTGATGTTTCTGAACCCGTCCTCGAGAGCGTTGGCGGTGTTGCCTTCATATCCCCAAAGTGTTTCTCAGCCAGCTTGACGGCTTCTACGTGTGGGACACCAGCGAAGGCCACCACTATCCGCTCGGGCTGATAGAAAGCATCCCTGTACGTCTGGATGACCTCCTTATTGATAGCGCCCAACCTCTCCTGTGGGCACAACAACGGGTTTCCGAGGGTGTTGTCTTTAAACGCAGCGGTGTGCACCAGCTCGGGCAGGATCAGTTCGGGCTTCGACCAAATCTCCCTTACTTCGTACTCGGCCGTTTCGATTTGTTGTTCGATTTCCTCGTCGCTGAGCTTCGGGTCGCGGATCGTCTCGGCTAATAGGGCAACTGTGGTGGGAATGGCGGCGTTGAAAGTGGCCGCCTGATACATCATGGACTCCCTAGAGGATGCGCATTGAATGTTGCCGCCCAGCTTCTCGACCGCCTCCAGCATTTCGTCGGCAGATCGTGACCCCGTCGACTTGAAAGCTAACCGGTCCATAATATGGCTCGCGCCGCGCACCGACTGGTTCTCGAACCGCGACCCGGCGTCGATGTAGACACCCACGCCTGAGAAGGCATCGGGAAGATCCTCCGAGGCTACGCGAATGCCATTGGGCAGGGTGGTAATTAAGTCGCGCTCTGTCGGCTCCTAGAACAACCATTAGCCCACACGAGACCCCCAGGAAGAATATCCATATGAGTTGGCCCTACCAGTACTTTGCTGGGGGGTCGCACCCTGATGCCTTGGCTAACGGCAGTGGCAAGTGTCCTCCCCTGAACCAACGAGTGGCTACCTTGGGGAGTATTCCATGGCTGACGGGTCCGGGCAAGTAACCGTGTTGGCCGGCAGGATCGGAGCATGTTTGTGGCTGGTTCCGGCGGTCCGTCGGTGGTGCTGAATGCTGTCGCAGAATTTCTTGAAGCGGCACTTGCAAGCAGACAAATCCACGGCTGTCTCCCGCTCCCGTGTTCTATCGATAAGGATGCTGGCTGGCAATGGGCCCTTGGCATAACCAGTGGGGCCTTATGTAAGCCTGCATGCCCGCACCCTTCTTGACGCCTCGGCAAGGGTCCATTGTTGTCCAAGAAAGACACAGAGAGATGAAAAAGTACCGATATAAATTCGGTAGCCGCGCTTAGCCCGGATCACAAGGCCAGACACTTGCAAATACACAGTATAACGACAGGAGGAAGTTGTATGTGCTACTTCGTACCTCCCTACCTGCACAATAGGTAGGTACTTCCACCCACCCGCATACCTCAAATGCTTGCGGCACCTCGGCACGATCCGTCGTAATGTTAGACGACATTTAGAAAGGGGGGTCCAACCATCGTCATTAAGCGATGGCAGAGACATGCACGCACTCGAAACCCTTGTAACTCTAAATTCGCAGGGAGGGCAATGTCTCCGTGTACAAATTATGGACACCGGAATCAACCCCCTCCTCGGTAACTCGCTATTTGAGTGGTTCACTTCGCGAGCAAGGTTTCGTTCCTCGGACGGCAGAGGCCGGGCTGGGGCAATGACGGATGCGGGGCGGTTTTCAGGCCCTCCCTCGCACCTGGGTTGGGACGGTTCCAAGGGCAGGAGAGCCCCGGGCATCGCCGTTAAAAACAATGGGGACGTTTCCGTCAAAGTTCAGTCAAATGACGAGTGCGACCATGTCAAAACTCGAGTCAGGCGCCACAGCCCGTCATGGCAAGTGCCACCGGACTCGAAGCCATGATACATGTTCAGCTTCGTCCAGAAAACTTTCCCATTCGGTCTTGAAGTTCCGTCCATGGATGTCATGCTGATCCTGCGCCCCCGTGCAGCCCGGTCCACAATCAGATCCCCGCCGCAGGTCATCACCACCAACAAACATCACAAACCCCCCTAAACTAGGCCGGTTTGCTCAAGACCGCCCAAGGGGCCAACAAGGCCCGCAGTCATTTCGACCCACTCCAGTCTCAGTCCACCTAGTTAGCCAGCATCGTTGTGTTGTGCACAGGAGGGAGGAACTGCCGTGTAGGTTCACACGTGCCATCGCTTTTATTCTTTTTCCCTTTTTTTCTTTTCTTTTCTTTCCTCCAATAAATTCAAGACCTGCGGCTGTGCCATCCAAATCCTCCTCGAGGTTCCTCTTGGCATCCCTTTGTTCTGTCATCACTCGGCCTGTATTGTGCTTCCGCGCTACCTACCGGGCGGTTTCTGTCTGACCAGTGACCACTGCGCCGCGGCGAATCAGCGATTCGTTACCCCCAACAGCCGCAGACCTTCCAGGTTTTCATCGTCAACAGCCGAAGGGTGACACCTGCGGCCCTGGGACTTTGACTTCTCCTCCCGACCCCCCCAAAGCGGTCCTCGTCAATGTTTACGCAACCCGCAGTTTCGCCCACATCCACGGGGCCTGGAAACCTTGTTGTCTCCCCCGTGACTGCGGCCCCCGCGTCGTCGACACCTCCCACGAGAACTAGCCGGTTGCGAGGCTTGACGTACCTCCGCAATTACACCCAAACCCACATCTTGTCCCGCGAACACAGCGCCCACAGCAGCACCCACAGCAGCACCCACGCGCCTACCGCTTCGAATCCACAACCCGGAACATCAGCACCGACACCACCGACCATCACAACAAATCCCTGGTTCAGTTCCGTGCGCAACGACCACTCCACCACCACCACCACTACCACTACCCCCGCGCTAGACAACAACGACAGCAGCAGCGGCAGCAGCAACAACAACGACAACAATAATCACAACAACAATAATAATAACCACCACCACCCCTCATCTTCGACCCGCACTAACCGCTTCTCGCACCTCGTCCCCGCTCTCGGACAACCGCGCCGGCGATCGCCTTCGTCGTCGAATGAAAGGGGCCAGACCGGGCCAGCGACAGGAATTTCTTCTGAAATACGGCCAACCGACGCACATTCTACCCCTTTCCCCCCTTCTTCGAAAACCGGCCCCCGAATTACGGGAGGGAACGAGATGACACGAGCACGTTCTGCCACCACTGGCGATGCCCTCGGCCGACACGACGGGGGCAGCGGTGGCCTTGATACTCTGCCCTCCATTCGGTTCAGCACTTTTGTCGACCCCCGCGCTACACGACCATCGTTAAAATTTGGTCCTGTCTCGCGCACCCTCCCAAGCGGCAGGGAAGTCATCCGTGTCGGCAGGTATTCTGAGAGGGATAGCCAACCCAATGTTCCGGTAAATGCTCCCTCGGCGGCCCCGGTGGGCTTCAAGAGCAAGGTGGTCAGTCGACGCCACTGCGAGTTTTGGTACGAGGATGGCAAGTGGTACATCAAAGACGTCAAGAGTAGCTCGGGCACCTTTCTCAACCACATCCGCCTCAGCCCTCCCGGCACCGAGTCTAAGCCCTACCCCGTGAATGATGGTGATATCGTTCAGCTGGGTATCGACTTCAAAGGGGGCGAGGAGATGATTTTCCGGTGCGTCAAGATGAGACTGGAGCTGAACCGCGGCTGGCAGAACAAGCTGAATACTTTCAAGTAAGTCATAGTCATATCAAGTTTGAGGGGCATTGAGACTCACATCCTCGTTTAGCATGGCCACGCACAAGAAATTGAGGACTATGACATCCGGCGGCGCCGCCAGCACCTCAGGAGCATACTCGCAGGACTGCTCCATCTGCCTCAACAGCATAGCGGTAAGCCTCCCCGACTATAACCGGGCAACCACTTGCTGACAATCCCCAGCCGTGCCAGTGCCTCTTCGTCGCCCCTTGCTCCCACACATGGCACTACAAATGCATCCGCTCCCTTCTCTCCTCGCCGTCATTCCCCATCTTTATCTGCCCTAACTGCCGAGCCGCGGCCGATCTCGAGGCTGAAGTCGAGGACCCAGAGGAGTGGGAGCAGCTCGACTCTGACGAGGGTGCCATAGCGCAGCAGGGAGCGCTGTTGCAACCTCCGTTGGTCGACCCCAACAGTCAGAATAGCAACTCACCTTCAGCACCCCGTAGATCCCGGGAATCAGCACGGAGCGCCCGCCTCTTCGCCGCTCAGCAGCAGCAGCAGCAATCACAACCAGCCGAAGTCTCAAACATGGACCTACTTCTAAGCTCCTCGCCCCCTCAGCAAGAATCCCCCCCACAGCTTGACGGCGCCGTGACCCTCGCGGATCCCACCATGCTGTCACACACCCTATCAACCCCAATGCCGATCCCCTCCCCCGCCCAGCGCACCCTGCCTGACGGCCGCCGCGAGACAAGGACGCCGTCGCCTACTGGCGCGCCCGTGGCTAATGGCCACGAGGGGCCAATCACGCCGCGAAATGACGCCGGGCCCTGGGTCTTTGACGGCAGTGGCGTGAGGCTGAGCTCCGAGAGCGCCCGCCCTGCGGGGGCCGTATTGAGCCAAGGCGGCGATGCCCCTCCTTCGAGGGCCACCAGCATCGAAGCTGCCGTGCAGGCCGCCGGGGCACGCCTGGCGAGGGACGATGGTGACTCATAGCGAAAGGGTTCCGGTGCCTGAGAAGTGGAGATGCTGCGAGTTTGAAAGAGGCATGGTCTGGATCTGGGTCCTGGGTGTCGGGGTTTTTCTTTTACCGAAGGAGGGGTATTTCAGCGGTCATCACGTTCTCGTTGTGTTGCTGGTTCTCTCCTTTAATCCCTGCCCCGCATTTGCACTCTGCTATGGCGTTTTCGGTCCAGAGGAGAGTACAGTACAGAGGGCGGGCGCATTGCACAGCACATTTGGGAGTTGACGGTTGGGACTGGCTGGTTGGGCAGGGCTGATTTATTCGCACTGTTGGGGAGAAACGGGATGGGATGGCATTGTGGTTTGGGCTTTCTGAGCTTCGGTCGTCGTTTTCCGCTCATGTTAGGTTCTCATTTGATGTCGTTTTTCTATGCCCCTATATATATATCTAGGTACCAACTTCAACAGTACTCGGGCGGTGTGATTCTGAGAAGGGCCCGACGCGTCTCGGCCGCACCGAATCAGACCAGGTTCACTGAATATGAGTACCTACCTACCAGACACCAAAGCAGTGTTCTTATCTCACCTGTTCCATCGCCGGGATCGATTGGCACGGCCGAGGTCCCAGCATTTCAACCTACTTGGAATAAACATTACAATCACCGTCATCACAGCACCCGTCCCTTCTTACAGCCAGCCCAACTGATCAATTACGCACCAACCACCAATCCGCTACTCATACTTACCTACCTACTTAAACCCCCAACTACACAACAAACATCCCCCCCCGCTCCCCCCCAAAAAGCACACATCACTTCTTAAAAACAGCCGCCCCCAACCTCTCAATCTCGCGCCCCTCCGCCGTCGTCCGCCCCGCCGCCTCCAGCAGCCGCGCCCACGCCTCGCCGTCCTTGCTCTTGACCGCCTCCTCCGCCGCCCGCACCCGCATCCCGCACTTCTCGTACATGGCCACCGCCTGGCCCGGCTCCAGGCCCGTGCACTTGGCTACGAAGGTCGCTGCCAGCCGCGGGTTGCCGGCTTGGAGGGTTTGGTTGTAGAAGGGCTGTTGGGTTGGGGGGGTTAGTGGTTAGTGGGGGTGGCTTTTTTTTTGGGGGGGGGGGGGGGGGGGGTTGAGGGATTGGGAGTTGAGGGTTGGGTTTGTGGGTTGGGTTGGGGGTTTGGGGATGGAGATAGGGATGAGTTTGGGGAAAGGGGGTTGCGTACCTCCCAGCCGATGGGGCTTTTGCGTTGGCGGGATATCTCTTCGAGTTCGTTCCAGTCGCGCTTGGCAACGAGGGCTTGGAGGCTGTTTTGGGGTCTTTGTTAGGAGGTTGTTCGTCTTTTAGGGGTTTCTGGGGTAGGTGAGGACGTACCGTATCCACCAAGTCACCTTCTCGGGTACCTTGAACTCGCTCTGGAGCTTCTTGGCCCTGCCGTGGTACCCGAGCTGGATGAGCTTGAACATGGTTTGGTTCACCGACAGCCCCGTGAAGTTGTCTGTCAGATCGCGGTCGAATGCTTCCTGCATCCGGAGCAGTGTTGTCGCTTCTTTCAACGCACCCAGCTCAAACGCATGCTCTTTGGAGTTGTCCGAGAGCAGTTTCGCCGCGAGGGACAGCTTGTCGCTCGCTGTTCGGCCCTCGGGCTGACGTAGCGCCTCGCGGATGAACACGGCTGCCCCTTCCAGGCGACGATCGTCCTGATAGTACATGTCCTTGAGCAGCGTGGTATCTTCGCGGCCGTCGCCATCGCCCTGGCGCGCGGATGCCTCGACCAAGGCTGTGGCGGTAGGCCGGCTGTTGATGGCACGGAAGAAACCAGCCAGAGGCAACTTACGCCTAAGTTGGTGCAGGACAAAGTAGATCAGGTCCGTATCGCCGCTCTCGATAGCCTTGTCCAGGGCTAAATCATCCTCTTCCATGCTCAGCAGCAGTGGCACCTGCCGGCCGGCGCGTGGCTCGTGGTTTAGCAGCTCGGTGGCCAGGCGGCCTCTTCCCTCGTCATATGCAGCACGCGCGATCGCCTCGAAGGATATCCCTGGTTTCCCTGATAGCTTCTCGACGATCTTTCTGCAGATGGTATCGTCGTCTTCGGAGCCGACGCGGACTTTGGTAGAGGCCCAGTGAACATAGATTTTATCGGTAGGTAGCCGGAGGTAGCCGGCGATGCGGAGGGCTAGGAGGTATTCGTGGCGGTTCAGGAGCCTGGAAATAAGCCCCGACGGTGAGAGGCGTTGGTACTGTTCGTAGGATAACGGCAGACCTATCTCAAAGAAGCGGACGGCGTTGAGTACCCGCAGAGTTTCGCACATATCGACGAAGTCATCGCTGCTATAGATGTCGAGCACCGACTTGCCAAAAGAAGCGGCCTTGAGCAGCTGCTTTTGCCAGTGGACGCTGAATTCCTGGCCGGCAGCATTTATGCAGCCGTCCACGGCCTCGACAAGGCGCGGTCGAATGAGCTGTATGTTATCGTCGGCCTTTGGCGACTGCATCTCGAGCTGCTCGACGGCGTCCAGGAGGATAGAGGCGGCAGAATCCGCGCCTAGGCGGAAGACTTCCTCTGTAACACCCGGAACCTTCTGAAGAAAGTCACATGTATCATTCGCTACAATCCTAACTCCGTCATAATCTGCGAGGCGGTTAGAGATCCCACAGGGAGTTGACCACGGGGAGGTCACTCACCGGGAACGATATGCACACGGCCGCTATCGTAGAAGAACTTGGCCAAAGATCCACTCGGGCCAACCAGGTGCACCTCATCCTCCCATGCGATCACGACGGCATCGTTACCGCACCATTCAAAATACTTGGGCGGGATCTTGGACCTGGAGTCGTGTTCGCTAAAGCGGTTCTCGAAGTCGCTGGTGATGACGTGGGCCCTGCCCGTCGCCGTGTAGAGCGAGGAGAAGCGCCCATTCGGTGACACGGCGATGTGAGTGAAGGGACCAATATCCAAGAAGCGATCCTCGCACGCTGTGGCGTCCGACACGTAGATGGTCTGGTTGATGCTGAGGAGCACCTCGACTGACCGAGACAGTGTGTACGCGGGCGGGATGATGTTCCACGAGTGCACCTGGCCCCCGGGAGGCGGAGCCAGAAGCTTCGGACGGGGTTCGTCATAGGAAGAAACCGAAACCAGGCCGTTGTTGTTCAGTAGGGCAACAAGACCGTGGGCATAGAACTTGCATGACTTGACGCCAGTCTCGTCGGCGCCATTGCCTAGAGAGAACTGGGTGAACTCTCCCTGCAGGTCATAGTAGCACCTCACAGTGCCGTCCGACGTGACGACTAGGAGCTTCTCATCCTCAGACCAGCCCAACCCCTTGATGGAGCCCTGATCCCAGTTGATGCGGCGGATGAGCTTGCCGGCACAGCTGTAGATGTCGATGCTGGGCTTGGAGGGTCTTGTTGGTTGGAAGGCGATCAGCTTCTCCTCATCGCGGTAGAGGGCTGTATAGCTGTGTGAGCGAAGGCATGACGGGAACCTAGGTAGGGAAGTCGGGCAACCATCCATTTACCCACAGGCACTGATGGGCAATCCACGAGCACCCACCCACACTCACTTACCAATAGCGCCTCCATAGGGAGCTCCGGCGACCAGATAATTATCCAAGTCCAGGTCCTGGTCAAACACTTGCGTGTAGAGTTGGGTTTTGCGGTAAAAACGCTCACCAAGCTGTTCCCAGCCTGCTGTGGGATGCGCGACGTCCATCATATGTCATGTTCCCATGCTTGACCGTGAACGGGGCTGACTGGGTTGTTGAGAGTAGGCGGTACTTGTAGGGTTGTGTTGTTGATTAATGAACGGGCCGGGGCCGCCTGGAGTGCTGAATGGATGGAGCCTGTGGGCACACTGGAGCTCGCACGGTGCAACTAACGGGCACAGGGGCATGGCACGACCTCGCTCCAGCACGGACCCAGCCATGGGCTCCTTCAAGCCCAACCCCTGTTGGGGTTCGCGGGGTTAAGACGATAAGCTAGCTCGTGCGGCTTTGCATCATCATCAACCTAAAAAGCCATCTTCGACGCCGGTTCCCGCCCTTATTTCGTCATTTGATTTGCTTGGTTTTTCTTCCTTAGCCCGTTGCATGACAATCCCTTGACTGGAGTTGCGCACCATGGCTGATTGGAGGCAAGAATACGTCGCGGGAATTAGGGAAACAGAGAAACAACACCCGGTAGACCAGGAGCTTATCGCAGCGTGTCAGTCCGAAACCCCGCCGCTGCCCATCCATCCACTGCTTGTTGATTACATTGCCCGTCGCATTAACTGGACGCGGGCAGACTCTGTCGAGCAGCAGTGATCTAGCTTAGCTATCAACATTCCAGACTGACAAAGTCCCAGGCTCAGAGCTCCTTGACCGCGTCTCCGCTCTCGAAGCCGAAAAAGCAGCCCTCCAACCCCAGTCGCAATCCCAACCCTCCGTGCCCCCCACAACAACCAAAGCCTCAAAACCACCAATATCCGACCCCTCTGACCCCGCCGGGGGGGATACTCCCACCGTAGCCCGCCTCCGCCTCGAGGTAGCCGAAGCCCTGCGTTCGAAAGGCGAGTTCCAGCAGCGCCTCCAGGTAGCAGACGCGGAACTCGCTCGCCTCCGCACCAAGACAGCCGCCGACTCGAAGACGCTACGCAACCTCACGGCGGAGCGACGCACCCTCACCTTCAAGCTGCGAGACCGCGAGGAGGAACTCCGGGTCAAGAACAAGCTCGTGGCGGACGTGCAGGACGAGTTGGCGGTGCTCAACATGCAGCTCGACATGGTGGAAAAGAAGCGGGCCGAGAAGGAGGTCGAGAACAAACAGCTCGTCGAGAGGTTCATGCAACGGGTAGGGCAGGAGGCCGATGCCATGAACCTGGCGAACGACCCGCTGTTCAACAAGAAGAGGTAGCAGGGCGAGCCGGCGGCTATTTGGGAAGGTATTCCAACCGCAAAAAACAAACGCGCTTCGCTGGGGGAGGGGGGTCGATGGTGCTTAGTATTCCGACAAGGAAGGTATGTATACTACATTTATTTATCTATGCGGTCCCTTCTTCAACCCCCTCCCTTCTTCAAAGCTGTACAGATGTACACCAAGAGGTACACCAACAAATACATCAACAAACACCGCTATATGGGGTACTCATTTGTCTTTGCAGACATGTCCAAATACTGATGCCGACCGTCCCATACTCCTGAAAGACTCACCCAAACCCACCGGCACGCCCCAAAAGTCTCACAAGCACGCAATCACTTCCTCGTCGAAATGCAGAATGTCCCTGCGGCTCCCGTCCAGCTAACATAACCCTCGTGGTATCTCAAGTCCTCGACTTCCAGAATGGACGACGCCACATCGTTCTCGGCGAGTTTGTTGTCGTGGACAAACGTCTTGAGCGACACAATCTTGCACCCAATCTTGAGGTCCAAGAAGATGTTGACGAGGTGGTCGTTGAGCTCCGACGTAAAGGCCTGGTTGTTGACCAGGACCACGTCGGCGCGTTTCAGCGCCGCCAAGGTCCTCTCGCTCTTCCGGAAATCGCCCCGTTCCAGGTGCACCTTGCCCGGCGCGATACCCCACATCCGACACCGCGCCGTGAACTCCTTCTTCTGCGCCTCGGCGAGGTTGCACGCGTTCTCCATCATCTCACAGCCCCAGCTCTCGCACCCTCTTTCCAGGGCCGCCTGAAGCGTCACGTTGCCGACTCCCGAGCCGAGGTCGACAAAGACCATGTCCGAACTCAGCTTTGTGCGGTCGAAGATGTCGGAAATAAACGGGTGGAGCAGCTCGCCATAGACGTTGTCGGTGCCATTTTCGTACTTGGCGAGGAGGTCGACTTTGGGCGCCACCGTACGGTCGTATACTTGGTCCAGGATGAACTCGACGAGCTCCCTGGACACACCACGCATGGCGTCGATATTCTTCGCTATTGCGCCTTTCGTCTGAAGGGCCAGCAGCTGGTTATTGTATTCCACCAGAGCCGCCTTGAACCCGTCCCCGTCATTGGTGTTCTTGCTCTTCTCCAACTGGCGGTTGATGCCAATGTTTTGGTCCAGGAATGGTTTCGCCTCGGCGTTGGTGAGGTATGTCGATGCCACGAACTTAACGACCTTCATAATGTCTAGGGCGCCGTCGATCTTGTCCTTGCCCCACACGAGCTCATACCTAAGAACCGTCAGCACTCTGCCCCCCGCGATAATGGAGACCGCGATCAACTCACCGCTCGGTGTATTTCGCCCCGGGATACCGCAGCCGCACGCCCACCTCGTCCCGCCCCAGCTTCATGACCGGCTGGCACTTGTCCTCCAGCGACGCCACCTGCACCGCGTGCACGATCCCCGGCTTCTCCTCCTCGCCCTGCCCCGCCCATAACCTCGGATGCCTCAGCCGCCGGTCCGGGTCCTCCGTGTGCGCCGCCCGCTTCCGCCGCTTGCTCGGGTCCAGCCTCTCGCGCCAGTCGTCGTCGTCGTCGTCTGACCCCGGTTCCGAGTCGCTGAGCACGGGCGCGGGGCTCGCCGTCGCGGGCGACCGGCTGCTGGCGGGGGCCCGCCGTTTCCGGCTCGAGCCTAGCGTGGAGGAGGCGGACGACGAGAGCGAGGGCCTGACCGCTGGGGAGGAGGGCCGTTGTAAGGGGCGCTTCGCGTGCAGGGAGGAGGGGATGGGCGACGCGCGCGGCGTGCCGTGGGTGCTGCTGCCGGTGCTCGCATGCCGCTTTTCCGGGGTCGGCGCGACGGCTTGCTTGACCTTGCGGACTTCGGTCTTGACCTTGAATTTGGATTTTTGGTTGAATATGCTCATCTTGTGTTCTCCGCCGCCGACATGCGTGTATACTGTGCGGCTGGCTTGGTGGTGGGTGCGGATCGGATCGGATGCGACGAGCGTGACGCGCCTGTCGCGTGGGGGCGGGTCTCGAGAGGGTCTACAAGTAATGCATGCGGTCTCGCGGATGAGCGAAGCGAAAGAATAAACAGATGAATAGAAAAAGACCGCTGGGAATCCTGGTAACAATGCGGAGCGAGCGACGAGAGCCGATCAAAAACAAGCCGGGGGTAAGAATACAAGGCGAAAGGCGAGGCTGCGGGGTTGAGACAGAAATGCAGTCGGTTGCTCCGACGTTGAGGCTTGGGAGGTGAGAAAGATCGGGAGCCTTGGCAGAAGGCAGCCCAGGGTCCATCCTCCTGCTGACTGTGCAGGGACTGGCAGGGCGGGCTGCAGGCAGCTGGAGGCGACATGCACGGTGGCACGTCCTGGCCCAGAATTTTCTCGAACGCGTGTCACGTGGGGGACGCTTCAGATTCCGGGGAGGGTTACCTCGAGGTTTCCGACTTGTCGCTCCCCACTTTATTCTCGACTTCATCTTCCACTTCGTCGTAAAACAACCATCGGGGGATGGAGGTCATCATCATACTTTCCTGAAAATTGCCACAAAATAGGTATGTGATGAAAATAAGGGTGATGATGCCCACATCCAAGTACGCCCACAAAAGGATATACACAAACATCTCGATACCTGGGAAACCATGAAATGCCCCTCACCCTCCACCCGGGTCATCTCGTCCTCCGAGCCGCTTCTTTCCCTCCCTTCTCGGTGTCTCAATCGTCGTGCCAGTTAGTCCTCGGCCAAGACGTCAGGGTCGCCGTCCCCGCCGCCGTCACCATTCTTTTCGTCATAGTCGTCCTCACCATAGGGACTTTACAATGCTGCGTAGAACCACAGATGCCCAGTCTTCGCGTTGGTGGAGGTGATATCCCGTTCTAGAGTCAAAGCATTCGCCACCACTCCTAAATAGGGCTTCACATAACAAAGAAACCAACAAACCTTGGGGGGTTGAAGTTGTGGAGACAAGCACAGAGGTACCTAGTCATCAACTGATCTTGTCACTACACAGGCACCCTCTAAAAAAGCCGAACCGGAAAGGAAAGCAAGAAATCAAGCAAAAAGAATAAATAAAAGGAAACCGAGAAAAGTAAATCGAATAAAAGAACTAGGGTAAAGGAAAAGTAAATGTAGTAAATACAGTTTCTTTGGGCTTCACGACGGTTTTCGTTTTCTTCCTGCAGTCGAGGACTCGAAGTTTCCATTGTCAACATCTGCGCTTAGAGTTCGGCTTTTTTTGTCCATGGGGCGGCAGGTCACTCCGGCTTTGTCTATTCGCCCCATAACAACCTATATGCGTGTTCTTTGATCAATGCTAATATTTGAGGCCCGCGCCGCGCTGAATTACACATCTGTCTTTGACCCCAAGAACCTTATATAACTACTCAAGATCCTCCCTTCATAGCTTGATCCAATCCACGCAACCAGCGAGCTTATGGTAATTGTTACATCCCACACACACATTTCTCTACCTATAAACTTGCGCCATGGGAACCCCGAACACGACAACCCCGGGCAAGAGGTCTTCGGAAGATGCGGCATCTGACCGTGTGAGAAGGTCGTCACCCAACAAAATTAATTTTAGAGGCCTTCCCGCTGCCAATCTTCTGTCTCTAAGCTCTCTCGAGTTCAACGAGTTCATGTGCGAGCGCATGCCGAGCAATAACAGCGATGGGGTGGCTATCAACTTCACGGACTTGAACTGGAGGGACTTGACGGAAGCCGACGAGCGTAGGGTTCACCAAAGGATTACGTATGTACTCTCCACTGTACCGGCTTTTGCTTCACATGCAGACACTAACTGTACTATGTAATGTAGGGACTGGGTGAACTCACCGTCTCGTCTAGTTAATCTCAACCAAGTCAACAACCGGCTTCTCGACTTCCTAGCGAGAGCACCGTCGGTCTCAAGAACCCCATCTGTATCTTCGACCACAACGTATGATAGCGAGGATGAACTCCAGTGCGTCATTCTAGAAGAAACCCTGGCATACAATAGCCTTGTTGCTGACGGTGGTCGGCCATGCTATCGGTTCGACTTGCTCGAGAACGTTACCAGAGCCCCTGAGGAGCACCGCGACATGTTGCGCGCTTGGGGTTCCGAGAACGACTGGATGGTATACACGAAGCAGTTCCATCGATGGAAAAAGTTTCGCAGCTGGCAGGAAGACAACCGTGGAATTCTCAATATAGGGGTCGACTTTGAGAAGTCCCAAGCACGGCATGCCACTTGGGACAGGATGCGAGGGCGTGAACCGGAGCGCAGCGATCCGGAGTGGCAGGCGAATCACCTCAATATGGTGACCAACCAACGAAAACATGAGCATCGCCGCTTTGTCGAAAGTGGTGTGGCCAAAATGAAGGGCGAAAACAGGTTCTCGATCTACGTCCAGGCGGCACGAACCCGCCTGAAACGCCACGACTTCACACGAGAATTCCAGCCGGCCCAAGACCACTTACACCAGGACGAGTTGACGACTTGGATCGAGTATCTAAACTACGAGTACTGGGCTTACGATAAATTCGCTGCCAGAGCGGATCGGCTTCAGCCAGAGTACGAGCAAGCCCTCAAAGATCTCCTTGGTGGAGAGGTACTCTTACCCGGCGAGACGATCGAATCCGTCGTTGATTTTCACTATCGTTTACAGCTCAACCGCGACAAGTATCAGGCCGAACAGGCTATGAAGAACGCCGAATCCAACCTTGCAGCTAGGCAGGAGGCGTTGGATAACACCGGTAAAGACGCGCGTCACCTCGCTCAGGACATTTCATTGAAGCAACTCCAAAAGAGGTTAAAGGAAGCCGTCGAAGCTTTCACGGCCCTTGAGGCACGCGACCGTCTCATAGAAATCTTTTTCAAGGCCTACAAGCCCTACAAGCTCGCCAGGAATAAGGAAGAGGCCCATAAACTCATTTTGAAATGGATTCTTGACCAGATGCCTCTCGTCGAAGCGGAGTTGGCGGAACGCAAATATGCTACCACGCCCGGCGGAACAAGAACAAGGCGGCCCAGTCACGAGGGGAACCCGGACGGTCCAGATTCTCAGAGGCATGTGCCTCGCACACCGACGCCTCAAGAGGTCGTGCCCGCACCAGAGCCACCGAGGCAGACTCATTCCTCGTCCGGCTCAAAGAAAGCACCGAGCGACGCCGACAATGACAACAAAGAAGCCGAAGAGGCGGCCGCCAAAGGGCCCGGGCCGGGCGACCAAGCTGTCCGAGGGGCTCAGCCCGCGTCGGAGTTGCATGAGCAGGCGGTATCTTCAACCATGATCGGCCTGAAAAGAGCACGGAGCGATAATGACAACGAGGAAGAATCCGAAGCACCAGCAGCCAAGAAGCTTAAGCTGGACGCGGAAGCTGTCCGAGGTCATCAGGCTGGACAGGAGATACGACGCACCGGGAAAGTGCGCGCTCCGGAGGCCGAAAATGCCGAAGCTGCACTCAGCCACCAAGCCGCGAGGGAACGAGAAACACAAAGATCAACGGGCACCGGGCCCGCCGCCGCCGCCAGGCGGCGCCATCAGACTCGGCTGGCAACCAGCCGCGCCGGACAGGCGGCAGGTGTCAAAACGACCGAAACTTTGTCGGAGTCTGTGCCTAAGCGTGTCACCCGGGCGAGCAAGAAGAAGCCGGCGAAGAAACCGGAGCCAAAGAGGGTTCAGCCAAAGAGGGCCCGGCCCAAAAAAGCCTAGGATCCAAGCTGCTCACTACCGAGGAGGCTCAACTAAAGAAGCTGGACCGAAAACAGACTCAGTCAAAGGACCGATAGGGGGGACTAGACGGCGTCGCTGAAATAGGATGGGGGGAGAGGGTAGGGGAGGGCTAAGTGGTCTGTGGGGGTTGCCAACCGGAGCATGGTGCCCAGTGGGTGGTGTCTTGGAGATATACATGTACAGCAAAGCAGAAAAGAATGTGAACAGAGCTCCACGGTTTTAGAAGTGGTGAAGAAGGGTTGGAGGGGATAAGATAGGATTTAGACATCTTTTTGTCTTCTATGAATGAGTATCGTGTATAAAACAGTATTGAAAAATGCGACTATTTGTATTTCCTAACCTTGAGTTGCTAAGATGGGTCCCTGGCTCCGGGTTTGGTTTGTTTGGAAACGAGATGTGGGAAAAAGGGGTGGGCATTCCGCGATGGCACGATGTTCATATCCAAACCCTAACCCTCGTTGGGATTGAACGTGCGATGCAGATGAGTCCATGTTCGTCTCACCTTGCTACCTATTTATTCGGATGAACCTCTGTTACCCACTTAATTTATGGTATCGTGACGGTCCCCGTTTATGTGACAGTAAAAGGGGGGGGGATCGGGAAATGGGAAAGGGAAAGAGGGAGAGCAAGAGAAAGCCTGAGAGCGATGATGAGAGGAGAGAGCCAAGCTGCTAAGCGAATTTGGAAAGATGCTGAGGCTTGGGGGTGGGTCTGTGGATCTCCCAGCCGAGGGCCACAGGTTCGAGCCACATGATGACGTCATGGATAGCAACTTCCGTCCTCCAAAATCTGTCTGGCAGCTCTCGACGACTGCAATGGTGCACACTGTGTGTTTACAACTGAATGCATCATTTCTGTGGTCGAGGCCGAGCCGAGCTTTGTTCGTCAATTGGGAGAGTGGGGCCGAGAACTGGGGCCGTGACGCAGCATCTCACCATTTCTCTCTCTGAAGCTCCAGAAGCTCCCTGCTTTTGGAGATCGCCAGAGCACTCACCCCAGAGTGCCCAGCTCGCCTTTGCCCAACCAGATGGCCGCTGAAACCCAGAGTTAAAACTTGGCCTGTGAAAGGAAGTTGAAGCCGGTCTCGACGAATCGAGGAAATTGGCTGGCCCTCGCTCTTTCCTATGACGCACACGATGGGCCCACACCAGCTCGGTACTGTACGCGTGTCACGTCACCGCCGTCTTCTTTCAATTGAATTCCTGAACTATGTTAGGTACTCCTCTACTTTCTTCTGATCTGCCGGTCTATAATAAACGACGCTCACACCTCAACCGGGCTGCTGCCCCTTCCACTCCTCCTGATATTTCACTACATCAATCCAACAACTGAATAGCGTTCTCTGTGCTTTGAGAACCTTGATACCCAAACTAGTTTCTTTTTTTGATACCCCCAAAAATACCAATTTCATAATAAGAACTCTCCAAACCGGCTCCTGAACTACAACCATATTCATCTGACCGCTCAACTCAACTCAACGACAACAATTGACCCACCCAAAATGGCCCCCAACGTCAACAAACCCACAGATATCAAGCAGAAGGAGGCGGACGTCAACCGCAAACTCCAAATCTACGGCATCATCAGTGCCTTCAAGACGGGCAAAGTCCCATCGGTGCGTGGTTCCTCGCTCACTCCTCTTCTAGCGGAAAGCAGAAGCTAACATGCACACGCGCACAGAACGACCAGATCGATGTGGCCCTGAATAGCTTCCTTGAGTCCAAGGCGCTCTCGAGCCCTTCTCAGAAGCTCTCGCCGGAGGGGCAGACACTCGTAGCCGACGCCAAGGAAGTGGTGAGGGAGGCCAAACATCTGCTATTGTCCAAGAACGATGGGAACCTGCTGCAAGACTTCATCTGGCAGACCCAACAGTTTGACCCCAAGGCTGTATCGACTCCCGGCACACCCCTCAACAAAGAACAGGCGCAGCAGCACGGCAACCAGGCCCTCGACGGCCTGCGCACTCTCGGCACCCTGATCATCACAAATGGCCAGTTCCGGAAGCTTCGTACGTGCTATTCGCCCGCCACACGCACATGCACCTTGGCTGAGAAAACATGCTGACCCCACGCAGTCAAGGATGCCACCATCCTCCTCCGTGATATGGCCGGAGACGCCGCCACGAATGCCGCCGCGAGGGTCAAGCCTAGCCAGGAAGACATCGCCCAGCTCGACCACCCCGCCCAGGACAACACCTGGCATGATGCGCCAGATATGTCAAAGAACGGGATGAAGGGCAGGCTGCAGGAGTATTACAAGGGCAACCCTAAAGAGGATGTGAGGGCCGCCACGGCTGAAGGTACATCCAACGCCCACCCATCAGGTTCCTCGGATCCCAGAGATTTGGCATCCACCGCGGCGGACGATCGCCAGACCGGCACCGCCTCGGGAGCCAATGCATTGGGAGGCGCGGCCACGGCCAAGGACGCCCTGAAGCGCAACGTCGATGAGAACGTCGACGAGGAGACCAAAGAGAAAGCCCGCGCTAGGCGTGAAGAGTACCGGGAACGTACAAAGAACTACTTCTCCCGCAAGGTGCCGCAGGAGCGCCGGGATCAAACCGTCTGGCGCCTCAAGGTATGTCGCCCGGCCCCTCCGGCCAATCTAGTCTTGAAGTCGGTAGCTAACTAGTGCCGCCCCAGAAAATGGTTCTCGAGTGCCAGCAGCACCCTGATTATTACCAGGCTGTTCAGACACTACTGGACCTCGCCGAGGAGTACAGCGACCACGCCAACCGGCTAGCCCGGGGCGGCTCAGGCACCGTCAAAGACGCTCGATCAAACTTAGTTCAGGCCGAGACCGACCTCAAGACGCTGATCGAGCGGTTTGCCAACGGTACCTCCACGGACGATCTGTGGTCCTCAATCAACACCATCTACGAAGATGCAGACCGGGACCCTCAGCTCCGGAATTGGTTCAAGGCTTTGAACCAGTATATCCGCCGCTGTCTGCAGGAGCAGGGCTACATCCTGGATGACGAGTCCAACGTGCAGTGGAACCGTCTGTACGACGAGGGCAACTACCTGCTCCGTGACAAGTACCGCGGCCATACCGACCGCATCGTGGACGAGATCAAGTTCCTGGCCGACCAGTTTGACCAGGACCCGCAGAACAAGGCCTTCGCCGCCTCGCTGACCAAGCTGTTCACCGCCCTGGGTAACGACGACGACGGGAAGCCGACTTTCAAGCCTCACCTCGTCAAGGACCTCACCGATGCGATCCTTCCTGCAATTTTCGAGAATGTCGCCTACATCCCGGTGCCGCGGATCGAGTACTCGGACCCCCAGTTTGACGCCGTCATTGAGAACCTTGTCCTCGAGAGCGACAACTTCATGCCCAACGTGCTGGAGATTGCTAGCGAGAACTACATGCGTTTCGGCCGCAAGAAGATTGCCAGCAACAGCAAGCACTCGGTCGATGTCAAGGTGGCGGGCATCCAAATGGATCTCCGGGATGTCAGCTACTACATCAAGCGCAAGCAGGGCTTCCCCTCCATCACAGACCAGGGGGTAGCCAACTTCCTGCTCGCCGGAGACGGTTTCACTTTCCGCATGAAGCTGTCGTCGCCGGACGAGCGGGACAAACAGTCCTTCTTCAAGGTCGACAAAGTGGACGTCGTCGTCAAGAACCTCAACATCAAACTCGTCAAATCGAACCACAAGATGCTTTTCGGACTCTTCAAGCCGCTGATGCTCAAGGTCCTGCGCCCTGGCGTGCAAAAGGCGCTGGAGAAGGCTATCAAAGACCAGGCTGCGCAGCTCGACGCCATGCTGTTCCAGATCAAGCAGGAGGCCGACCGGGCGCTCGAGCAGGCCCGCGAGGACCCGCAGCACACGCCCAACATCTACAACCGGTACATGACGGCCGCCCAAAAGAAGGTGTTGCAGGGCAAGCAAAAGGCGGAGGGCGCCGTGGCCGACAAGAAGGTCAACTACGCCATCACCAAGGAGGAGAGCATCTTCCCCAACATCCACCTGCCCGGCGGCATCAGCTCCAAGGCTACCGAGTACCGCGACCTCGCCCGCAAGGGCGACAAGTGGGAGAGCCCCGTCTTCTCCATCGGCTCTGCCGCCAAGAGCCGCGACCTCCCCGCCGCCCCCAAGGTCGTGCGCAAACCGCACCGGGCCGCCACCCCCGGCAGCGCGCACGCCGCGACTAATGGCAACGCGCACTCCGCGCCGCTCAACGGGGGCGCCCTCAACGGGAGCACCTTGAATAACGGGCCTGCTGTCAACGGTGGTGTAAAGGGCGCCGCTCCAAACGGCAACACCCTAGGTGTTAACGACCTGAACGGGGGCTTCAAGGCCCGCACACCTGCTTTTGACCCGAATGCGCCGGCTGCTTATTAAGGGGGTGCAAGAAGTTGGAGGGTTGCGGTGGGCGGAGACGCGGAGCAGTGGATGAGTTGGGGGAATAGCAATACCCGAGAGAGGTGGATGGGGGAAAAAAGTGTTTTATACCCGGTTAATGTGACGAGTTATGAATGGGTTGGGTTGTCTTTTATAGGGGCGACGTCAAACCAGATTGTTAATTCCATGTCTCGAGTTGTTGGTTTCGGGGGATGGGGTGGTCTTGGGTGCGGTTGTTTGTCGATTTGTCGTCGTTGGCATCCTTTACTGTATATTAGTCTCCTTGACTGTAATACAATCTTGTATGTTTTGCTAGCAACGTGTCATAGGACAAAAATGATGTTAAATGTCATGAGTGATTTCCTCACTAACACACACACGAACAGACGGTGGTTGGTGACGTCGGTTGAGGTGGGGTTAGGGTTGTGTATGGGCTTGCTGCCTGGAATTGGTGCAGGCAACGACTTGTTCTTTCCATCATCGAGTTATCTTCTCTCTCAAAACGCACACTTGTGTTTTCCCATTTTCTTTCTCGAAACACACATTTTCCTCACATGAATTACCGATCTTTTGAAACCATACCACCCCGCATGGTATCATAATACGCATTGGCTTTTTTGATGTTTCCAAACCTGTTGTTTACTCGCTCAACTATCGACTGGCCTCATTACACCCCTGCATTCACAGCTCATCAGCAACCGCTACAATGAGCAGCCGAACCAAACGCGCCAAGTCCCCGGACGTTGATGCCATCGAAGAAGATGAGAAACAGTACGGGAGCGGGCCCCTCAGCCTCGAAGAGCTCGACGAACAGTAGACATCCCTTTACCCTCCTCCTTCACTTACCACCACGATCACTAACACACCACCCAGCTTCCCCAACCGCCCGCGCAACCACTCCAAAACACCCCCCTTCTCCCACCTCTTCACGGCCCTCTTCAACCCCCTGATGGACTGCAAGCCCACGACGGCAGGCGCCGCGGGGCCCGCCCGCCGACCCGGCCGCGCCGGCGCCGGCGCCGGTACCTCCTCCAAGCTCTCCTACCACGAGCAGCGCCGCCACATAATCGAGCGCTTCATGGCGCGGTGGCGCGCCGAGGTCGGCCCGGACTTCTACCCGTCCATGCGCCTCATCCTGCCGGACAAGGACCGCGACCGCGGCGTGTACGGTCTCAAAGAGAATACCATCGGAAAGCTGCTCGTCAAGGTCATGAAGATTGACCGCAACTCGGAGGATGGCTATGCGCTTATGCATTGGAAGCTGCCGGGGGAGCATGGTGGGGGAGGTGGGGGAGGTGGTGGCGGTGGGGCGAGGTTTGGTGGTGGGAATATCAAGAGTGCTGGGGATTTCGCGGGGCGGTGTTTTGAGATTGTGGGGAAGCGGCAGATGAGGACTGAACCGGGGGAGTTTACAATCGGGGATGTCAATGTGATGCTGGACCGGCTCGCGGGGGCGAGTGGTGAGGCGGAGCAGCTGCCGATTTTCGAGGAATTCTATCAGGGGATGAATGCCGAGGAGCTTATGTGGCTGATCAGGATCATCCTCAAGGAGATGAAAGTGGGTGCTACGGAGAGGACTTTCCTGGGGCTGTGGCATCCGGATGCTGAGCCGCTGTTTAGCGTCTCGTCGAGCTTGAGGCGGGTGTGTTGGGAGCTGCATGACCCCGAGTTTCGGCTCGAGCAGCAGGAGACCGGCGTCACACTCATGTCGTGCTTCCAGCCACAACTGGCGCAGTTCCAGACGACGTCGTCGTTTGCAAAGCTGGTCACGAATCTGGGAAGCAACGAAGAGAACCAAGAGTTTTGGATCGAGGAGAAGCTGGACGGGGAGCGTATGCAAATGCATATGCAGCAAGACGACAACGTGCCAGGGGGGTACAAGTTCGCATTTTGGTCGCGCAAGGCCAAAGAATACACCTACTTGTACGGGAGCGGCCTCGAAGATAACAACTCGGCGCTCACCCGGCACCTAAAAAGCGCATTCGACAGCGGCGTGCGAAATCTGATCCTCGATGGCGAGATGATCACCTGGGACCCGGAGGTTGACAAAATGGTCCCCTTCGGCACCCTCAAAACCGCTGCCCTAGAGCAGCAAAAGAACCCCTTCCACAACGGCCCACGCCCGCTCTATCGCGTCTTCGACATTCTCCTCCTCAACGGCAAGTCCCTCACCGAGTACACGCTCGCCGACCGACACCGCGCCCTCGAACGCGCCGTCAAGGGCGAAACCCGGCGCCTAGAAATCCACCCGTACATCACAGCCACATCTGCCGATGAAATCGAGCCCCATCTCCGCGTGGTCGTGACCGAGGCGTCCGAGGGCCTGGTCCTCAAGAACCCGCGCTCGCGGTACCAGCTCAACAGCCGCAACAACGACTGGATCAAGGTCAAGCCCGAGTACATGTCCGAGTTCGGCGAGTCGCTCGACCTGGTCGTCGTCGGTGGGTATTGGGGCTCGGGCCGGCGGGGTGGCACGCTCTCAAGCTTCCTGTGTGGGCTGCGCGTCAGCGAGAATTTTGTGCGGTCCGGCGCCGCCGCCAGCCGCGAGAAGTGCCTGAGCTTCTGCAAGGTCGGCGGCGGATTCAAGGCCGAGGACTACGGCGAGATGCGGCACCACACCGAGGGCAAGTGGAAGGAGTGGGACCCGGCCAGTCCGCCCTCCGAGTTCATCGAGCTCGGCGGCGGCGAGCGGCTGCAGTACGAGCGGCCCGACGTGTGGATCCGGCCGAGCGAGTCGGTCGTCATCTCCATCAAGGCCGCGTCGTTTGCCCCATCCGACCAGTTCGCCGCCGGTTGGACGCTGCGGTTCCCGCGCTTCCGGAAAATGCGGCTCGACAAGGCGTGGGATGCGGGCATGGACGTGGACGAGTCCGAGGCGCTGCGCACCAAGGTCAAGCAGGAGGAGAAGGAGCGCAAGGCGATGGAGATGGAGAGCCGCAAGCGCAAGCCGGCGAAGCGGCAGAAGAAGGAGCTGGTCATCGCCGGCGCTGCGGATCCGGCGGAGAAGACGGCCGAGTTTCTCGCCGTCAAGAAGCCGAAGACCGAGCTGTTCCAGGGACTGGACTTCTGTGTCCTGTCGGAGGTGCTCAAGCCGAAGAAGATGACCAAACCTAATCTCGAAAAGCTGATCAAAGAAAACGGGGGCAAGCTGCACCAGACGGTGGATAAGGGGTCCGGCATGATACTACTTGCGGACAAGAACGTCGTCAAGGTAGCCAGCCTCAAGAAAGCCGGTGACGCGGATATCGTGCGGCCCAAGTGGGTGTTTGACTGCCTCGAGCAGGGCGGGGGAGAGGGGTACCTCCTCCCGTTCGAGGAAAACCATCTGCTGTATGCCACCGAGGAGATGAAGACGGTCGCTGAACAGAGCACCGACCAGTATGGTGACAGCTACGCACGGGATGTGGGCGCCGACGAGCTGAGGGCGATCCTGGACGGCATGGGCTTGCCCGACGAGAGCGAGGGGTTTGTCGTGGACCAGTTCCTCGACCAGCTCGAGGAGCACGGGAACGGCCTGGACGGGCTCAAGAGTTTTATATTCCGGCGGTTCCGGGTGCACTTTGCGCTCGGGGAAGGGGTACCCGGGGCCGGGGCGCTCAAGCTGGCGAGCTATGTGCAGTTTGGGAACGGGGAGGTGGTGGAGGATATCGAGGACGAGCGGATCACGCACGTGGTTGTTGTTGGCGGGAAAGAGGACACTGCTGCGTCTGAGAAGGTGGTGGCGGCGGATGTGCGGTACAAGATCAGTTCTAGGAGGGCGGTGCCCAGGGTTGTCTCTGCGAAATGGGTGGAGGATTGCTGGAAAGAGGACACGCTCGTGGACGAGGAGCAATACGCACCAAGCTGAGGCCTGTATAACGGCGATGATGAGGCTTGGACAGACATGATAGATACCCTTGAATGAATTTCACCGCGTTTTGAGGCACGTTCGACTGTTTCGTATTGAAGGCGAAAAGGGACATGTCACCATGTTGTGCTCCATTCCGCATCCAAGAAACACAACCAAACTATTCAACCAACCCCTCAACCAACCACCGCCTACTTCCCAATCGTCAAAAACAGCCTATCCCCCACATCCCCCAAGCCAGGCTTGAGCATCCCGCGGTCCGTCAACTCCTCATCCACCCCGGCCAGCCAGATCTCCACACCCTCCGGCCACTCGGCCGCGGCCGCCTTCACGCCGGACGCGGCGCCGAGCACCGACAGCACGACGACGCGGCGGGCGCCCCACTCGCGCAGCGTCTGGATGGCCGCCGCGCACGTCCCGCCCGTAGCGATGACCGGGTCGAGGATGATGGCCAGCTCGGACGCGCTGGTGTCCGCCGTGCCACCGCCGTCGCCGCCGTTGCCGCCGCCGCTACCGGCGAGGTGGTTGGGCAGGTTGTTGTAGTACTCGACGGGGTGCAGCGTCGCCGGCTCGCGGTACAGGCCGAGGTGGTGCACGGGGACGGGGTGCGGGAGGAGGGTTTGGATGGCTGTTTTGGTTGTTGGGGGTGGGGTGGTTAGCATGGTTCGAGGAAGGTTCTTGAGAGGAAAGGGGGGAGGGGGGGGGGGGGGAGGGTATAATGGGAAGGGGGGTAGGTACCTTCGACCATGCCTAGGCCGGAGCGGAGGATGGGGATGAGAGAGACGGTCGCGGGGAGGAGTTGGTGGGTTTGGAAGTCGAAGCCGAGGGGGGTTTTGTCCTGGAGGTATAGGTTAGGCTTGGGTCGGGTTGGGAGGGATGATCATCGGGGCGTTGCGGGGGGGTTGACGGACAGTTGGTCCTGGAGCACTGGTGAGTCCTTTGGCAAATGCTTCGCAGCCCACGATCAGGGAAATATCGTGGATCAACCCCTTGACGTCTTTCGGGAGGGTGTCTTGTGACCGCAGCTGGCTCAACTTTGCGAGTAGGCACGGGTGCTGCGAGACATGGACGTTGGGCGGGAGGTCCGACATGGTGGTGGCTTTGAGGTAGGTACGTCTATTTGGGTACAATAGGGAGAGATGAGGATGGGACCAAGGACAAAATACGTAAAAAAGGTTCGATCTTGTCGAGGTTAGGTTGCGGTGTCGTTGAGATCCGATGGAAGGGACCTGCAGCCAGGAACGGTGTACTGACGGTGTATTGTGTAATCCGCCGCGTCTAGCCTCTTATACGGCGACGCCCCATTCGGAAACCAACATCTGCAGAGGGTCGTGCGGGAGCTTGATTCGCTGCGATCAGGGAGGGGAGCTCCATGCCTTGGTTGGACACATCATTCCCGCCGCACTCCGAGACAAGCAACAACGATCGGGCAGAGAAACCGGGGCCTGGCCCTTGGCTATCGTTCTCAGTCCGGGAAGGCGCCCCGAGCTTGAGCTGCATGCATCTGTCCCTGCCTCCGCGTGACACTGGCTCGACAAGGTCAAGACGACGGTGAGCCGAGAGCGGGGCAGGCGAGAAAGATAAGATAAAAGCAGGAAAGAGCCAAGCACTCGGAAAACCGGGGTAACGAGCCCGCTGTGTCCGGCAAACGCCAGTACGTCTTGGCGTGCGCGCGCGGGCTGCGCAACATTTTCTAATTTTTTGGAATTTTGAAAGGGGAAAAGTAGGATGAGAAACTTTATATAGTTATATCAACCAACCCACCACATGCGCGCACCGCGCAAATACCTCAATTTATATATCTAGATACGTAGGATCTGGATTTTATACCCGATCGATGATGCGGATAATGCGCGTTGAGCTATCGATAGATTTCTGTTTTTCTTGATTTTGTTCAAACTTTTCGACGATATCTTGGCTAGGCTTGGCAGGTCTTGGCGATTTTTACGAAAAATTCACTAGTTTTTAAACCCATCAAGATCTCAGCGCGTATTATCCGCATCATTAATCGGATATAATATTTAGATTCTACGTATTTAGATATATAGCTTAAGGTATTTGCGCGGTGCACGCATGTAGTGGGTTGGTTGATATAGCTGTAAATAATTCGACCGATTTCTGGTCTTCTGGCCGTTTTTTTTCAAAAATTCGGGCGTGTTCGGCGCGCGCGCACGCCAAGACGTACTGGCGTTTGCCGGACACAGCGGATCCACTGCCAAGAGGTACGTACCGCCGTCATCCAAATCCGGTCCCATCCCGGACCAGGGCCGATTTAACTCCGGACACGAACGACAACATCAAACAAACATGGGTTGAAGCAACAGAACAAGATTGGCTTGCAGTGCGCAATGGCCGAGTCGCCCCATCTGAGAGGAGAGCCATCACGAGGAACACAGCATGGCCGGGGCGCGTCAACCACGTCTAGGGAATACAATGCTCCGGGCTCAATTCAGAGTCTGGAGTCTCCCAACGACACCCCGAACGGACCCCGTCCACAGCACGCCTCAACAATCCCACTCGAACATGGCCGGAATCCCTCACGCCCTAAACGGTCATCGGTGGCTTCTCATCCCGGTTACGATGTCCCAGATACGTATACCAACCTAGATGAGACAGCAGACGTCTCGCCCGTGCAGAACCCCTACGAGGAACCAATCCACCGTTTCCGAAGTCTCGAGCAGACCAGAAGCCAGGAGCAGGAATTCGTACGGGAGCGGAAGCGCCATCGCCAAGAATCGCTCGCCGAAGGCCGGCCACCCGAACCGGAGAAGTTAGAGGAGGCCAAGTACGACGTCTCGCGCCTCCTGACTCAATTTTACACCGTTTCTTACCTCATCCTCTTCTCCATACTCGGTACCCTCGCCCGCCTCGGCCTCCAGGCCCTCACCAACTATCCCGACACCCCCATAATCTTCACCTCCATCTGGCCCAACTTCGCCGGCAGCCTAGTCATGGGCTTCCTATCCGAAGACCGCATGCTCTTCCGCGAAGCGCAAACCCCAGCACCCAGCCCCTCCACCGACGAGGAAGCAACCACCAACGGCACCCCACCCCCAAAACAAACCCATACCGCCCTCAAGAAGACCATCCCGCTATACATCGGCCTCGCCACCGGCTTCTGCGGCTCCCTAACCTCCTTCTCCGCCTTCATGCGCGACACCTTCCTCGCACTATCCAACGACCTCCCCACCACCACCAGCCACAGCCCCCTCACACCCACCCCACCCCCCCGGAACGGCGGATACACCTTCCTCGCCCTCCTCGCCATCCCGCTCATCACCCTCACCCTCTCCCTCTCCGCTCTCTTCCTCGGCGCCCACCTCGCCATCGCGCTCGCGCCCCTGACACCAACCCTACCCCGCGCTCCGCGCGCGTGGGCCGACCGCGCCGCCGTGCCCCTCGCCTGGGGCTGCTGGCTCGCTGCCGTGCTCATGGCCGCGCTGCCGCCCGCCGGTCACGCCGCCTGGCGCGGTGACGCGCTGTTTGCGCTGGTCTTTGCGCCGCTGGGTTGTCTGGTGCGGTTTGGGGTGAGCTTGTGGTTGAATGGCCGCGTCGCGGCGTTTCCGGTGGGGACGTTCGTTGTGAATGTGGTGGGGACGGCGGTTTTGGCTATGGCGTGGGATTTGGCGCATTCCGGGGCGGTTGGTGGTGGTGGTAGTAGTGGCAGTGGCAGTAGTGTGGGAGAGGGGGTTGGGGTGCTGGTGGGGTGTCAGGTGCTGGCGGGCGTGCAGGATGGGTTTTGCGGGTGTTTGACGACTGTGTCCACGTGGGTCGGGGAGCTGGCTGCGCTGAGGAGGAGGCATGCGTATGCTTATGGCGGGGCGAGCGTGCTGGGTGGGCTGGCGGTGGTGGTCGCGGTGATGGGAGGGTTGAGATGGAGTGAAGGGTATGAATCGGGGGCCTGTGGGTAGGAGCTGTAGCTACATAGTGCTACTCATCGTATGTTTCTAATGTGAAGTGGTTGACGAGATATCAATCTCATAAGCAGTGTTGAACAAATATACAAATCCGTCCGTTGAGCTGTGAGGGGAAAATTGACAGTATCTATAGCAGTAAATGCCGCTACCGAAGTTGCCTTCATTACCCGTTTTCCCACCTACCTATACACAATTTTGGGAGATCCATACATGTATTCCTCGCATGACGCAACTCTATCTCCGCCCTTCATGATCTCGTTGTGTACCAATACAACATGAATATTTCGGAGAAAGAAAACACGCTATGATAATAATTATTTCTTCTTAAGTCATAGCATTAAAGACAGGACAATTATCTATCTAACAATATGTTGAAAGTTTTACCCTTGAAGACCATCATGATGATAAGTTGATACCCCTTTGATATAAACTAACCCTGGTTTCTTCTCAGAATAAAACAAAAAAGAAAAGGCAACAAAATTCAAGTTCTTAAGCTTATTTCTCCGATCTCCATATTCCTCAAATATAATCAATATAGAAAGTAAAACTATCTTCTCCTTGCATCATTTTGCCTTACCAGCTCCTGGCATATCCCTTGCTTGAGGGTTGAGACTTCCGTTTCAGTCTGACAAAAAGAGGCGAAACAAACCAAAATCTTCTCCCGCCGGAGTTTAACCGGTATCGGCTTGCAGGGCCATGACTCACCCCACCTTCCCCAACTCTCCGGCGGGATGAAGTTCGTTTGGAGCAAAAAGGACCCCTCAATTTCCTACCGCAACCTAGGACCCAAGACAGTAGAAACCTTGCAGTCACTTCAAGATGGTCGTCTCCGGAGAACCGATCCTCCCCGTTCCTGGGAAGGAGAATATCATCATCACCAGCGCTCTACCCTACGTGAACAACGTTCCACATCTCGGCAACCTTATCGGCAGTGTTCTGGTAATTTTTACTCTCCATTTCCCTTCCTAAATCTCACAACAACATCGTGTGACTCCACGAACCGTCTCATCCCTGTTTTGGCGAAGCCAGGGCGGATCTGTCCGGTACTCCTAGCCCTTTCAGTCGCTGATCAACCTTTTCTAGTCTGCAGACGTCTTTGCCAGGTTCTGCCGGGCGAGGGGTCTTCCAACCATCTATGTCTGCGGTTCGGATCAGTACGGCACCGCGACAGAGACGAAGGCTCTCTCGGAGGGGGTAGACCCGGCGACATTGTGCGCCAAGTATCACGCCATCCACAAAGACATCTACGACTGGTTCAGGCTCGATTTCGATGTCTTCGGCCGCACTCCCACAGACGAGCACACTGCTATCGTCCAGGACATCTTCATTCGCCTCTGGAATAACGGCTTTATCGAGCAGCGTGAAACCACTCAGGCTTACTGCCCGACTCACTCATCCTTCTTGGCCGACCGTTATGTTGAGGGCGAGTGCAGCCTTTGCCACGACAAGGGTGCTCGCGGCGACCAGGTTTGATTTATCTTGTCTAACCGGCAACGTTCTCGGACGCTAATTCATTCCGCAGTGTGACGCATGTGGTAACCTCCTCGACCCCCTAGAACCGGAGAGGGACGCCTCCGGAAACCAGGAGACCAAGGCGACCGGTTGGCTGATCAACCCCCGCTGCAAATTGGACGGCACTGCTCCTGAGAAGCGCCAGACCAAGCATCTCTACCTCCGCCTAGACGCCCTGCAGGGCGAGATTGAAGAGTGGCTCAAGACGGTCGAGAAGGCCTGGAGCGCGAATTGCGTCTCCATCACGCACTCGTGGCTGGATCAGGGGCTAAAGCCGCGCGGTATCAGCAGAGATCTCAAATGGGGTGTCCCAAGTATGTTTGTCGCCGCCACCTCAAGGCCTAGGAGACCCGGTAGATTTACTAATCTCCCTTGCGCAGTTCCCACCGGCCTTGACGGTCTCTCTGACGAGGACTATGCCAAGAAGGTTTTCTATGTCTGGTTCGATGCTTGCAGTATGTCGTGCCTTGCCCCTGTATTGAACACCGCTAACCTGAGTAGTCGGCTACCCCTCAATTACCAGGACATACACCGATCCCGGCAACCTGGCCGGCACAAACTGGGAAAAGTGGTGGAAGAACCCAGACGATGTTTCTCTCTACCAGTTCATGGGGAAAGATAACGTTCCGTGAGTAGTGTTCCGGTTGTTTGATTGAGTGTCTCTAATAGTGGTCACACATAGGTTCCATACCATCATCTTCCCCGCCTCCCAGCTCGGCACCAAGGAGAACTGGACCAAGATCAAGGCCGTGTCCACCTGCGAATACCTCAACTACGAAGGTGGAAAGTTCAGCAAATCGAAGGGCGTCGGCGTGTTCGGTACCAACGCTCGCGATACCGGCATCGACGCTGATATCTGGAGGTACTACCTCTTGTCAAGGCGGCCAGAGACCAGCGACTCGGAATTCAAATGGGAGTGAGTTTGACCATGCTTCCTTGCACCCGTTCTCGCTCGTACTAACAGAATGGAAGGGAATTTGTTGACGCCAACAACAACGATCTGCTCAAGAACCTTGGCAATCTGTGCCAGCGTATTATCAAGTTTTGCCAGGCCAAGATGGACGGTGTGGTGCCCGAATACGACCTCTCAAAATTCCCAGCCCTGCAGCAACACAGGGAGGAAGTGGAAAAGCTCCTCCAAGACTATGTCGCACATCTCAAGGGCGTGAAGCTGAGGGCAGGTTTGTCCATCGTTATGAAGTATGTTGACCTCTCTATTTGTGCTGGCGTAACCTGAGACTAACAACGGGAACAGCATTTCTGCACACGGCAACAAGCTACTCCAAGATAACAAGCTCAGCAATCAGCTCATCGCCGAGGAGCCCGAGCGCTGCCGCGCTGTTATTGGTATCGCTCTCAATCACATCCACCTCGTGGCCCACCTCCTCTCGCCCTACATGCCCGAGAAGTCCCAATCTATCCTCAGGCAACTTGGAGTTAAGGGGCCAGGCGGGGAGGATCAAACTATCCCGGCGAAGATCCCAGATACCTGGGAGGCGAATGACCTCAAGCCTGGCCACGCCATTGGCGAACCCGAACTGCTGTTCGCCAATATTCCTGCGGCAAAGATTGAGGAATGGCGTGAAGCGTTCGGCGGCGAGGAGCTTCGTAAGCAGAAGGAGATAGAGGCGGAGAAGGCCGCGGCCAAGAAAGCGGCAAGGGAGAAGGAGAAGGAGAAGAGAAAGGCCAAAAAGGCAGCCCAAGCCGCCGAGGCAGCGCAGGGGTCGACTTCAACGCTCCCTATCCACCCTGGTAAGCCTGCCGAGGCTGCGGCAAAATCAAATGAGCCGACCGAACCTCCTGTTGAGAATTGAGTATTCGCAAGCAGCGGCGCAACTCATAGAAGAAGGATTAGCCATGGTACTCTAGACTAGACGCCTGGCAACATGTTTTGATGTCTAACCCCGCCCGTTCGCTCCTATGGACGATTTCCTCCTGTTGGTGCCTATGTGTGTATTCGATCAGGATTGTGCTATTTTTTTTTGGAATTTGAGGCAGTTTATCATTAGCGAGTGTGAGAGGCGTTGTTGGTATTGGTATGTGATAGGGGAAGGGGATTCGGCGAAGGGTATATTCCCCAGATACAATGGGCTTTGTCGCTGCCCGCTGCTCTGATTTTGTACTCACGACTGTACATATTAACGGGAACCACACAATATTCTCCACGGCGATTCGGTGCAAGTAGATGAGGGGCAATGCATCAAAAAGGGTGAGCTGGTGTGTTAAGGCTTTCCTTCTTTTAATAAGCCCTTAGTGCCTAGGTCTTGTTGTAAGCCCCCTTTATGATTCCGTAGAGCAGCTTCTCACGGCTCTCGGTACTCAGTCTATGATTTGCGAATTAGCTTTCAACATTAGGTAGGTAGGCTATAGGTAGTTATTTTGCTCTGGACTAGAACCGATGTTTTGCCGTTAATAAGCGCTTCATTTTTCTTAGCATGAATTATGGGTTCTTGAATTATCTCAACACCATTGCGCGAGTCACTTGGATTCAAAATGCCACCACCAACCTTCGCCACGCCACTCCCACAATCACCCCGCTCTGATATCTTGGAATGGCGCTTCCCGAAGCCCTACCACAACCTCACGCTCACGGGCCGGTCTCGCGCAGCATGGCACACGTCATTCGTCATCCCGCAGCTTAACCTGCTCCTGGACGCTGGACTCATCGTCAACAACTTCCGACCCAAGCACATCTTCCTCACTCACGGCCACAGCGACCACACCCTTCTCACGCCCGCCTTTGCCAAGCGCAGCGACCCGCCAGATATCTACTGTCCCGCTGAGATGAAGGATGCCCTAGACAACTTCATCAACGCCAAGACGATGCTGAGTGAAGGGGGTGGCATCTGGCCGCCGGAGAGCACGTCGCCATACCTGAAGAAGTACGACGCCTCCGAGACCAACACCAAGGCAGAACCCTCAGAACCCGAGACGGAGACGAGCCCTCCCCAAGGACCGACCCCGGAACCGAAACCAGAACAGGAACCAAACCCAAACCCAAACCCAACCCAAAACCCAACCACCCATCAACCAACACCACCACCGCCTTCACCCCACCCCCTCCTCCAGACACACACCATCCACGGCCTACATCCCTCCACCACCATCACCCTCCCGCGCCTCCCGCCGCCCCAGTCCTACACCGCGACCGCCTTCGCCTGCGACCACACGGTGCCCTGCCTGGGCTACGTCTTCCACGCCGTCACGCGCAAGCTGAAGCCCGAGTACCGCGGCCTGTCGGGCGCCCAGCTGAAGGCGCTGCGCGAGCAGTCCTCTGATGGAAAGGGTGGGGAAGGCGGGGAAAGGGGGGGTGTGGAGCTGACGGCGCCCGTGGCGACGCCCGTGTTTGCGTTTCTGGGCGATACCACGGCGAAGACACTCGCGGCGGGGCCGGAGTGGCTTGGTGGTGATGGTGGTGGGGGGGTGAGGGTGGTGATTACGGAGTGTAGTTTCCTGTGGGAGGAGCACAGGGGGCAGGCGGAGCGCACGCGGCATACGATTTGGGCGGATCTGGAGCCGGTGGTGAGGCGGTGGCCGGGGGTGGTGTTCGTGTTGATGCATTTTAGTTTGCGGTATTCGGATGAGGAGGTGCGGGAGTTCTTTCGGGGGAGGGAGGGGTTGGGGAATGTGGTGGTTTGGGTTGATGGGGAGGGGATTGGGGAGGAGGGGAGGAGTTGATAGGGAACGAGTGGAGGGTGGCGTCAAGAGGAGAGAGCTGGCTGGGTTTCGTTCAGTCTATATAGCCGAGGCATATGGAGTCTGTAAATGCGGTAGAGGATACCGGACGAGAGACAACCGGGGACGGAGGAAGCAGAGTAAGACAAACATGGAGGGTGACGAAATTTAGACAGGTTTTGAACTCGTAAACTAGAGACAAATAGAGAAGGCAAATATAAGTGCGAACAGCTCCTGACTAGGCGTCACGTATGCCAAGTGGTTGACTCTCTTTCCCAGGTAGCTAATATTCGGAGAAGTACTAACTAGAGAGGTAGGTACCAATTAATGGTGCCCAAAGGCCTGGAAACAGACACGTTTGATTTATTTCTGGTTAATTTTAAGCATGTATCGAGTGAAGTTCTCAGTTTAATTTCTAGTCACAGTCTTGACCTCCGTAACAACTCCTTCGACGCCTTCAACCCGACACACCGACAAAAACAACCAAGACAGCGGCATACGTCGCCGTAGCAATTATAGTATCCGTATTACTTGCCCGAAACAAAACCGACAGCGCACCCGCGAACAGCATGACGGCAGCCGAGACGGTAACGAGGCTCTTAACCACGGTGATCTCAGGCAGGCGCATGATCAGCATGGGCACCACCAACATGGCGCCACCCAGAAAGGCCACCAGGAAGCGGGCCAGCACGTCGACAAAGAGGGAGACCTCCTCGGGCGGCTCGCCGCGCAGGTACTCCTCGGTGCGGCGCCACATCTCGCCGCGCGTGTACGCGACGGACCGCGGCAGGAAGCGCTTCAGGAAGTTGCGCAGGTTGTCGGTGGGCAGCAGGTCCGGGTCGGCGAAGCGCCGGTAGCCGGCCGCCTCGTCGATGACGGTGCCTACTTCGCTGTCGAAGGCCAGCTCGAGATCGCGCCGGGTGTGCTTGGCCTGTGATCCCGTGACTGGCGTGAGGTGCTTGAGGTACTCGTAGTCGCGGATTGCGCTCGCTGTATAGGTTAGTTAGGTAATTAGGTAGGTAGTGTTGGGAACGTTGCCAGTAGTGAGTCATTCAAGCCTCCTTGTAATCAAAATAGGAGGACGAAAATATGTATGAAATAGAGACAAAAAACGGGTAAAACCTACTATATTTGCTAAGTAGAACTGTTAGTTTCCCCGTGTCTTCTTCCACAGCAGCCTCATCTTTCCAAATCTTGTTTTGGAGCTTCGCCAGGTCGGATTGCATGCGGAAAAGGTTGAGAGTCTGGAGGCTTCGAAATATCAGGAAACGTGGCTCTTCGCGGAGAGAGTTGTCTGTGTATTGAAAAAGCCGTTGTTCGTAGGGGGCATCAGGGTGTATCGATCTTGGCCTATTCGTATTGTCGTTTGTTTTATTATCACTAACAGACTTCAGGGCGTCAATGTTGATCGCGTGGCCGGGAGAGCCATTCTGAGCCATGGTTTATTGATTAGGTATCATGCCGACAGTCCAACTGTTATAATGATGCTGGGGATGCGTGACAACTCTCCTTTCCTTGATACAAAATACTGCAGTTGTGTCTCATAGGGATAGTTATCCTCTGTTGGCGAATTGCCCCCCTCTCATTCAGCCCCCGAGTCTGCCCGCTGGAAAAGGGCGGTTCGCCAACAGTGATGATTGGATCCACGAATATGCATGTTTACCTGCCCCTGCGCGGCGCATTGCAGCTGATCCCAGAGCCTTGTAGCCAACGGATTTATGGGTAAAACGAACCAGCAAGAATAGCAGGTTTGAAGACTCTGACGCTTGATCTTGTCTCCTCAAGCCTGACTTGGTATGCTGTCCGTCGCTTTGACCTTCACGGGTAGCGGCAGGGAGAAGCTGGATTGCTCTTCATATTACCAAACATCAAGCCATTTGCAAATACGAATCCAACATGATGCTACGGGTGTCACATATAGCCCGACGATAGAATACCAGCACATCTACAAATACCAGCTAGACCAAATAACAACCAAGCAGCTTTAGAGTAAAAGGTAGTAGCACGTGTCACCACCATAGGTAGCGTAACTACTTTACCCAGGTAGGTAGCTATAACCCTTCCCCCAACAAACACCCCCTAAATGGTTCACTCTTCCTTGAATCCCAGGTCCATGACCTCCATATTTAAACATATGCTACAACCGCCCAAAACCGCCACGTAACAAACGCCATGCTTAATGTCAACCCAACCAAGAAAAAGATCATAACCCCGCTCAAATGCAATATGCCGTAGAAACCATGCACGTCATCACACCGCCTCCAAAAGTGTCAAAAGCCACTCCCCCTCTTCAACACCACACCACCTCACCTCCCCAGAGACGACCTAGGTAGGTACTCAAGCAACCTCCTCCACCTCCCCGCTCGGTATCCCGCGATACCTCATCTCCAGCACCCAGCGCTCGCCAAAGTCTACCCCCTTCCGCATCTTCGTCCCCGCCTTCTTCCACACGGCCTGGCCCAGGCCCATATCCACCAGATACAGCTTCCACTCGAGCACGCCATCGTCGGGCACCGGCACGGGCGCCTCGCCGGCCAGTATAGTGTCCCCATCATCGTTATCAGCCGCGACCATGGCCTCGAGCAGGCCCCTCTTCGGGGCGCCGACGGCGACGACGTAGCGGGGCTTGACGTAGAGGCGGTTGCCGTCGACGAGGCTGACGCGCCCGGACGAGGGGTCGACGCCCGAGGGCACGTCGACGGCGAGGACGAAGGCCTCGTTGCGGTTGGCCCACTCGATGAGCTCGTAGACGGTGGCCTGGTCGCCGTTGCGCAGCTCGCCGAACGAGATGGCCAGGCCCAGGAGCGCGTCGAGGATGAGCATGACGGGCGCCGGGTTGGCCAGGCTGCTGAGCGAGGCCCGGGGGGTGTCGATGGTCAGCATGGGGATGCTGATCTTGCGGATGTGCTCGAAGAAGTCGCTCTTGGCGAACACCCGCCCCCCGAGGTTGCGGTACAGCCGGACTTGTTGTTGTACGTCCTCGAGGAGGTCGCGCTCGCCGCGCTCGAGGCCCACCACGCACACGAGCACGTTGATACCCTTGTTACGGAGGTGCCGCGCCGCCGCGATGGCCCGGCTGCCGGACTTGTTATTCCCCGCCAGCACGACAACCGTCTGTGGTGGGGGGGTGTTTGTGGTTGGGTCGACGCTACCGGCGTGCCGTACCTTGATGGCGGGGTCTGAGAGAGCAGTGAGCGTCACCTCGGCGAGGCCGCGACCGGCGTTTTCTGTCATCATCTCCTCGGTTAGCCCGATCTCGTTGTGCGCAATGTTCTCGAGGTTGAACATCTGCAGTGCCGAGACGGTCTCAATTCGCCGGTTTGACGGCAGCACGTAGAGACTCTGCGGCGCGGCAGGCGTCGGGAGCTGCTTTCTCTTGTCAGCGGTCGTAGTGCGGGACGAAAGCCGACTACTCGGCCGACTCCCCTTGAGAGACTGGGTGCGGTAGTGGCTTACACCAGAGTTGACTCTGCTCGGGCCTGACCCTGTCCTCGCCATCTCGTGGGCTTTGCGTGATTGTGACCGCCGACCTGCCGTGCCTTTGACTTCACCACGGCGCGAGCTCTGCCTACTGCCCATGCCTTGGTCTCGACCGCTCAACCGCTCGCCGCGAGGGATCCCATCGTCGGCTTCGCTGTTCCAAAAGTCATTGGGCGTCTCTTTTGATGCTGGCCTCTCCTTAGGTGCCTTCAGAATTGCCGAGGGAGTATCCAGCACGCTCTCCGAGTAGTGCAGATTCTTGCCACCCGCAGTCCCCGGTTTCGCACGGGGTACCCTGTTGTGAGACACCAGACGGTCGGCTTCGTCGACTTGGTCATCCTTCCTCATTTGCTCGAACAGGTTCTGCTTGTCAAATTTCGCCAGGCTGCCCTCGAAATCGAATTCTCCCATTTCTTGGACGTCAGTAACGTCTTCGGAGGCCCACCCGTTGTCGACGGCCTGCGGGCCCTTGCGGTTCCTCTTGAGGGAGTTGAACGGCTGGAAAGAGGCCGTACTCTGCAAGATAGGCGTCTGCCTCCAGCCCTTCCCCTTACCGGCAGTTTTTGCCGAAGCCGCAGGTGACGCCTCGTAGTCCTGATGTGACACCGTCTTCGCATTCCCCGGCTTCCGCTGCCGCCTCTTTTTCTTTTGCCCAGCCATCTCGCCGTAGTCCAGGGCGGCTTCGGCAGCCCCCTCCTCGGTCGACTCGGCGGGTGGAACGGGAGCGTCAAGTTTTAACGCCTTCAGAGATGTAGCGACTAGGTTTGTGGGCGTGACCTCCCGGGATGTACTCGCTGCTGGCACCGAAGGAATAACGACATGTCCTGGGTCCCGCTTCTCGCTCGTATTAGGCAACGGATGGGGCTCGGGTGCGCGACTCGATGATGCAGCAGCCGGAGGTTTCCCCATGGCCACGATCGCGGGGTCAACAAACGCTGGTTGCGGGGGAGGCTTCTGGGCAACTGGAGGGGCGACGGGCGGTATATTTGGCTCGGCGGTAGATGTGACGGGTGGCGTAGGCTTGTTGCTGACCTCGGAAAGATCGACGATGTCTTCCGAGGGGATAGTGAGGCGTGGTTTCCACTCGTTGGTATTGAGGACCCAGACTGCGAAGAGGCGGTTTGGTTAGCGGACTATCAGCAGGGTGGGCGGGCACACCCCTGGCTGCACTCACCGTTGCTAAGAGTTAGGCCAGCACCAGCTTCGACAGCGCTGACGGTGCCTTTGAGGAGCATTGGCGGAGTACCGCGCACCGTGACCACCATCTGCAGGCCGATAAATTCCGAGGCCATGGCGATAGAATCGAGGGGTGTTTTTGGAGCTGAATGTTGCTGGACTGTCTCTGAGCAGGAATCGACAGATCCGCGTGCTCAGCTTGGAAACTTCTTGTAGCGGCGAAATTCGCACTTTGGGCGTACTGTCGAGTCAGGAGCTGTACTATTCCAGTGCTTAATAGACGGTCCGAGTGCACTGCGTGACGTACGTTCGGGGTTTTGTTGCCAGGCACGATGCGGGATTGCGGTGGTCGTGCTTGCTTCTCTTCTGTCTGCTCCCCAGGGCACCCCCAACCTTTTACTTATCGATACGTCTTTGCACAGAACGCCCAGATCTGCAATGTGGGCTGCGCCAAGAACCGGCCCGGAATATGCGGGTAGGGGTTTGCGGGGCACGCACAGAGGGTTACACACAACTTCACGGGCACGGTACCTTGCATCACCCAGAGCTTGTTGACTGATGGCAGATTGATTCTTTTTTTCTTTGAAAAACTACTGTGTAAACCCCAATGACAGGGAGGTGTGTTTACAAATAATGGACACCCTTTATCTTTTGCGCTCGGACAAACCCAGCCTCACTTTTCCTTGGTTCAGGTACCGACGAGGTACGAAGCACCACACCACTTATTGGTTTTGAATCCCGGAAGCAAATGCTCCTACTCGTACATCTAAAAAAGCTGGAAGGCAACTTGCGTTAACTTTTATGCTCGTATGACCCCCAAACTTATTCTTCTCGTCTGTATCCCCCAAGCCTCTCCTCCGGCCATCTCATCGAGTAGGGTAACGCTGCCCGTCGCCATCCACATGTAACAAAGAAAATAATGACTCCAAAGGATCGATCGCCTTGTGCCTCCCGACGCCAATTACAATACCCACTACACCGTGTGATGCAATCCCCAATGCCTCCGGGTCACCATACTCCTCAACCATATGCCACCCTATTCTCCTCTTCGTCGTCGTCGAATACGCGGACGGGGTTCCGGGAAGAGGCCCCGGCGGGTGCCGGCTGCTTGATCATAAAGTTCGCGATCGGCCCAGTCGCCGGGCCAAGCGACTTCTTCTTGAGCGCCACGTCGACGCTATAAAGCTTGTCGTAGAATTCGACCACGCGGGAGTGCGCCATCACCTTCGTCTTTTGGAAGTTGAGCACCTGGAGGCCCTCCTTTGACGTCGCGCGACTGAGCGCGACGTAGGCCTGTCCCTTCTCAAACACCTTGCCGAGATCGACCTTGACGCGCTCCAGGGTCTGGCCCTGGGCCTTGTGAATCGACAGCGCCCACGCCAGGATCAAGGGGAGCTGCCTGCGCGAGGCCTGCACCTCGCCCGTCGGGAGCTCCACCTTCCAGTCTTCGGCGATGCAGAGGATACGTCGCTGCGTGCCGTCGACGGCGTGGAAGCACACCACGGGGTACTCGCTGTTGTCGCCGCCCTTGGCTCCTTGGGCGAGAGCGGCATTGAACGCCCGGGCTCGCTTTTTCGAGTCTGTCTCCTCCTCCAAGTCGTCTTCGCCGCCTCTCATTTCGAAAGTAGCCTCCGACTCGAACCCCACGACGGTTCCCAGCGAGCCGTTCACGAGCGTCTCGTCCATGTTCTTGATCAACATGACCTGTGCGCCTTTCTTCAACTCAATAGTGGGAGGCGCCATCATGTTTGCCAAAAGCCTGTCACGGATTTTAATATCGCCTGCGTCCATAGCCTCGTAGCGGTACGATTTCCCACTCAAGGCTTTCAAACGCCTCTGGTTCGAGGACTCAACTTCGTTCCTGGTTGGGAACCTAAGAGGGCATGGTCAGCGCGTTGTAGTCATGCGTAGTGTAGACTTGACTAACAGTTCGGTCACCTCGAGTCCATCATCGAAAACCAATGGCCGCTTTAGATCTTGGAAGCTCCGGACTGTGTGGTCACTGATCTTTCCCAGGCGCATCTCATTAAGCATCCCGGCGAAATCTAAACAGTGTCAGAATGTGAACCGCGGCTATTCACTTGGGGGGTTGACTTCACGTACCGGGATCTCGCTGACGGAAAACTTCTGTCAACCCGATGGTATGGTCGATCGACATGGTCCATGTCGCAGCATCAAACGCAAACTTGGACTCCCTCTGTTTGCTGCCGTCCGGAACAGGCGGAAGTTGGAAGAAATCACCAGTGATGACGAGCTGGATGCCGCCCCAGGGCCGCCCATTGTTCCGGATGATCCTCCCAATCTGGGACAGCTTGTCGAATAGCTCCGCGTCGACCATGGAGACTTCATCGATGATGAGAGTCTTGGTCTTGAGCCATCGGGTCTTGGCCTTGGGGTTCCGCCTAATCTTTTTAACCAGCGTATTCGTGTCCTCTTTACCAAGACCGATTCCCGCAAAACTGTGCAAGGTCATGCCGCCGATGTTGCAGGCTGCCAGGCCGGTGGAGGCTGTGACGGCTATCCGTTCTGGATCTCGTACAAACTTCTTCTTGAGTTCCTGGATAATGGCCCGCATGAGCACCGACTTTCCGGTACCGGCAGGGCCAGTGAAGAAAACGCTTTGGCCCTTGTCCACAACAAGACTCTTCACATGGCGCTGCTCGTTGCTGAGCGTGATGGCCGAAGACTTGGCCTTGGACGTGTGCGACTTGACAGCCTCTTGCATGTCATCCAAAGAAACCTCTGCCTTCCCGGATTCCTTGAGTTGTGTTTTCAGCTGTTTTTTCTGAGCTTTAACAGCGCTGGCACTGGTATTCCAGGGCTCACCCCCCTTCGTTTTAGGAGCTGGTGTGGCGGCAGCAGTACTATATTGGCGCTTCGTATTTGTAGTTATGGGTGCCGTTTGTTGGGCCCAAGTCCTGGGCAGCTCTCGTTTAGTCTTTTTCGTCGCCGCGGGGGCCCGATCGTCGTCGTCCGGCGAGACCCGCTTGCTAGGATTCTGCGGAGGCGGCGCGGTGGTCCGGGATGGCGGGGGTTGGAGGTGTGAAGGAGAGGAGTCTGGCCAAGAAAGCACGCTTGTATTGCTCGCTGGAGGGTGGGCGTCGCGGTTCTCGGCCGTGGCCTGATGCGGGTAGGATGAGGTTGTAGGCAGGGCAGACGCGGGTTGAAAGTCCAGGTCAAGATCTTCGTCGTTGCTAAAGTCGGCTTCATCTAGGGCGAAAGAAGAATCCATGTTGTTTGTTTGTGGGGCATTGTTGGGATATTGAGGGGTACCATCTCGGAGACCGACCACCTCGGGCTCCTCCTTGAACGAGTCCGACTTCGCGTAGATTGACGAGAGCGACCCGCCGTTGGCGTTGCGGAGGGGGGGCGGGGGAACGTTCGGCGGGTGGTTTTGCAGCGGTTTCTTGGTTGTAGCGTATTTCGATGAGCCGTGAGCGGGCGGTGCGTGCGGCTTGTTGGTGAGCATGTTGTCAATGGTGTTCTCGACGCGCTTCCCCGGTGCAGGTGACGGGCTGCTGGAGAGAAACAGCTGCCTGGGATGCGGCTGTTTCGCTGCAGCAGCCTTATTGGCCTCGACCGCCCTCCCGAACATTGGCCGCGGATGGATAGAGACACTTAATCCGGCGGCGTGCACATTCGCTTGGCTTGCACGGCGGGCGATGTTCCTATTCAGCGGAGGAGCTGCTCGGCGGAGGACCAGGCCGGAGATTCCGGTCATACAGAGTGGTGGCCGAGCGAGCAATCGGCCGAATTGGTGTGGACTACCTTGGGAATGAACCTCGATGTCACGAGTGACCGTGTGTCGTCGCGTCAAGCAGGGGAAAATCGCGTTTGGAGCAAGTCCCCACAATTCCGTCAGGTCGTTAAAACGCGGGGAGTCTGTGCGCGCGTGTTTCTTTGCCAAGAGACGACTGGGCTTACCCTAACCCGATATTGTTATACACAGCAGGTCCCAACTGTTTTGCGACCTCGGTAGATCTACCATCGTTGTCGGCTGCCAACCCTCTTGAACAGCTCTTCAGAGTCCTCAGTTGTTTGCTGATTCATAGCACTTTAATCTGTATATGGATCCTAGCGGCTAGGAATTTCCAAATCTGGAACGAGTTGCTTACTCGGCAAAGTCTAGGTTACATGCTCGGACGTTTTCTCCTGTGTAATGATTGAAACGGTACGCAATGCGTTTGCGCTCAGTTTTCACTACTCGGTTTTCTAGTTCCGTTTTCCGACTTTTGCTATAGTGTAAATCTCATGTCGCCTTGTTGTGACCACACTCTTAGCTAGAGGTGACGATCACGGCGATAGGAGTGAGGATGGATAGCAGGTAAATTAACACCGCACCGTCTAATCCAGCTATCGGTCGCCACAATGGGCTCAACTACCCTCATCCGCGGGTTCAAAGTCTCGGTCGCAACGTTCGATGCCTTCCTTGCCGCCAACAGCGTTTACGAGACGTACGGAACGCCGCCCTTCTACGGGCACCATCCAGACAAGGACCCCATCTCCAAGCTGCTCTTCGCCAAGATCTCCCAGTACGACTCGGACGCCGACAAGAACAAGTTCCGCGTCCTCATCCCTGCCATCGAGGGCGGGGGCCGATCCAGGACGGCATATGTCGCCTATGCGTGGGCTGCGGTGCGGGCACACCGCGAGATCAAAATGGACGAGGACCTGCCGGCCGGGGTCCCTAAGGGCGTTGAGGAGCTGCGGCAGGAGATTCTGGGGTACGGAAAAGATGTTGGCGATGGGGACAAGATTGCGGATGAGGGAAAGCTGGGGATATATATGGTGGTCACTTATGATATTCGCGGCGATTACGGGGACGAGCTGGATCGTTCCGAGGGCTTGTATTAAATGGCAGCTCATGCTGCGAGTCTTGTAGCCACCACGAGATGGACGAAGCCGCTAGAGCACAGCACGACGGTAAGTTGAGAGCTGTGAACCCTCCAGAACGTTCCAACCGCCCGCCGCTGTGGTCTCGCCTTGCCGGGTTGCTGAAAGATTATTTATTCGAGGTCGCCCCCGACACTTCAACTCCCTTGCCCTCTCACAACCCACACCTCATCGAAGCGGAATACCGTATCTCCGTCAATCCAAACATCTCAAACACCATCCAACTTTTCGCAAGATGTCCGCGGCGGAAAATCCTTACCAAACCTACGAAGCCCTCAGGGCCGCCCGGACCACGGTGGCTGGCGCACCCAACAGCGCCAAGCTGGTCTTCATGCCGGTGCAGGGCACCGTGCAGAGCGCCATCGAGGTTCTGTCCAACCCAGGGGACCCAGACACGCGGACGGCTTACTACGACCAGGCGGCCGGGACGTACCACCCCGTCAGCGCGCTGCCTATCTCGGAGCCCAAGGTGTCGTCCATCACCGTGCACGTGTCGGAGCTGGAGGACTGGGAGGAGAACTGGCTCAACGTGCACGAAGAGCACTCGGAGCCGGACGCGCCGGACGCGTTCCCCGACGCGAAATGGGGGAGGAGGCTGGGCGGCGGCGGTGGTGACGAGGATGATGATGAGGAGGAGGACGACGACGAGCCGCTGCTGCTTCGCTGCTGCAAGCAGGACCGACCGCGCGGCCAGAACGCCAAGCTGACGATCAAGCCCTCCCAAGGCGTGGGACGGCCGGGACGGCGGCTTCGTCACCGTGCACGACTACGTGAGCGCGCTGCACCCGTGGCTGGTGCGGCTGCGGGGCGGCATCCTCGGCGCGATGGGCACGGCGGACGGGCTGGACGAGCCGCTCGGGAACGAGACGGACCTGGTGGTCAACTGCGACGCGCTGCACAGCCTGATGATGGAGCTGCGGACGTCTTGGATTGGGCACAGGAAGGGGCTGGACGTCCGGGAGGCGGTTGGGGGCAGGCTCCGCACCAGTGAGATTGTCGCGTCCGAGTAGGTATCTGCTCAAAAGGGTCCAGAACTGGTCGCCCCGAGGACAAGAAACCGTCTCCTTTAAACAACAGCGAAGACAAGAAGATATCGCTATTGTGGGGAGGCCGAGAAGATGAGTTGCACAGCAAAGACACGATCACCGTAGGCCCCAGTGCCCCCTCTCACCTTCACTGGCGGAGACTGCCCCTCTTGCCCATCTTTTTCTTGCCCATCTTTTCCGGTCGTGGGTTTCAAGCACACACGCGCATAACGTGAATTTGTCTGGACGTCACCAAACAAGCCCCGCTGCCCCCCACGCGGGAGCCCAAAATGGCAATTGCACACGATGGCCCATGTTCGTGGCAGATGCATGTGCCGAGCTAGTCGGGGTGAGAGGGCAAAGTGCAAGACGACCAGCAAGCCCTTCTTCAAATGTTCCGAGTCCAACTAATGACAAGTTTTCTTCTCGTCAACGATTGCATCACGGGATCAGGTCTGAACATGCATCCTGTCGGCAATCAACCGAGCTAAGCCCGTTCGCACTCAAATCCGGGCCTGAGATTGCATCTGTTTAGCCCGTGCCGGATTCCGTGCCATGCTTGGGCGCTAGGAGCGAGGGTGAGATTTGTTTTACTCCAAAAGACCAATCAGCAGGCTTTGCTATGTGTGAGTGACAGCCGAAGATGGAAAAGGGACCTCACCGCTCCCCTGCGTGTCTGGAAAGAGAGGATACCCCCAAACCACGGCCAGAATCCATCCATGAACATTGACGTCTGGTTCCGACTAGCTTGGCATCCATGAACTAGACGTTCGAGACCGTTTGTGTTTCCAAGCAAAAACGTCAAGAAAAGCTTAGATGGCCCAAGCATTGGACAAAGAGAAACAATTCGACAGACAGTCCTGGGCAACGCTCGGCAGAGCTTGGCAGGATGCGAGCAGCGAGACACCCTCCCGCGGTCACAATCGACGGCGTTAGAGCGGCAGTCGATCCCGATCGCGGCATCGACAACCTCCCGAGACAACACTCAGGCGCCAGCCGTCGTGAGACGAAGCCCGTCAAAACCCGGTTTGCCGGATTACACCACCTTTGTCTCTCGTGCCAGGAGGTCGTACCACGGCCAAGAACACGATGTGGAATGTCCGGCAGATATGGTCCGGCGTCCGGTAGAGCTATGAGTGAGGCGCCGTTAACCTACCTACACACAATACCTAACCAGCCGGTGGGTTTGTTTTACTATCAGCCAGCGGGGTTTGGTATGAAGTTCATTGGCGAGCGAGGTTTCGGGAAGGAAGTCGGCGTTGCTGCTTCCCGACCGCGAAGGTCCACTGTTCCCTCGCGAACTTCCCGCCAAGCCCTTTCTGCAAGGATTGGCGCAGGGATGGCCTCAACCCTGGAAAGTTGGGGCAAGAACCGAGAATCTCTTCGATACCGGATCGGAGACAGTTCCCATATAAACAGGTCGTGCATGCGTTTCCGTCCCCCCAATGGCGAGCTATCTCACCTTTTCGTTTCCACATCTCCGGGGTGGTCGGACTGCATCGCCCGCTCCTCCGTTGATTCTGTCGCTGCCTGTGAATTTGCGTTCCTTGCCAATCGTACATACCATACCTTCTTCTCTATTTTTTTTTTTTTTTTTATCTCCGGGCCACTCCTTCGGGCAGATCCTTCTAGTTGCGGTTTCCCTCTCCGGCGGCGCTAGACGAAAATTCTTCCTTCTTCCTCGCGCTTCAGCATCGTGTTGGGACTGAGTCAGGTTATCTCAGCAGAGATCGCTTAGAATCGGCACGTTGCTGTGCGTCCTGAATGTGTCAATTGCAGTCCTTGCCTGGGCCGGATTTGGCGTTGAAGGGGACACTGGATAACCACGTCGATCTGGTTGACGGTGGTCGTTGATTCCGCTACTTCCGCGGCATCTCGAACAGCCGGTGACGTCGTTTCCAGCGCCCCCCGTTCCTGGCCATTCCCAGCCTTGGACTGGCCTGTTCTGGTCGACCACCAATCACACCTCCCGAAGCTCTCCATAACTCATCCACAGCCTTGTTTTAGGTTTCGGAGAGAAAACCACAACTACATAAGGTGCTATACTACCCTACCTACCTACCTGCCACCTACCATACGCATACATACACACACCTACCTCGCTCGGCCCCCAACGGTGGGCTCCCGCGTGCTAAACCATGGCTTGGGATCACCTCTCCATCACTAAGCCACATCTGGTCTACATCATCTTGGGAGGCTTCACCTCCCTGTTCATGCTATGCTCGACCGTCATCAAAGAGCGTATGTACATCGGCGAAGCCACCGTGGCCACGCTCTGCGGTGTCATCTTCGGACCCTATGCCGCCAACCTCATCGACCCGGAAACATGGGGTAGCGTCGACATTATCACCATCGAGTTCTCCCGCCTCGTCCTGGTCGTGCAGTGCTTCGCCGTCGGTGTCGAGCTGCCCAAGTACTACATGGAGAAGCACTGGAAATCCGTCACGTTCCTGCTAATACCCGTCATGACCTTCGGCTGGCTCATCACTAGTCTGTTTATCTGGTGGCTCATTGAGCCCCTGAACTTCCTCGAGAGCCTCGTGGTGTCTGCCTGTGTCACCGCCACCGACCCCGTCCTCGCCTCGTCCGTCGTGGGAAAGGGCAAGTTCGCCAAGAGGGTCCCAAAGCACTTGCGCGACCTGCTGTCGGCCGAGTCGGGTTGCAACGATGGCATGGCCTTCCCCTTCATCTACCTGGCCTTGTATCTCATCCATGACAAGCAGAGCGCCAGGGATGTCTCGTTCCACTGGCTGGTCTACACCGTCCTGTACGAGTGCGTCTTCGGTGCCGTGTATGGCTTCATCATCGGTTACCTCGCCCGCCACGGCATCAAGTACGCAGAGAAGCGCGACCTGATCGATAGGGAGAGCTTCTTGGTCTTTTACTTTGTACTCGCCCTCTTCTGTGCTGGGTCCGGCAGCATCCTCGGTGTCGACGACCTTCTCGTGGGCTTCGCTGCCGGCGTCGGTTTCTCAAACGACGGCTGGTTCACCCAGAAAACAGAGGAGTCTCACGTCTCCAACGTCATCGACTTGCTGATCAACCTGGCCTACTTTGTCTACTTTGGCACCATCATCCCATGGAAAGACTTCAACGACGCGGTCGTGGGTCTGCAAGCATGGCGTCTGGTCGTTCTCGCCATATTCATCATTCTTTTCCGCCGGATTCCTGTCATGATGGCGCTGAAACCATTCATTCCCGACATAAAGACCTGGCGCGAGGCCCTCTTCGCCGGTCATTTTGGCCCCATCGGCGTCGGCGCTATATTTATCGCAATGCTAGCACGAGCAGAGTTGGAATCGGAGAACCCGGTTCCCCTTTCGGTGCTGCCCGAGCCTGGTACCGAGCACTACGCGGTGATTGCACTGGTTTGGCCAATTGTCGCCTTCATCGTTGTCGCATCCATCCTCGTCCACGGCTCTTCGATTGCCGTCTTCACGCTGGGCAAGCACATCAACACCCTGACCATCACCATGTCGTATACACAGGCCAACGAGGACGGCCCTAGTTGGATGAACAGGCTCCCTCGTATTTCATCACAGTCGCGATCACAGGCTAAGACCATGTCCGACACGGACGGTGATGAACTCAAGCTGCCCGAGTTCCCACCCGGAACGCTGCCCCCTATTGGCCTTCCCGGGAATTTCCTGCGTCGTGTTAAGGAGGACGATAACAGCAGACATGGAAGCAGGTCATCCTCGCTCGCAGCGCGGCGACGAAAGAAGAACAAGTGGGACGATGGCATCGGACCTGGAGGTCCCATCACCCAGTCAGCCATTTTCCCACAACGCCGCAGCCAATCGGGGCCGCTCTCGCCCGGACTTCCACGCGACAGCACCGACCAATCCCGGCCGGATGACGTATCACCGTCGGGTCCTCTGGAAGAGAAGGGCTCTGGCCGATCATCGGCCGAGGCTTACGCGAGCCCGTCCGAGGAACGCAGACAGCCCGTCGAAGTCTACGATGAAGGCGAGAACATCATCATCGAGAATCGCGACGGCGAGGTCATTTCGGTCCTGCCGGCAGATAGCGATGAGAATGTTGCAGACCGGGCCAAGAACCTCGCGACTGAACTCAAGTCGGAAGCCGGGCCTTCGGGCTGGACTTACGAAACTCTGAAGAAGAGAGTCATGAACTGGCGTGAGGGTGAGGTTGCGAAGAGGAAAGGCAAGGGGAAGACGGTAAAGGGCGAGCCGGCCCGGGCCTTCCAATTCGGCAACACGGTATGTCCCATTAACAATGTCGAATATTGTTTCCTAACGTTGCTAACCTTCGGAACAGATCATTGTCGAAAACGAGGACGGCGAAGTCCTCAAGAAATATGACCTACCGGCACAAAAGCCACAGCCCGACTTGGTGAGCCAGAGCCTGAAATACATGGGCATGGGGGCCCTCGCCAAGGCCACGGAGAAACCAGGTGCAGATATGCCAGCCCAGGGCACGGGGGGCCCCTCCGCGGCAGGCGAGCCTTCCACAGCGCAGCGGCCACGCAAAAAGAGCGTGGTGGAGGAGCAAGAGGAGGACGACAGGCACATCCGCTTCACGATCGGCGGTGTTGGCCGGCGCATGACAAAGGATGACTTTATCCACGAAATCCAAGGGCTGGACAAGACCACCAGGCGTGAGGTGGTGAACAAATCGGATGCCTCGCAGGGGTTCAAGGCGCTGGCCAACCTCGAAGCGCCGCCGCAGATAATAGTATCCTCTGCCCAGTCCACCGTCAGCAGAAAAGACCACGCCACCGCCCCCGCCCCCGCCAACCCCGTCACGCAACAGCCCGCAGGCTCAGCCGGCAGCCGGCCTCAATCGAGCTCCTCGTCCCCGGGCCAGGCAACATCGTCGTCCGAGGCGCCGAGCAGCGAGTCACCTGAAACGGAGGTGGAGCGCGGGCGACGCTTTGCCGCGCTGAAGGGCGTTGGCGAAGGGGATGATGGGCGCGGCGAGAAGGGCAGTCGCGATAGCGACGAGAGCGAAGAGCAAGGCGAGACGGCTGCGGAACGGCGCCGTAGGGAGGCCGCCCTGGGGATGGCGCCGCACGCGGACGACGGCGACGACAGCGACGACGATGATACCCCCAGAGTGCCGCCGTCGAGGAAGTCGATCCGGTTCGCGGATGCTGTGGAGAGAGGGAGGCAGGAGTGAGCGAGTGAGCGAGTGAGTTGGGGTTTTGAGAGCGATGCGGCTTGCATGGTATGATGTGCATGGCATGTTTGGAGTTTTGGGGATAGAGTTTACGCCGTTGTTTAATCGTGGCATGGTGCAGGTGCAGTACGTAGCTGACTGAAGCTAACTACAGTAGCTTGTTGTTTATTGGTAGCGAGGAATAGCAATTGTTGGGTAGATTTTGAGGAAAATGCATGTACATGGGTCTTCTATCACGCGAATTCGGCATGGATATTGATACCTAAATATTACATTGAAAGTGCAGTGTGCCTCACGAACGACGACTTTTACTTGTAGCAAAGATACTTTGGACATCGAACATCAGGTTCAACCATAACATGGGATTGGCCCGCCTGATCCTCGGGGATCCACACCTCACTCCCACTTCTTCCGGCTTAGCGGCTTTTGCCGAGCCATCATGTTCCTTATCCACAAAAAAAAGACGACCTTGACCGGGGCAGGCGACTTTCGCGAATCTTCAAACCCTGATCCATCAAACCTCACCACTATCAACAACAACGAATCCGCAACCACGACGAACACAACCGCGCTTCCGCTTCATATTTTCGAAGCCGTTTACACACCACATCTGATACCGAATCCCCAAATCACAACCACACATCCATCACAATGGTCCAACTCGTAGAAGTCGAGGACGAGCACTTCCAGCAGCCGCAAGTCGGCCCGGATGAGGACGAAGAAGACTTTACCGACACTGGTAAGCCACCCACCCCGCCCGGTCCCTAATCCCAATCCCTCCAACAACCATACCATCTACCCATCCATCCCCTCAACCCCACCCCCCCCCCCAAGAAGAAAAGAAACACCAACTCACCACCACCTCCCCCACCCCCCCCAAAAAACAGACTCCGAAATCTCCACCGAATCCAACTACGACCCGACCGACGAGACCCTCGCCGACCGCCTGGCCGCGCTGCGCGACGTCGTGCCCGCCACGGCGCGCGGCTGGATCCACCAGCAGTACGAGACGACGGCGTCGGCGGTCCGGACGGCGCTGTCCTTTGCCGGGCGCGCCGCCTGGACGGTGTCGGTCAGCGCCCTGCTCGTCGGCGTGCCCTTCGCGCTCGCCTACGGCGAGGACCAGAACTTCGCCGCCATGGAGCAGGAGCAGCGCATGCGCGAGTTGGGTGGGGAGGTGCTTGGTGGCGGGGAGGGTGGTGCTGGTGGTGCTAAGCCCGGGATGACGCCCGAGGAGATTGGGGCCGCGCTGGGTGGGGGGGCTGCGGGGAAGGCCGAGGCGAAGGCGGCGCTTTGATGAGCCGGTGGGGGGGGGTTAAGGTGTGGGTGGTTGGGTTTGGGGAGGGGAGAGGGTGAGAGGGGTGAGGTGGTTGGAGATGAGTGAAGAAAAGCTAAAACGCTCACCTACCTACCTGCCTGCCTACTGGCCTACTGCCGATCGACTACTCGACGGTTTGGTCTATCTAGCCTTGTCTCCCAAAAACGGGGTCGTTGTCTGGACGGGAGAGGGTGAGCAAGGGAAGTGCTTGACTGCTTGGCTGGCCCATACCCGCTAGCATCTCGTTACGAGACGTCTCCTTCACTCCCATCAACTTTCTATACCTGTATATGTACCATATTGTCAGCGTCCGGTTCCGGGGCGGAACGCCGGGGGTTAACTCGCTGTGTCTTAATACTCGCACATGGTCTTTGTTTTTCATACTGGAAGCTGGGGAAAGGCGGGTGCATTCTCGGATGATGGATGGCATGGACGAAAGATGTGTATATCACGATATGACTCTCATCTCCCAAGAACAACGATTGGATCATTTCACTTATGCACGTTTTCAGTTGACCTTGTACATGTTTCTGACAACCCTCCCCAGAGTATGACTGAAGAAAAAGACACAGAAGGGCGCAATCATTCCCAGACAACATCGTGTCACGCAGGAAAGCAAGGCTCAGCACCACATCACATGTTGCTATCTATCTATCTATGTACATCAAAGGTACTGCCACCAAGGGACACTACTTTGTACAGGTATGAACTAGACTGGCCGCCTCACCCCGGCCCGGCCGCCACCCTTCCATTTTTCTACTTTATCTACCGCCAACACAAGGGGGGAATAAACTCCCCGTCTCCTCCCCGTTGCCCTCAGCTAAAAAGGAGAGAGAAGTCCAACAGACGTAATGAAAGTGCTGAAAAGCCGTCACAGAGATGGTGGTATCATGGAAAGTAGAATGAGAAGTCGGTCTGAACGAAGAGACCATTCTGTTGCCGAGCCTCTCGGTGAGATGAGAGACAAGAGAAGAAAGGCCAATGTCGAGATCCAGTGTCGCGAACATAGAACGAAGATTTCGGATGATAAAGGGAATAAAGTTCGTAGATGGTAAAGGTCGGTTATAAGGAGAGAAGGGTCGTCGACCCAGGAAGAAATGGGTTGGTTGCCAGACCGCGAAGGGAAGCCATTGCTCGCCATGTGATAAGTGATAACAAGCCCGTGACGGACCGTGAAAAATCCGAAAAGTCGGGTAAGATTAGAAGTTCGAGTGGGTAAGGTGAGCCTCCTCGAGAACTAGATAACTCGTTAGCTTTTACTCGTTCGCCAAGATCAAACAGTACGGCAAACTTACTACGCAGAATGCTCATCTGGCCCGCGCGGTCCACGCAGGCGATTTGGAGCCCGCTGCCATCAACCAGGTCCAGAACGACACTGTTGGGCAGCTCCTGCAGCTCCACATCGGGCGCATACGGGGCCTTGAAGTCGCTCATGTGGTACCGCTTGACCATAGCGCCGTTCCTGTCCTTGCCGGAAAGAGCGGTAGGCATCATAGCCGTACCCTGCACCGCGCTCAGGATCAGGAAGCCCTGGCTGTCGAGGCAGATGCTTCGGCGCTTCCACAAGAGGTTGTCAGGGAACTGGACATTGACATCGCCCATGAATGCGACGATGCTAGGCGGGGCTTGGGCCGCAGCGCTAACAGCTGTGCTACCCCTGGACGCAGCCTCGACCTCGGCAGCGTTCTCCTCAGCCACGGTGGGCGAGATGGATGGAGCGGTATTCTTCCTGCCGGTCACAAGAGTATTAGAGAGGCGCCGCATAAAGCGGGAGGCACGGTTGCTCTTGGGGCTGGCTGGGTCGGAACCGGACCTCTTCTCAATCTTGGCCTCAGCATTCGCCTCGGCACTCAAGTCCGCACCCCGGGGAGGGGGCAGGGTCGCAGCGGAAAGTGTCGTGTTGTTTTGCTCAATTGCCGAGTGTCGGCTGCTAACGCTGAGACGACGAGCCAGAGAGCCGGACTGGTTGACTGATCGGGCACGAGATGACGGTCGCGAAGCCGAAGGGGACGCCATGCTCGTGGGCGCTGGGGAGGTCAGGTTATCCGCAGACGGTGACTTGGCACCGATGATCGACTCCGTCCGGTCCTTGATGAAATCCTTCACAACCGATAGAGACGACCGTCGTCGAGGGCGGCGGCCTTCAGTAGTTTCTGTCGTTGCCGCGTCCTTCTCGCCATCCCGAGATCGTTTCGATAGTCGCCGTTCCAGCAAGGTCTGCTTGGCCTGATCTGCTATCTCGCGCTCCAGCGTGCGCGTAGACATGACGCTAGGAGGCCGCACAGGGCTCCGTGAGTCGGTGCGGTTCTGAACATCTACTAGCAATGGTGACTGCTTCAAGTCCAGGTTGCCGTATTCTGTCGATCCCCCCTTTGGTTCGGGGCCTTTGGGGAACCGTTGGTTCGGATCTCGGACAATGCGGGCTGTAACCTGGACGGACTCGGGCCTACCTCTGGGAGGCATCCCTCCTTCGAACATGGACAACCGATTCACCAAGGATCCAGACCGGCCGCGTCCCATGTTCCGGGTAGCCTCGGGAGACGACGAGTCCCTTGACGCTGGAGGGGTGGGCGATACATCCCTCGTCATCGAATTCGCCCGGTCGGCCACGGACGATGGTCGCGAGCTGTCTCGCACACTCGTTTTGCGGACAGCGAAGAAGGTGGATGCAGGACGCTCCTTCGGCGTCGTCACCACCTCCACGCCGGGAGCACTGACCGAAAGCTTTTCTAGCGCCTTGATCCGCTGCGAGATGCTCGAACCCAGTTTGGCGTTCTTGGGTTTTGAATCCGCAGATGGCTGTTGTTGAGAGGGCTTTTGTAGATAAGCAGCACCAGACGACGCCGACCTGACCGGGCCAGACGGCACTTCACCACCCAGATGGGAATTGCGGACAGGGTTCGAAACCGTTCTCACATACCGGGCGGATGCATTGTCGTCCGGACCGCCGCCAGGTCTCTTGGAAGGCTGGTCCATCCCGAAGAAGGGAGAAATCGGGGACTTGGACACGGTGATCGGCGTTGCCTGCTGAACGGTCGCCGATTGCAGCTCGTCCATGAAGCCGTCGTTATCCAAAATGCTGATAACCGAGCGCCGCTTGTCGTTGTCCGGGGCATCCAAATCAGTACGGATACGGTCCGGAAGCTTTCGTCGTTTGGCATCTCCGTCTACATCATCCTTCTCCGGAACGGGAGGTGCCGACTCTCCAACACGCCACGAGTCCACATCCGAGGTTTGGGCGACAATCGAGGGAATATCCTGGTTCGTAGTGGTTGTGGGGGACTTGGTCTCCTGTGTGGAGAACTTGGAAAGCGGGATGTGAATCTGTGTCAGCGGAGCCTTTGCCTCGCCCACGGGTTCAGCTTCCTGCGGCAAGTCGGACGTTGGCGCTGATGCTTCAGCTGCCTCAGTTGGCGCTACGTCGCTTGTGTCCTTCTCGGGTATGCTGGGCTGAGCTGGCACATCGGGCAATGCGGGAGTCGGTGAAACCTCGGGGACGACATCACCCGTCGGCACGTTCGGGGCGGTGAGCTGCTCAACTTTTGCCTCGGGCGACATGAGGAGCTCCCCCTTGTCGACGGCAGTAATTGTCGCTTGAGACTCTCTGTCGTGTTGTCTGGGTTCCGTTCCGCCTATGTGTTCCTCTGGGGCCGAGGTTGCTAGTTTGTTGTTGTCATCGCCGACCGCGCCCTGTTCTGCTTCGCGAATTGGTTGCTCATCCTTGGCATGTATGGTTTCGTCCGTCGAATCAGATAGCGATGAAGCCTGCGTGGAATCGCCAGTTTCTGATACCGCTGCGGGCGACGCAGGATGGGAATCCATGGCAGTGTCTACAGATGCATGGTCCGTTCCGACGTCAACTCCGGAGTCAGACTTGGAGGTAGCAGGGGCCTCCTCTTGCTGCGCATCGCCCCCGGCCTGGGCTTGGTCCACCGACGCCACTGCTTCTGCCACCACGGTATCTTGTTTCTCGTCCGGAAGGCCCGGTGTGCTGGGGGCGGATGGTATATCGGTGCTTGGAACGTCGAGTGTTGGTTGTAGGCTCATCAACTTCTTCTCCCTTAATTTCATCGCCTTCAGGAGCCGAGCTTTTTCCGGGGTCATGGTGTTCTGTTTGGTCGGCTGTGGGGCCGGAGCAGGCATGTCGATCTTGTGTGGAGGCATCGTGTCGGCTAGCGCGTCAGTCGCGTTGTCGAGCTGGGGTTGGGATGGTCCGTTCTCGGAAGGCTTCATCTCAGCCTCGGCTATTTCGATCAGCGAGAAAGTATCTTCTGCCTGTTCTTGGGCTTCGTCCTCCTGGCTTTGGGAGTGAGAACGACCCTTTCTCGTGCCTTTGGACATGGACTTGAGGCCAGCTGGAACTGTTGCTACTCGGTGGGCTGAACTCCCACCGGATGATCGCGGGCGGCCAGTAGGGTCAGCGGAAGGCCTTGGCCCAAGCTTAACCCGTGGCTTTGAGTACGGGTAAGCAGTAGATGGATAAAGATCGGTGCGTGACGACTGCGAGGACATGCGCCGTGTGCTCCCGTCAAAGGATCTTGCTGGGGAAGAGGGCCTGGGAACGCCCATAAATTGGGGTGGTTCAAGTTCGTTAGTAAACTGTGAAGCCCCGGGCAAGCTGGCAAGGTCCGCATCCAGTTTGACGGGGGGTCCAGATTGCGCCGAGGGCGATTTCGGGCGCTCCTCCTCCTTAACAACCGACTGTCGCTTCCTTTCCCGTTCTTCCTCTTCCTCTTCTTCTGTAATTTCCATCAAGCGCCTTCGACGCAGTGAGCTTGTTGAGGAAGATGTCGAGCCAGACGCAGCATGGAGTGAGCAGGCGGCTGACAACTTGGTGTCCTTGAGCTCCTTCGAGTCGGCGATCGAAAAGGTAGTGTCGTGGGGCGAGAAGCGGTCGCAGACCTCGTCGAAATGGACAGTCACCCGCGCTGCGAAGAGATTGGGTGAGCTTTTGTGTTCCCGCAAGGCAAGGGGGTTAAGTGCAAGCCAAGGGGCGGGGAGTGCATACCTTGAATTAACCTGGAGCAGCCCTCAGGGAGGTATTTGATGATGACATTCCGGCGCCTGTATCTAAGGAAGCCATACAGCGGCGACTTGTCCTCATACTGCGCAATGTTGTTACGGATCTCGACAATGCCACCATTACCCCGACCTAGCAGCTCGACTTCATCGCGACTGGCATATTTGAGCAAAAACCTGTGTCGCAACCACAATTAGCACTTTTGCTCCGGAAGATATTGGTGCGCAGTACAACAGGGAGCCACCGCTCTAGGGATGTTCCAGTGACCTTGTCGCACACGGGACATCAAAAGCAACAACGACGGAAGGGTAGGACATACCATCCTCCCGGTTCTGCGACGGCCGCCTCGTGCGCCGCCTGGACTCGTTCATCATCCAACCCATTCAGCGACATCTCGAGCTGCCACCCTAGCCACACCAATCCCGTCTCTTTTTATATCCCCGAGCGCAAGAACGAAGGTGTCGTGCGGTACTCGGTCGAAAACAGCGCCGATTCCAATCGGCAAGGCTAGACTTGCTTCTCTCTCAGCCGAGCCGACATGGAGCGATTGGCCCGTCGGAAGGCGTGGAAGCTGCGCGGCTGGGGCACGCCAGAAACATGGAACGGATTCGCAGAGGGTTGCAGTAGGTCGCAGGTCGGTGTTGAAGATCAGGCACTCCCGTCTTTCCCAGACAGCGGGTGGAGCTCCAGGCCTTAAGCGAGTGTTGATGTTGATGTTAATGTTGATAGGTGTTGATGTTGTCGGTCTGTGAGCAGTAACACAACAACACACGATCAACGACAGACAGACAGCCAAGACGTAGCACTGCTCAAGAAGAAGGAAGATCAAAAGTAGGTAAGGCAACTGACAAAGAAGAGAGTAGGACCCGGCGAAGAAGAAACAGTAGGGAATAATGAGTGTGGTGGGTTGGGGTTGCTTTGGGCGTCGGGACGAAGGTCACAGCAGCAGAAAGCTGTCACGATCCCTCTCGATGCACCGGCTCGCGAACCAGACGTTTGGAAAGGGGGTCGACAGAAAAAGTTGGGGGAATGAGGGGATGGTCGAAAGGAGGTGAAATGCAGCCGCGAATTGGCTGCTGCACTCCTCCTTTGCTTCGGTGCGATATTTAGGTAGCGTCGCAGGGGTGCATGCTGCCCAAGGGCCCTGCCAGTGCTGTTGCTTGCATCGGGTGAGTGGGGCCGTGGCCAGGAACAGGGGAAAGGGACCCGCCGTGTTGTGCAGATTCTAGAAGATTTGCCATCATGAACTCTGAAATCCCAACCCAGCATTGCGTGATGAGCCATGCGAATTCAACTTTGTGTTATCTGCAATGTATGCCATATCTTCCACCATCAATTATCCATATTTCCAACATTTTGTCTCAGAATGTTTCCCCTTTTCCTCCCTCATCCGGGAAGTCTCTCCCACAGTGGAGCCATGCAATTCCCCTTGTCTCGATCTAATCGCTTTAGGGTAACTCCACACCTGCGAGCTTCGTTTCAGGCACTCCAATGCTGGATGGGGCGTGGAGGTTCTCCGAGAGAGACCAGGAACCTCCCGACCTACTCGTCATCGTCTTGTTCATACGGAAAGGTATCAGTCACTTTTTCAGAGGCACATTACCAAATAGCCAATTGAGGGACTTGTCCAAGAACGGAACTGGAAATTAAATCCATCCAACCAAAAAATCAACATGAGAACCTACAAAAGCGAGATCGTTTTCGTTTTCCTCTGCGTGGGTGGTCACTCACTCGGTCAAGGGTACCGCTGCCACACACCACACCTTTGGATGGGCTCGGTTTCATTGGTCCCGGGTGAAGCCAAGGGCCCAGCCAGACTCTGCTCCTTCAACCGTACCAGGACGACTGCCCTTGGTGCCTTGGTAAAGGCAACATCACTCACGCACGCTTTGACACGAAAGACGACCGTGCATCTGCGTCTTCCAAGTCGGCAGATGCTCACTGCAGTCGCCAGTCTTATCGATGTACAGGTACCCAGTTACCCCATGGTCGACGACTGCGTGATATGGAGGGGTTGCTCCCTTCATCCTTGTCAACATGTTGCGCAACCTTTCGGATCACACTTACTTACTGACAAGGATATGTGCGAGGGCCGAGACGCAACCCAAATGACGGTTGAAGGAACTCAGGTTCCGAGACAACCCTAGTATTACATCCAAGGCACAGGTTGCCACTCCTGCTCAAGAGTAAACGCCGTCGAACATGGGAGTTTACTTGTAGACGGGCTGGTTCCTTTTTTTTCCCCAAATACCTACTAGCTGGAGGGCGAGGAGCAGTATATTATGTTGATACGTGAGATTCTGAGCGTGTTAGATAGCTTTATAGAAAAGGAAATCGAAGAGTCCCCCTTACAACAGCCGAAGCGGCCTTCGTATTCTTACCACGGTACTTGGTACTCGGGACCAGACTTAAACATCAAAACGAAACCTTTCCCGAGGTCATCATATCGCCATTCCAGCGCTGCACGCCTACACACCTAGCCTACAAATAACAAGCAAGCCAAAACGTTGCAATCCAGTTCCGCCTACGTGCTCCCGGTTCTGTAAAACAAGTATTCGCGGAGCTGCCCTTGTCATGCTGAAAAAAGTGATGCCCAGTGCTATCCTACCACCCCCAGCCCGCAATGATAAACACGACAACAACGTTTGCCGCCCTGTTGCCCAAGCTGCTCGAAACATTGCTCCGCCAGAGCACTCTACCGTACAAATAGAGCAGACTCCTCACATAAGCCAAGCCCTCACTCGGTCCCAAGCGACCCCCGAGGGTTTCAGACGACGCAGAAACGCGGGTATCCTCTAGGTACTCTTCGGCGCCGCGTCGTTGGTCGTGTCCGCCGGGGAATCCACCTGCATGTCCTCCGGGACGGGCAAGGTCACTTCGGGTGACTCTTCAATGGAAACCGGTTCCTCCTCCACGGGGCCCTCGATCACAGTCGGGACGAACCCCATCTCCCCATCCTCCGCTTGGGAGGGCTCGTGTCCCTTGCCGCTGTTGCTCGCGGAGACACCCACAGGCTCGCCGCCGCCCTCGGCAATTTTGGCCTGCGTGGTCTTGAGAATCTTCTCCGCCTCGCTAACCTTGCCAGAAACGGCGGTGGTGTCGCCCTCCACACCGATGGCCTTCTCTTTGTTGTTTTGGTTTTCGAGGAGCGCTTGCTTGTCAAGGCGGACAATCATGCAAGACAGGTTGTCGGTGCTGAAGCGCGAGAGGGCATGGTCGACCAAAAGCTTGGCTGCCGCGGCCGGGTCCGATACGTTACGGACGAGATCGACTGCGTCTTGGTCCGAGCAAACGTCCCAAAGCTATTCCGGCAGTTAGTACTTTTCATAGCCACTGCACGTGTTTGTGGTTCACTTACGCCATCGCAGGCGATAATGATAAACTCGTCCAGGTCCGGCTGGATGACGGTCTCGGTGGTATAGGGGTGCCCGGTGACGAGGTCCTTCATATACGTGTCACCGAGGGCGCGAGTGACAGCAAGTACGCCGTTGACGCGATTGTTCAATATCAGCCCTCCAGCGTTCGTGATACGCTTCCCCTCGTTCTCATCGCTACCCTTGTGATCGTACGACAAGCGCAGTGCTTTCCCCTGACGACACAAAATGATCCGGGCATCCCCGACGTTGGCGGTGTACAGAACACGTTGCCTGAGAGCTGCGCTCTTCAATTTCGCGTGAGCAGCATCCGGGGCTGCGAGGGTGGACGACTCCTCGGACTTGGAAGCTTCCTCCGCTGCTTTGGCGAGAGCGGGCGCGATGGCCTGGGATCCGGTCGCAGACAAGGCGCTCGGCACTCGGTCTTCCCAGCGGAGCACAGCGATGGCAGCCGTGCAGCCGCTGTTTTTTAGGGGCAGCTTCTCCAACTGCGCATCGACGGCAGTAAAGGTCTGGTCGAGGAGCTCCGGTATAGGAGCATTCGGGTGTTTCCGGATGACTTCTTCCAGTATTATATGCAGCTTTTTCCCACACCAATCCGCAGCAAAGGTGCCCGCGTGTCCGTCAAAGATGGCGAAATACCCGTTGTCGGTTTCTATCATGTCCTGGTCTGGGCCAGGCCCGTCATCTCCTTCGCCGGCAACGGTGGCGCTTTTGGCCTGGGTTTGAGCCTGGCCACCGCTCTCCGCCCCGAGCGCGGGCGCTGGGGTGTGGAGGAAGTTGTAGAGGAAGGCATGGGTGTCCTCCATGGTTCGTCTGCACTTTTTGTTCCTATCCTCCCAAACGCCGACTCGGAAGGTAGATCGAGAACCAGGAAGCGACTCGCCAGCGGCATTGTTGTGCTGGCCCTGGGGCACGGCAAGAGCCTGGTCCTGCTTGCCCAGCTTCTGCAGGGGAGTCTGGTTAGACGTCTTTGAGTCAGCACCCAGATCGCTGTTGGCACGAGTCCCGACTTGTGTAAAAAGGGTGTTTTTGGCTTGGGCTATCAGGCTGCTGGCTTTGCCGCTCACCCCAGTGCTCCGCCGTTTCTTCTGCTCCGCCGAGCTGCCCGCACTCGGAGGGCTGCCATTGCCGCTCCGCTTCTCGCCGCTGGCGGCCTGGTCCGAGGACTTGACTGGGGACGGGGAGGAACGGTCAGCGCCGCCGGGTTCCTTGTCCGGGGACGGCGACTTGGAATCGGCCTTCTCCTTCGGGGCGCCGGGCGACGGATCGGAGACGGTGCTGGCCTCGGGCTTCTCAGGTTTCGAGCCTCCGGTGCTGGAGCCAAACATCCTATTCAGCAGACCTCCCTGAGAGGAGAGACTGCGCCGCTTGCCGCCTGCCAGGTTGGTGGGTGAAAAAGTGTTGGGAGAATAGGAAATCGAGAGCCGGGAGAGCTGCGCAAAGTGATCGCGACAGATCGAATCGACGAAAGGTGGGGATGTCGGAACGGGGGGCGTCAGAACCGAACGTTGGAACCTGAGGGCGCAGCCTAAACGAGGGTGACGCTCAGCTGTCCAAGGTGATTCGAGAACGGGGGCGGTTATCGTAAAAAGGGAAAACGGCCGGCTTGTCGCTAGTTATCCAATCTGCAAAAGCAGCTGTTGTGGGCGTTACCGCCGGGATATGGTTTCGAGGGTCAGGTCCAACCTAGATGGCCCGTGTCGTTGGAGCAGTTGGTGGCTCTGGGTGCCTGGTTTTGGGTGAGGGGTCTGCCCGGTCGGATGATGTAATGCACACTGTGGGACTCGGTCGAAGCGCGCACAATCTTGGCTGTTGGGTTGGTTGCGAGAAAGGGAAGTTGGTGTTTGGGAGTGATATGCAAAGTACTAGTATAGTAGGTGGAATGGCTAAGAGAAGACCTAGAAATGGGAAAGAAGCTACGAGCCCGCTCTGCAACCCGACGGCGCTGTGATCCACGAAACTGGGCGCTTGCCGAGACTGCCTAGAACCTGAGAGCGGGCGGCCCAGCTGCGTCAATCTGAGGCCTTCCGGGTTCTGTCGAGGCGCTGCCCGTTTCTTGCGGCGGATAGCGGGGCAATCAATACGACAGGGCAGTGCACACGCTCCGCAAGGTGGGGCAAAGGGTCCTCTCCTGTCATCCGTTGACCTGAATTTGGAACAGACAATGACATCAGCAGGGGGGAGACAGTGGATCTTTTTCGTGAACTGATGCTCTGCTGGGGCCAGCAGAGTCAGGCTGAGCTGGCACGCTGGCAAGGAGCCAAACCCCCGTGAGCCGCGCCGGTAGCTACCTCGTGCACCTAGGTGGTGTGGTGGTAACTAGGTATGGAACCTAGATTTGGACACACCAGCACCCGCTGTACTCCATTCCCTTGACACGCAACTCAAACAAAATTGCTGATTATGACTTGCCACCAAGCAACCCATTCCCATGCCTTGTTAAATATTTACAAGCCAGCAGAGGGCGGGGATTTACGGTGCCATCCCACTGGGCCAACAAATAAGGTCCGGTGCCTGGAACAGGTTCCATTCGGCTCGTACCTAACCCGGGCCGGTAAAGAACCAAACCCACTTCATTGGATTTCCAGGAAGAGCAGGCCGTGTCGGGTACAAGCAGATCATCCTCAATAAAAACAGACCCGTTACGCCCGAACTCCCAGCATTCTCCCTATACTCCTCAAGCATGATCATGACCCAACCCCCAGTGCGGCACGAAACTTCGTGTTCCACGGGACGAAGTGGCGCCTCATACAGGCCCAGAGTTGCCGTCGACAAATGTTCGAGGAAGATCGGACGCCTGGTTTGGTTCGTAAATGACCCGTTTCCTGGGCCTGGCTCCTATAGCCCAATATTTGTACGATAGACGGGTCGTTACGACGTAACGTGTTGTTCGAAGAGTAGAGGCCGCACTCATCGTCGCAAGCTATCAAGCCGCGCTTGGAGATCATCGTCGCCGGGATCGGCTCCGCCACCACCACCACCACCGCCAACTGCTTGAGCAATCTTGGTTTCTGGCACAGCATTCGACTGTAATCCTGACGGGGTCTCGCCGAGCTAAACATCGATAAAGTAAGTATAAGAACCACATAAGGAGTTTCTGGCTTTGCGAGCACGCCTACCGATTGGCTCAGGTCAACGCCGATTTCCTCCAAGACCTGCTCCACCACCTCATCTCCTTCTTCTTCAAGACCAACGTCCATGGCGTCGTCCATAACATCATCCATCATCTCCTGCCGCTGTTCCATGATGTCGTTCTCGCGCTCGAATTCCATAGCAATGCGTTGGAGGGAGGGGAGGTTCATTGTGCGGTTCATACTGCCGAGAGCCATCGTCGCCCCTTTCATTGCCTGCATCATTTGTTCGTTTGTGCGGTATGTCTATAATGAAGGCCGAATTAGTATGAGATAGCTGAGGCAGGGGTCTCTCGTCCTATGGGTCGCACTGACCTGGAGTCGGAGGGACACTTTCTGGAGTTGACTCCTCATCCCATAGAACTTTTCAACGTATCTGATTGCCGGTTGTCAAAAACCACTCGAAAAACGCTGGCGAGGACACCACATACCTCCTCGTGCGAACCAAGTCTTTTGCTTGAACTTTGCATGCACCCATTTGGCCCTTTTGCGCGCTCTGACGAATCTGGGTGACGAGTGCCTTTTCTTGCTTTTCGAGCTTGACGCGCTGTTGATCCAACTCCCGTATGGCCTTGTCAAGAAGTCGCTGGTTCTTGCGCAAACGCTCTGCGGGCGTGATGCGCTTGCCAAAAGCCCATTCCAAGATCTACGGGCGAGGTCAGCCTCAGCTTCAGCCTAGTCGGATTGAGACGATGGGGAATCCTGACATTCATGTTGACCGCTGGCTACCTTGTCGGGTTGTGGAATCGGAAACGGACTCTGGCGTGTGCTGAAGATGGCGAGAGAGTGAGAAATTGTTGTTCGAGAGAGAAATCGAGCGAATTGCTGCTGGTAGACCAAGACGGCGCTTCGTCGGGAACATACCTTGGGAGGTGGCCAAGGTAGCGCGTCCAACAAGGCAACGACATGGAAGCCAGCCCCAGCGCATGCGGCGCCAAGCAGCAGGGGTAAGGCTGGCAACCCCGCGATTATAAACTCCCGTTTAGCTACATACACGTGATACACTCACAAAGCCCTTCATTTTAATTCGCATAACCGTCAAACGGTTTGCATGAGATCACTGCGGGTCTGCCGGAGCCGATCCCTGCTTAGCGGGAGTGACTCGCTTTTTGGTTTGCTCAACCCAAACGTTCAGGTTCATCCGAAACGGGGTGCGAGAAGATTGAAAAACAGCGCCCGACAACACCCGACCTCACGAACCCGATTATGATTTACGCCTAATACACTCCATCAGCTTCCTTCAGCCACCCTGCTAAGCTCACCATTCGCAATGAGCCAGGAGTACTTTTCGCCAAAGGGCAAGTCAGTCCGGAGGCGTAACGGCAGCAACGACAACGGCGAACCCGAAAACGCGTCGAGTTCGAGCCACCCGGCCGCTCCGGTTTCCCCTATGGCGTCAGCTGTTCCAGGTTACATGACCGTCGGTAACGGCTCGTCATCACAATATGCCGGCCAGCTCCAAGCGATGCTCGAACAAGACTCTGGTTACGGCGGCAGCATTGTTGGTGACGAAGTCAGCCCCACCATGTCTGGCCCGGGCGCCTCGACTTGGGATTCTACTATCCATGCGGATAGGCCAATGCATTCTTATGGTTCCTCCTCGAACCACAGCACTGCCAACAACCGCACCCAGGCCAGCGCTGTTCATCAACTCTGGTACAACCAGCACCGAGCAACCCTCGGCCGCGCCATCAGCACAGTCGTGGAGCTTTTGAAAGAGTTGCAGGACAAGAATACAGTATGGCCCGCTCATTACCCGTCAGTCCAGCGTGTTGCGCTTGACACACCTTTGAGCCCGACCTTGAGACCCGGTATTCCTCACACTTATTCAACCGCTGAGGATCTCGCCACTGCATCGTCCTTCGCTGCACCAGCCCCTATGCTCCGGCGAGCCATGACCTCACTCGAAGACGCCGCCGCCGAATCGAGTAGCGCCGCCGAAAACAGGTCGCTGACTGTCGAGCCGCGGCTCGTCAGTCCTCAAATCGCCCGGGAGTTTTCCGTGTTGAAGCTGGACTTGAAGCTGGGTGCACTCAGCCAGGCCGAGTTGGTTCATTCGTTGGAGAAGAGCTCGATCGCTTCGCTACTGGACGGCAAGATACAATCGAGCATCAAGCATCTGCAGTCTCTCCGGGAACGCATAGAAGATACATCAAGCAAGGTACTGGTGACGGGCGACCTCAATGCGGGCAAGTCGACCTTCTGCAACGCATTGCTGCGGCGGAAAATCCTCCCCGAAGACCAGCAGCCCTGCACAGGCATTTTCTGCGAGGTGCTCGACGCGAGAGAGAACTGCGGCATCGAAGAGGTCCACGCCGTTCACAAAAATACCATCTACGACCGGCACGACGAAACAACCTACGATGTCTTCTCTCTTCAGCAACTGGACAAGATCGTCGTGGAGAGCGAGATGTACCTGCAATGCAAGGTCTACGTGAAGGACGCCCGAACCATCGACGAGTCGCTACTCAACAACGGTGTTGTGGACATTGCACTTATCGATGCCCCGGGCCTCAACATGGACACCACCAAAACCACAGCCATTTTTGCACGACAGGAGGAGATTGACGTCGTCGTGTTTGTCGTCTCTGCCAGCAACCATTTCACCCAGACCTCAACCGAGTTCATCAGAGCGGCCGCTGCCGAAAAGGCTTATCTCTTCGTCGTCGTAAACGGCTACGATACGATCCGGGATAAGGAGCGGTGCCAGAAACTGATTCTCAACCAGATCAGGAGTCTGAGCCCTGACACGTTCAAGGAATCCGCTGAACTAGTCCATTTCGTATCGAGCACGGCCATTCCCGTTGCGCGGGCACCTCCTGGCGGCCCCGGCGGTCCCGGGGGTGGGGGTTCCGGGAGCTCCGGTGGCGGTGGGTTTGACGATCCCGGGGATGACGACCCAAAAGGAAAGGGCAAGAAGAAGGAGATGGAACGAGACTTCTCCGCCCTGGAACAGTCCCTGCGGAGGTTCGTCCTGGAGAAGCGTGCACGCTCCAAGTTGGCCCCGGCGAAAACGTACCTGATGAACATCCTGAACGACGTGAATGTGCTGGCTACCGTCAATTCAGAAGTCGCCCAATCCGAGTTCGACCGGGTAAACCAGGAGCTGCAGGAGATCGAGCCCCAGCTCGAATCGAGCAGGCGGGCAAGGACCGAGATGAGCGAGAAGATCGACCAGACCATTGAGGGAACCTGCAAAAACGTGTACGACTACTCCCGCTCGACAATCAACTCCGCCATCGCTCAAGCGGGGGAAGGGAACCTCGGAATCACCTACCCCGGTGTGTTTGGTGCATTTCAGTATGCCGACGACCTCAAGGAGGCTATGCTTTCCCAGATCGCAGCCTCGGTCGTACAATGCGAGGAGCACGCCCGCAACAAAACTGTCTCCAGTGTCAATTTGATCAAGCAGTTCGGTCTCCTCCACCTCGGAAACGAGTACGAGAACCTCAACTTCAAGTCAGACGTCATGTTCCAACACAAGAAGCATGCCCTAGCGCGCCAAGTGGACATTGCCACCGAGTTCTGGGACTTTGTCGACTGGTCCACGCTCCTCCAGAGAGAGGAAAAGGCCGGCATGGCCTTGACCGTCGCCGGCGTGGTCGGCACCGGTGTGGTCAGCGGGTACGGCCAGATGAACATCGCTCTTCGCGTTGCTCAGTTGTTGGGGAGTGACAATATGCGCCGACTGATTGTTCCCGGTGTAGTCGCAGCAGGTAAGCCATCGATACCGACGTTTCCATGAATCTGTTTTCCGTGCTAACCGACCGTTGCAGCGACGGCAATGGCCTTCTACGTCCTCAGCCAGATCCCTCACTCACTCCCGCACCGTCTGAATGCCAAGATCGCAAGCCAACTTGCGGCGCTAGACTACGTCCACTCCAACAGCAACCGCATCTCTAGCACCGTGCGCAAGGTTCTCCTCATCCCCGCCAACTCTCTGCGGGTCGGCCTCCAGCGCTCCGTCGAGCAGCTCGACACCCGCCGCGACGAGACGGTCAAGGTGCGCAAGGAAAGCAGCGACGCCCTCAGGTACTTTGGCAACCTCGTCCAGAGGAGCGCCCACCAGCGCCGCCAGGTCGAGACCGTGGACCTGGACGCGCACCCGCCTGGCGCTCAGGGTGGCTTCTAAGGCGACGTCTCGATAAATACTGCTGCTTTCAGTCTGGCGTTTGAGGGTTTTCTAGGCTAGGAAAAAAACAAGGCACTGGGCCGATTGGTTGATATCGTCGGAGGGGTGAGAGGGCCCTGGCGTGGTAACGATTGCTTTAGTGATTCCCCCGGCTCGGGAGGTTGGGGAAAGGTTGAGCATCACATAACCTACGAGACTCCACTCGTTTGTTTTTACGATAAGTACATGCATAGCAGGATGTTTATGATTGAGCGAACGGGGCAGCATTGGGATTGTGAGGTTTCTTAGACTATATATTGATGAATTTGCTACGACTTACCACTGATACCTCTGGCCCCTTCAAACCAGTGTTTTTGGGGTTTATATTTGATTTGCCCCTAGGTTCCTGTTCTGTCTTGCTTTTCTGGTTTCAGTTCCTGCTCCAACCACACTAAGTTTCGTTGCGTCTTCAGGTCAGGTTACTGGCACCATATAAAAGGTCTACATCGGAGGCTAGCCTTAGTTGATATCCATACCTACAAGCAGCATACCCTCTCCTACTCCTTCCATAGAATGTCCCTCAGTCGCCTCTTCTCCTCTTCACCTCCGAAGATGATATCAACCCCCCTTATCACCAGCGCACAGATCTGGGCCCTGCTAAGCCCGAAGTGCTGGGCCACGAGGGCATACTCATTAGACAGTGGGCTTTCAAAGACGCCTACGTCGTCCGTCTATGAAGAACATCTGTTAGCAATCGTCTAGTGCTCTAGATGGTCAGAGATGTGTACAACTTACGCTCAATGCCACCACCGTCTCCTGGATCTTCCACCAGTCTCCGAAGTGGCTGCCCCTAGTCAGCATTTCCCTTGCCAAATGCATTGCAGACGTAAGAGATAAACTCACTGGCCCTCAAACCCACCGCACACCATCCCAGCATGCACATTACAGCTTAGACACAACTCCAACCCAATCCCCGGCCTCTTCAAAATCTCCTGCCTCACCCGCTCACTAACACAGATGACGTGCCCGATCCGATCCGGCCGCCACCCCAACAGCATATCCAACTCGGCGTCGCTCGCCGAGCACTCGGCCTCGGCAAAGTGCAACGTCATGCCCAGCCCCGGCACCCGCCGCGCTTCCTCGAAGACGGGCGACAGCGCCGGGTTGACGGGCGTCGCGGGGTCCCCGCAGAGGTCGATCCCCACGACGCCGCGGCCGAGGAACTGCCGGGCCAGCGCTAGGACCCGCGCCGCTTGCGCGGGGGAGTGCCGACGGTCGACCTACACGTAACGCCTAACATTAACTTCCACCCTCCCCCTCGCTTTTTACCCTCCCCTCTCCCCTGGACGCCCGGGGAAGGGAGAATGTGGTAGGTAGTGGCAGGATAGAGTAAATAGTAGTAGCAAGAACATACCGAGAGAATCAGCTTCGTCCGCAATCCCACCTCACCCGCCGCCTCCCCTACCACGCCGCCCTCAGACTGAGACCCACTCTCATACTCGGCGATGGCGTCGAGAATGGTCTGCACGTAGCCGGCCTCGGTCAGCCCCGCGGCGGGCATGGCGCGCGGGGTGGTGCGCAGCTCGAGGTAGACGACGCCGTCGGCGGCAAAGTCGCGGAGCACGGCGAGGGTGGTGTGGCGCAGGGCGGCGGCGTCGTTGACGAGGTTGTAGATGTAGGAGGAGAAGAGGGGGAAGAAGCTGGTGGGGGTTTGGTTGGTTCTTAGCTTTGCTGTTTTGCTTTATTTTATTTTTGTTTGTCTTGGTTTGTTTTGTTTGTTTGTTTAGGGGGTTGGGTTCGGTGTGTTGGATCGGGAAGGGCCCCTACGTCTTTAGGTCATAGTCATGTTTCTCCGGGGGCATCTCAACAAGAGGGTCTTGCAGGTTTGTTTCGCCCGCGGCTTTCTTGGTGAGCCAGACTTCGTGGAGGCATTGTCGGCTGATGCTACCGCTGAGGTGGGCATGGAGCTGTGAGTTGGGGATGCGGTGTTAGTCGGAGGGGGGAGGGGTAGTCTGGTGTTGTGAGCGCGGGCCGAGAGATACCTCGATCTTGGGAAGCGCCGTGTAGTCAAGCACTGCGGTATTAGAGCCGGGCATTCTGGGCACGGCCGTGGGTAAGTAGTTGAATACAGATCTGTATTGTCTTTTATTGTTGTGGCTTCTCACTCATCTACACAGTATCTGCCTTGCTCCGAAATCCAGGCCCAACACAGTATACACTAGTACCAAGGGCGGGGATGCCGGGCGGTGCCGAAGTGGGTGCGCCTTCTAATGGGCCACTTCCCTTTCATGGCGATCTCTTGTGCATCCCCAACCCAGCACCGCCAATCGGGCTGCTCACTCGGAAATCTGGTGCGATGAATTTTGTCTCAGATACGAATACCCTGATGAAAAACATGGGGAAGAGGATGAACAAAGCTTGGGCGACAAGCGAGACTCAATCAGCCCATGGCCCGATCGATGTATTCCGTAATATGTTGTCACGACCTCTATCTCCTTGCCAAGCTGCTGGTTAGTTAGGTAACACTTCAAACCTCAACGTCGTGTGGAACGGGGCCAGCAGGTCGACGGCGTGTGCTGCTGAGACCGTCCTCGTCGGTTACCGACCTAGGTAATTACCAAGTAGTGAGTATGTACAAGTAGTTAAATCGGTCCCGACCTCGTCGTGCCGCGAGACCCGGGCAAACGGCAGCGGCAATGATGGAATTTTACCAACCAGGTCGGACCCGGCCTGCTTCGCCGTGTGCGCCGCAGCGCTGCAGCTGGGGAAAGGGAGGTGCCGGCCGAGGCGCAGGCATTTGCTGAGCAACCCACCGAGTCCCGGAACTTTTTGCCATTCCCTCTTTGCTTCTTTTCTTTTCTTACCAATCCTCTCCCATGGAACCCCTCGAGCCGTCAAGGACGACGGCTCCCCCTAGCCGGGGAATCCTCATAGTTACCCTGTTGCGTGGAACTTGTGGATAAACCGGAACTGAAAATCCACGAAATCGCAGGGAGAAGAAGATTTGATTCCACCTTTTGGGTTCGAGGATGCAGGGCAGCTTGGCAATCGTGGAGCTCGGGAGGGAATCCGTGCGCAAAGCCCATGTCGGCGCGGTGGTGGTGCAAGGAGAAGCCCGCTGCAACTGGTCAATGCTTCCCCTCGACCTCTTGGATGGAAGAAGTCTTGCCCGTCATCCATTCGATCCGCCGCACGGGCTGGCTTGAATGCCTCCGCAGTTGTCCGCCGGGAACCCGCCTGATCAAGATACTCCAAAGCCTATGGGAATTGGCTGTCCATCCCTCATAGGTGGCACCTACTACGTAGTTGAAGATAACGACCAAGGGAAGCCCGACTATCAGCGCAACAACAGTACACAGTACTTATTGCGACTTGCGTACCCGAGCATTCCCAACTGCGACCGTTGCAGCCTCCGCCCGCCTGTTGTCGTTCTCCTGCAGCTTGCAACGCGCTTTGCAACCTTGAATCAAACCCCCCGGTCGTTTACCCCCCAATCCATTCCCAAATCAGGGTAGCGCAAGGATAATAATCGCAAATCTGCCCCAGTCTCCCGTCCGCCAGCCAGTCGAGCAGCTTCGACCATCCGCGCGCTCGCTGCACCAAATCTTTTCGGCCCTCCTGCTTTCTCCTTTTTCCCACCCCCCCAAACTGGAACCCACAGTCTGCATCGAACATCGCGGTCAAACACGGGAATTGGCCGCGCCTGATTCAACAAGTACTTCGTACCTATCGAGCCTTCAGCCTCTTGCGAATTCCCGGCCACACTCGATCCGCGCATCGAGGCACAACCCCGGTCATCGCCTCTCCTCTCTCCACTCCGCGCTCCGATAGTCATTTCACTGCAGTCCCCGTCCCGGCTTGCCCAGCCGTTTTACTGGTCAACGCCCACACCCCTGGAGCTTGCATTCTTCCACTCTACGAACACTCAAACCTCCCAAACCTCCAAACCTCAATCCCGACCCGACCGTCTCCGTCGCCGTCGTCACCAGCCCGCGCTCAATTTTGCCAATTCCACCTTTAATTGACAAAGCGCACTCGCTCCAGCAGAGAGATGGATCCAGGCCGGTCGAGCGACGTGTCGCCAGAGGCGATGCAAGCACGCATCCAGCAGGCACGTCGCGAGGCTGAGACGCTCAAGGATAGGATCAAGAGGAAGAAGGAGGAGCTCGCGGATACGACGCGTGAGTGCGATTGCGATTGAAATATGTTTTTTTTTTTTCCTTCTTCTCGGATAGCCAGACTGACTGAATTGCGTGTCGACTAGTCCGCGCCGTCGCCGCTCAGGCCCACGAACCGATCCCCAAGACCCAGTTGATGAGGACGAAGAGAACGCTTAAGGGCCATCTCGCCAAGATCTATGCTATGCACTGGTCTACCGACCGGAGGCACCTCGTTTCGGCATCACAAGACGGCAAGCTGATCATTTGGGATGCGTACACAACAAACAAGGTCCACGCCATTCCGCTTCGATCGTCGTGGGTCATGACTTGCGCCTACGCCCCGAGCGGAAACTTTGTGGCGTGCGGCGGTCTCGATAATATCTGCTCCATCTACAACCTCAACCAGAACCGCGACGGGCCCACAAGGGTAGCCCGGGAACTGTCGGGCCACGCCGGCTACCTATCTTGCTGCCGCTTCATCAACGACCGCAGCATACTTACTTCGTCGGGCGACATGACGTGCATGAAGTGGGATATCGAGACCGGGTCCAAGGTCATGGAGTTCGCCGACCACCTGGGCGACGTCATGAGCATCAGCCTCAACCCCACTAACCAAAACACATTCATCTCTGGCGCCTGCGATGCCTTCGCCAAGCTGTGGGATATCCGAGCCGGCAAGGCCGTGCAGACGTTCGCCGGCCACGAGTCCGACATTAACGCCATCCAGTTTTTCCCCGACGGCCACTCTTTCGTAACAGGATCCGACGATGCTACCTGCCGGCTGTTCGACATCCGCGCGGACCGCGAGTTGAATTTCTACGGGGTAAGTGGCTGGTCTATTCTGTGTATTGCCGCCTTACGCTAACGTCGTGGGCTTGTAGTCCGAGACAATTCTCTGCGGCATTACCTCGGTTGCCACCTCTGTGTCCGGGCGGCTGCTGTTTGCTGGTTACGACGATTTTGAGTGCAAGGTAAGCTGGACAACCATTGCACACGCCGGCGCAACGGATACTAACTGTTGACCAAAGGTTTGGGATGTTACCCGGGGCGAGAAGGTCGGCTCCCTCATTGGCCACGAGAACCGTGTCAGCTGCCTGGGTGTGTCAAACGACGGCATAAGTTTGTGCACGGGTTCTTGGGACGCTGTGGTAAGTCCTTTTCCTAAACCATACACTTCTCCGCTTCCAAGGTTGCTAATAGCCGCATAGCTTAAGGTGTGGGCCAACAACTAGTTGTCCTTCTGATGACAAGATCTGCATTGCTGCAGTACTGGATACCCGACCCCATCGCGCCGCCCGAAAAGACTATCGAGTGCCCGTTTCCCTGTTCTTAATCCAGCCTTGTTGACACGCCTCTTCTTAATCTCCGGCCCGGTGTGCGCAACACGAAGTCACGACAACGACCCGTCTCCGTTTCCGCGAGCCCCCGCCCCTTCCTTGGTGAACGCCAGCTTCTGTTCACCCGAGCCGAACCAACTCGCGGAGCACGGCACCATTATCTCCAGCCCACTGCGGCGTTTTCTTCTCGGCCCTTCGATCTCTTTGCTTTTGCACCCGACTACTTTCTCTGCACCATAGTTATTATCCGGCGGCTTCGTATGGACGGCGGCTGTATTACAAACTCTTCCTTACTCTTTGCCTTTCCTTCCACCTATGCCCGAGGGAGGTGTTTTGCTCTCTGCCAACCAGCCAGCATATACAAAACACCCGGCATCGGATTTACTCCATCTCGACTTTGTACCTTGGCCCGGGTTGGTTTGGTTTGGTTTGGTTTGGCTTGGCTGGAAAGACCAAGAAAAACGTCACATTTGATGTCTTGGGGTTTTTGTCTGGATGTTTTGTTTGTCTGATTTGGGGAGTAGACTGGGGCGGGAAATATCAAGTTCTGTTTTTTTTTTTCCATCTCCTTAAACTCTGGTCGAGGTCATCGGTCACTTTGGTATGTACCTACCTCGTGTCTACCCACTTGCTTTACCTCGTCTGGCCTTCAAACACTCTCCCTCGGATCAGCGCAGTGTTCAACGTCGGTAAACCTACGTTTACATCTCGACCATGACTGCATCGACGTCGTTGGGATTTCCCGGGGAAAACAGCATGGGAACCTGTCCGTCACATGGCCAGCCAGCCAGTTGATCCTCCCCAAGGCACAATCACCACCCTATATTTATTACCCGCTTCTCCTGGCGGAGGTTCTTCCTGTCGTTTTCTTTTATTGTCGCATGGTTTATTTCCTTTTTCCTCAATGTCATTTCCGATCTGTCATTTGTATGTTTGATATACCTGTTGAAAGAGGGAGTTTGGCAATGCAAAATATGAGTCTCGTATATGACGTGTTCGTTCGACTCGTGAGTTGGTGAAGAGTCATGCTAGTCGTAGTAATTTGGTAGCATGAAAGTGAACACGCCGGTCCAAGGGGATTAAGACTATGATCCAGTGGAGGGAGTAGGGGGGGGCAGATTGAATGGCGAGGGCGTGGTTGTGAGTTTCCTCTCCGTGCTGCACGAGTTGTCTTTTTATCATAAGGAATGCTCGCTCGCCGTGCTGTGTTCTTGATGCTTTGGGGACTCGCACCCAGAGAAACAAGTTGTCTGCCATATTGAGGGCCTGGTTTTGGAGGACAATATTTCAACTATGGGAAAGCATGACGGCAGTGGGAGATCTTGAAAAATGGCAAAGCACGAACGATGGTGTTACGGCACGGATTAGAGAATATCGTACGCCACAGAGGACGCGTATCTCTCGGATAGGGGTAGAAAGAGAGAGTTCCCTCGTTGGTCAAAGCTCGACCGGCTGAGACCTCAGAACGGGTTGACACCTCACCACCCCCAACACCCCTATAGACATAAAGTCTTCTGGTTAGAACTCCGCTATTTATGGCGATGTCGTCGTCCTAGGTTTGCTCGCTGGCTCAAAGTCAACAGCCTGGCTGTCACCCCGAGCTTGCCTCCTGTTCAACACCACTGCATCTTGGGTTGAGGGGAGGCTGGAGGGGAGCTCCGGCAGTGTGGATCGTCCGATATCTATCATCACGAGGAGGTCAAGGCATGACGTAGAAAGCCACAACTTGGTTTTCCTTCTGATAAATACCTGATGAATATTGCCACTTAGCCACCAATGATTAGGGACGAGTCATCGATGGCTTGGGAGTTTCGAAAGTGATGACGACAAGGGGACCGAGCCTTGGCTACGGAGAGATGTGGGAGAGCTGAAAGAGAAGGCGACCGAGCAAGAAAACGCTGGCCAGATGACGGAAGAAGCGGTATCATCCATGTCCATCTGCGATAACCACGTAGTCGTTGAGGGCTCCGGTCGGTTCGAGACCTTGGGCTTCGGTTTGTTGCCATGTGACTCGGCTTATCCCCGAGATACCAAGGCAGCAAGGATATCGCCAACATGGGCATGTTACGGCTTGCGGAGGTTTTCGAGATCGCCAGCTCCCTGATTCCGCAACGTTGATTTTACTGTGCAACCATGTATGGAGAGAAAGGTTCGGAAAAAAGCGAGGGCACGCACACTGTTGCTGCATTAAATGCCAAGCTCTGGGGAAACAAAAGCTCTTGGCAAGTCAGGGGAGGGGATGAAACAAGGCATGAAACAACTGGTGGTGATCCCGCCAGCAGCATGAGCCTCCTTCTCCTTGCTTGAGATTTTGCCGTCGTCTTGTCCACCGTGTGCTTGTATCAACCGCCCCCTTTTCCCCTTCCCACCGAGTAACTATGTATATGCTGAGTTCGCTGTGTTAATGCAGAAAGCCACCTTCTGGGTCAATATTCCTGCTGCTTACCGTGGGACACGGTTGATTGAGCCGCTAGGCGAGAGGCATCTGGTTGTGTGTGGCGTTATGTAGATTAAATCGGTGCTACACAAACGGTAAGATGGACGGACAGTCGGCGGGATTGAAGTTGCGTCAGGATAGGTGGTCAACCCGCGCCCTCGGGATTTCCTCGAGGCATCAGTCAAATCCTTGCTGGGTTGACGTCGGATGGCACGACAGATCTCGGCGTCGCCGTTGCAGCATAATTATCGAATCTGATCACGGCTCTGCCTGGGTTTTGCGTTCCATGGATGCCAGGATCCCCCAAGGAGGCACGATTCCTCAATTGGATCCGGACTCGTCCGTTGCTGTTGCGCCCTCGTCACCGCCGCATTCCTTCGAGTGCCCTTCCAGGTTATCTCAGTGCTCAGACCAGCATTTTGGCCCTTTTTGAGCTTCGCGCTGCGCGCCGCTGGGTGCAGTGTCACGGATATGGTCGCATGCAGACGGCCCGGCGGGGCACGCTGGCAGTGCCCCGAGCCAATCAGCAAGGAATGGCCTTCTCCAATGAGAGCTGGATCGTGAGCTCTGGCCGCGATCCAGGAGTGACCAATCAGGAGTGGATCATTGGATCGAGAAGCGATCTAATGATCCAGGACGGATCGCAGGATCATGAGAATATTCTTCGATCCAGGTACAGAGGTACCTGAGGATGTAGATAGTATATAGTCACTCGTTCTGGAGAGCTCTGGGAGTTCTCCAGTTAGCAATCACAACTACAGTTCGCTACAAGCTCGAGAGCCTACTGTTGAGACAAGTCTTTGTTGTGCACCCTTTGGCTGCACCGAACCTAAGCACCCTTGAGAGAATACCTTCGACCGATACTGAACCCTAACAGGACGGGTCCAGAGACAGGTTCGTCACACGTTGCTAACTCCCTTTGATCTGTTACAGTTCAGGCTCGAAGGTAAAACGACATGGCAACTCAACCGACGCCGGGCCAGATCACGGCCGCGCTTCAGAGAGTCACCGAACGACTCGATGAAACTGAAGAAGAGCTTGCGAAGACCAAGGCCAGCAACGCGGCATTGGCAGCCCGACTTGCGGCGACCGAGGTCCACACCAAGGACCCGGCCAAGACAAAGGTCAAATTGGAGCAACCCGAGAAGTACGGGGGCGACCAGGAAGCCTTGCCAGGTTGGATCACGGAGATGCGGAACTATCTCGACCACAACTCGCACCAGTTCGCCACTGAGGAATCCAAGACCAGATACGCCGCCACCCGACTCAAGGACAAGGCCCTCAAGTGGTTCACGGGAACACTGAGTGATTTCCTCGGCGGAGCAATCCACAAACCCTTCACCAAAAAAGTCTTCGAGAACTACTCCGAGTTCGAGAGTGAGATTCAGAAGGTGTTCGGTGACAAGGACGAGAAGCTGCACGCCCAGGAACGGCTAGGACGGCTGAAGCAGACTAGGTCAGCCACCGCCTACGCCACGATTTTCCGACAAGACTCCATGAAGGCAGAGATAGACGACGAGGGGCTGATGCACCTGTTCTACGGAGGGCTGAAGGAGGAGGTCAAGGACGAGCTCTACAAGGAGAGCCGACCCGACACACTCGACGAGTACATCGCCATGGCTGTCAAGATTGACGACCGACAGTTCGCCCGCAAACAACAGAAGAAGGGCAGCGAGGTACAGCGATCCGCAGGCTACCACAAGCCCAACGACAAAAAGAAACGCCAGCACCAGAGCACGTCATACGGCACGCACTCGGGACCCATGGACGTCAGCGCTGCCCAGGCACAGTGGGCAGGAAAGAGAGATGGTGCCAAGGACAAATCAGGCATCACCTGTTACAACTGCGGGAGGAAGGGTCACTTCAAACGTGACTGCCGCAGCAAGAAAGAGTGGAGACCGGTTCCAGGGAAGGAAGCTGCCACCATCGACCAAGACACGGTCGGAAGAAGAACCCGGTTTCTGGAGGTCGCAGCCGCCAGCTACACGCAGGACGACCTCGAAATCGACATTGACCGAGTCATCGAGCAGGACGATGAACTCACCGACTCGGATCAAGAAGACTTGATGAGCAGCAACCACCAGGAGGGAAACGACACCGCCCACCATGCTTTCATCGAAACGGATGACGAGGGAGAACTGGCTCCCCCGCGGCACATCCGACAAGTCGCTGAGGACTGGGGCATCACCCTGGTTCAGCAAGAGGACGGGCAATGGCGAACCCACGAGGGTGAAGGAGGAGTCAGCCCGAACCTCATTTTTCTGCAACAGAAGGTCCTAAGCCAACGACAAAGGATCGAGGAGTTGTCAAGAGAGAAAGAAGAACTCGAGCAACTTCTCCAGAGAAGGAACGACCAGTACGGACGACTTTGCGCGGAACTCGATTTCGCCAGGGAACGAGTCCAAGAGATCACCGAGGCCAACAACAGGGCCGGGGATCACGTCGAAAAGACATTAAGAGAGGCACAGGCCTTGCAGGACGACATCCGCCAGGCACTTCCGCACCACACACCGTGGGATGGACCCACCGAAGAGGCGGAAGGATACGAAAACGGAGTACGATACCCCGAGCAACTTTTCGACTACGCGCAGGAACAGAATGCGGCGAAAGGAAGAAAACAGCAGAGCTGGGAAGAATACTG